CCTAAACCCTAAACCCTAAACCCTAAACCCTAAACCCTAAACCCTAAACCCTAAACCCTAAACCCTAAACCCTAAACCCTAAACCCTAAACCCTAGGCTAGTACTACCCCTATAAAGGTACTAACTAGTGGATACATAACTAGAGTTGTGGATATATAATTCAAAAAAACGACTTCCTAATCGGGATAGCGCTATACCTATTTGGATTATGTATCCATGGTAGATACATAAATGGTAGGGGGTTAGATCTCTTTATAAGACGAGTAGAATTAGCTATATACTAGCCTACGCTTTTATAGATATAACTTCTTCGATATAACGCTAGTTAGGCTATAGATATCGTAAAGTATATTCTATATATAGTATTATTAACCTTAACTATCTTTCGCTAGTAGCCGCCTATCGTAGAGATTATATATATAGTACTTAAGATAATACTATCGCTAGAGATAGATCTATAGTTTATTATCGATATCCGTAGTCTATATCTTAAGAAGCGCTATAGAGGGGTAGATCTCTTTTCCAATATTAATATAGAACTAATCTAGGTATATAAAATCTATATTAAGTATTTACTAAATAAAGCTTTAGAAATTTTATATAGTATTAAGTAGAAGTAGTTAAGTAGATATAGTCTTAAACTAAAGCTTAGTACCCTTTATAGAAAAGAAAATCTAAGAATTACGAAAGTTCTATAAATCGAGTATTATATTAACCGTATTAAGAATAGTAGTCTAGATAGTATCGAGATATTTAAGTTAGATATAATACTCTATTATCTATTACGCTTAGTAACTATCTATTTTAACTTAGCGACCTTTAGTCTACTATACTCTAGAGTTTCGATAGATTTATCGATAACTAGTAATAAGATATTAAGAGATATAAGTAAGAATATAAGTATAGATCGCCGAAAGAAAGATCTAATTAAGCTAGTATATTTATTACTCTTTTATAAGCTCTTTAAACTTATTATTCTAACGAAAAATAGTTAGATACGGAAAGAAGATATAAATAGTAATATAAGCTACTCTAATAGTACGCCTAAGAAGAAAATAGAGAATATCGTATAGTATTATACGAACCGCTTATAAAGCTTCGCTAGGATTATCGCTATATTTAAACCTTATATCTTTAAGGTAGTTATCGATAGTAATATTCTATTTAAATAACGAGATTAGTTAGAACTATAGACTATTACGAGTAAAGATAAGTAAGCTAGTAAAATCTAGCTAACTATCGATATTAAAGGCGATATCTAGACTTAACTAACGTATTTACTCTTTATATAGATAGACCTATAGAGGCTAATAATAACGGCTTTACTAGGGAAGAATACTATAGAATTTAGTATACTACTACGTAGATATAGATATATTATACTAAGCTAATTAGTTAGGCGTAATAATATCTCGAAGCGTAAGTATACTAGGAAACTAGTTATTATTAGAGATTTTATTAAGCTCTATATACGATTACTATAAGGCGTTTATATATTTTCGAAGCTAATCTATATAGATAGTATAAGAATATCCGTTAAATCTAAATTATAACTAGATAAAGAGCTTATTAGCGATAAATATAATTAAGTTATCGCTATCTAGATCGCCCGAATACTTAAATAGAAAGTCCTCTCTAAACTCTTCTATATCGTCGCTTAAGTCGTAGCTATTTAAGTAAGAAAGAGATATACTCTTAGGCTCGGGATTTTCGTTATTTATAAGAAAGTTAGATATAGAATTATTACTATTTAGGTTAGTATCTAATAAGATATTTCGATAGAAAATAAGATTAGCGCTATTAGATATTAATATAATACTAGAACTTTTAAGATATAGCTAATAGTAAAGATTAGTAATTAAGATACTACTACTTTCGAGACTATTAGACGGTCTATAAAGACTATTCGAGCTTAGAGTAGTAATATATAATAGGAGATAAGAGACTATATCGAGAAGGGTACGAGAAATAGCTTTCGTAAGATACTATATCTTAAAGATATATCTAAGGCCCTCTAGGAACTCGTATAAAGAATCCTACTTAGTAGAAGTATCTAGTATAGCGCGAATATCGATAATAGTAACTTCTATATACGTATTAACTAGTAAGATATCTAGAGCGTTAAATATAGCTACGGTAAAGCGAGCTTTCTAGTTCTCTATTAATAAGAGTAATTAGATAGGCCGTAATTATCGAGAAGTAGACGTTATAGGTTCCGATATAGAAGAGTATAATAAAGAAGTAAAAAAACGAGAAATATTACGTAAAGAAGGCGAAGATAGACTAGAAGAGGAAAGAGAGAGACTATATATAAAGAGATTTCCTACGGGCCTACGATATATATATCTTATAATACTAGAAGAGCTAGAAAAGATACTATAATTATAGCGAGACCGGCTAAAAGTAGAGGCCCTAAAGGTAGTACCCCGACTAGAATAATAAGAAGTACCTAGACGAGATATTAGTATAGGATAGGGAGAAAGTCGATTAGATTCTAGTACTAGACTAGATAATTAAGATATAGTAGACTAAGAGTTATTATTAGCGTAAAGAAGATTATATTTATCGACCTCGATAGCGTTATATTAATCTATATATATTTCTTGGCCACTGGGATAGAGCTAAGAGATATAAATTGTATATACTCTATATAAGAGAGCTTTTCTTCTCTTATACTTCGAGTTATATATAATTATTAGGTTAAGGAGCACTTAATACCAATTAAAGACTATATTGCTGTACTATGTCTATTCTTATTAGGCATTCCTAACAAGTAGGGTTAGAGTAGTACTCTATAGTAAAGACTCTTATTCTATAAGTATTAGTCTTATTCGATTTAAGAAACAAATTTAATTCTTTCTATAACTTTGCAACTTAAAGTTATTACATCTTGGCTTTATTTATGCTCTTTTGTCCTTCACCTAGGAGAGCGGTAATAACCTCCTTCGCTCCTCTTTTGCCAGAACGGACAGCGCCCTCCATATACCCTTTCCACTCATAAGCAGTTTCAGTACCAACAAAGTGAAGATTTTGGAAAGGAGCTCGTAAAGCATGTCCCAGTTCACCAAGAAGCCCAGGGCCCATCACAGGGCTGGGGCATCCCTGGCTCCATTGCTCTAGCGCCCATCGCTGCTCAAACATACCAATATGCGCCGCTGCAGCGCTATGGTTGGCAAACGCACGCCCTATATGTGCGATGACCTGCTCGCGGCGCTCCTGATCGGACAGCTTACCCCAAGCCCTACCGGTATCTCCCTGACTAAAACATGTGAGGGAATAGTGCCCATCCATGTCGGAACTTGTGTCTCGTACGATTGTGATGGGTCCGTTGAAGGATTGTACCAACCCAGAATAGCCCGCCGCTCTCCACCAAGGCTTGTCGTAACAAACGATGGACTTGGCCACCCACCCGAGCGCTGTACTCGATGCTAGCTTATGCTTTGCAGCAGGCAAGGGCGGAGAAAATGTGATCTCTTTGTATAATGGAGTTGGCACTGATATGACCACTCGTTTGGAGCGGATGCGATAGCCGCTCTCTGTTGTCACGCAGACCTCGTCGTGAGCTTTATCTTGCTCGATTTTTCGAACAGGTGAGTCAAGTTGGACACTGCCAGCTTTCATCATCGCTGCAAGGCCTTTGGAAAAGGATTGGGCGCCTATTACAAGCACATTGTTAGAATCAACTTTGACGTCGCGGACGATGTTACATACCCTGACGAATGCGCAGAAATTGCCCGCCGTGCTTCATGTCGGACCTTGTCAACATGAGACCTCCTCCACTCTTGACATAGTCCAGGAAGTAAAGAGCACTCATTTCGCGAGGCTCAACTCCTAGCAACCCCCTAGTCCACAGTCTCGCCGTGGCTTGGGTAGTGGGACCTCCACCTATCTTCTTGATGAAATCCTCCAGAGTAAGGGAGTCCCATTCCCTATTTTGAGGATTTAGCAGGTCAACCTCGTGGCACCACTTCTCAAGCAACGCCCTAATTTCGATCATGTTGTTGGCTTCGGACTGCTCGTGCTGTAAGGCCAATGTAAGCATATTGCATAAGGTGAGCTTATCAAGTTGACCAGGCAATACTTACCGCCGGAACACCACCGTATTCAAATTTGGAGATGGACCCGTCCAAATCGTGCATAACGCAGTCCCCCGCGGTGAGCTGCTGGATTAGGTCCAATTTCAGTTTCTTCGCCAGTTCATACATGTGTGACTGGTTAGTGTCGTTGATCCATGCCCCGCCAAGCTCTATCATGCCTTTTCCCTGAGCCCCGGGAACACTCCATGTCTTGCCGCCTACTCGATTGCGGGCTTCAAGAACAATGGTGGAGAGACCTGCATTCTGGCAGTCCAGACCCGCCTGAAGTCCACTGAGTCCGCCGCCAACCACAACAACGTCGACTCTTGTCTCCGTAACCGGGATTGGTTGCGGTATGGGTTCAATACCGCGGTCCCGAGGGATCACAGCAGTGACATCCATTTCGAAAAGTAGTTCGGGCTTAGCAAGACATGGGACCGGGACTAGCATCGTAGATGGGCGATGGCCAGCATAAAAATCCAGCACAATTGGGACGTGAGGACGGTTGTTGGGATCATAGTTGACGATATAGTAGTTGACCTTGACAATGTCCGTTACCTTGGCGCCGGCTGCCGCAAGACACGTCCCGATGTTCTTGACCGTCTGTCGGACCTGATCTTCATATGCCTTTGCGACATTTCCATTCTCATCCATGCCGACCTGCCCGGCAATAAAGACAACTTTCATGTCACCGCTGGCGGTTGTGACATGAGAGAAGAGTGGCTTTGAGCTGGCAAGCCCAGTTGGATCCAGGGTTTGTAAGCTGAACTGTTTGCCATTTGAAGCCATGTTTTTGGTTGAGGGAAGGCGATAATGAAGGCACTTCGCTGTGATGCCTGGGTTGCAGATAGCTCCTGAGAGCACAGATATAACATAGAATCGTGTCCTGGAATGGGGCACATAGACTAACGAGGTCGGTAACCCCGCCACAAATGGCTCACCTAAGTGCTCGGCGTGGACTGCCTGCCACAGTACGGCACATGAACCAGAGCCCATTGAGCTGAGGAAGGTGATAGCTATGCCCTTCCTACTCCTCTAGATGACCCACACAAGTGGAAGTTGAATCCCAGTTGAAGTCAAGTTTTGGATTTTGCCGACCCAATCACTTACACGGAAAGACTATCAGCTGTGCCTTTGGGAATTGGAAGTCTATAAAGTGTACTTAGACGTAAATAACCGATAGTGAAGCCCCATCAATCGCTTCAATTATGGAGTTACTAGTATTCTCTTCACAGTATATGTTCATCTGCACAGCAGGCAAACTGCTTTCCTAAACATGCCGCGATTTAGGTCTTGAATTCGTTCTTTCTTTACATGTCTTTCTCTTTCCAGGCGCTCCACATAGATGTGCTCTTTCCTGCATTTTCTCGGTACAGTGTTATCTACCTATAGATGTTCGCTGCTTTAGGTGCGCTGTTACGAAGGCGAGTTCATGTCAACATGAGTCGGATGTCGTTTGAATCAACAAGGGTCGACCAGCTGCAGCTGGGTTGACCCGGATCGGATTTCTGCATTTCCCAGACCTGGACCACAACCTCACAAGCCTTCTCATAGGCCCCTAACCCATAGAAACGCGTCGCCTTGAACCACTGTAGGTACCGTGACTGTACTTCAACCTCAACTGCTTCTGCCGCGCCTATAAAGCCCGGCCAAAGCACACATCCAGTGACAACATTTGCTCCATGCTTAATTACCTCAATAGTCTCGAGGTGGTCGATTATATTCTTCACGTATGGTTGGAGATGCCTTCGATGCACTGATCGCACCAACTGAGAAAAGTAGACAATAATGGCCTGGTGGAAAGCTCTGGTCTGTTGTTCGATAAGATGATGAGATGTCTCATGTATGGGTAACTTGCGCAAATCAGCAATCATCCGCTCTATCGGCCATTCCAGGATTTTTGATTCCAGGTCATCGCATAAAACGGAGAGATCATGTGGCATCATAGAGTTGGGATGACGCCGAGAGAAAGCCTTCTTTTGCCGAATAAGATCCGACGCCTTGGCCAGGAGAGTAAGTAGTTGAAGGGGGATTCCGTATACGAATTCACAAGCTGACATATCCACATGGCTGTCATCTGGCGTAGCTTGAAGCCAATTATCAGCAGCCTTCGTAGTGTCTAAAGAGAATGGAGGCTCAGATAGCCAAGACTTGTCACCGCGAAAGCTGTCCGTTATCTCGTCGATCTCGCTACATCGTAGATCAGTACTCTCTCTCATAACTCGGAGGTACATATACACCCGGTGAAGAGATCGGGTTGTGGGAGAATAGTGGTTCTTTTCCTTTTGTTGGGAAGCCTGAATGAAGCTTTCTAGACCTTTGAGATGCCATTCGGAAGTCCGAGTCTCACCAGAACAAACCTAAAAGAGAGGCCTTAGTAAGATTTCTGACACCATAGAAGCGCGATTGGCACCTACATCAATAGTCACCATGGACAACATGGCTGCTAAACCCTCTTTATATTTTCCCCTCTCAAATTTTGGCGATTCTGGGCGAAGACCTGCTCTGAGGAATGTAAGTGAGCGGGCTTTGAGTCTTAAAGCAAGCTCACGCCATTTCTGTGCTTGCAGGTCTTGGCCCGTGATAGTGTAGTTTGCGGCCAGGTTGTAAGCGCTTATGGTCAACAAAGCGTGAAATAACGCGTTACATGTATGCGACGTCTTTCCGAGAAATTTGAGCTCTGCTGTCCCCTGCAACGCTCGCGGGAGGTGGACCGACTTCCATGGCCCTTCTGGTGTTGGAATAACTGTCATGAGGTCAACGACATGATGGATATAATGATGTAATAGGCGCTCGAAATTGGCTGGTAGGAAGGATCGCCCGAGAGGTACTTGGCGCACCAAGTCTGGAGGGGTCTGAATAGATTCCTCATGCTCTGGGGATTCAGTCACTCCCAGCGTCTCAGGGGCTTCAGAAGACAAAGGCATGGCGATTATTGGAGAGCCTGCCGTCGCAGCTTCATAAAAAGAACCACTAGTCAATGATATGGTAGCTCTGGTGTCACTTGCCAATGTATTGACATCTTCAGCAAAGGTTCTTGCGTGGAAAGATGGCGTGAGAGCAGGGGATGGTGTAGGTGTTTGAATATTGAACTCTAGGTCTGTATGCGAATGGACAGTGACCCAAGTATGGCTGTAGCCGCCATCTTGCAGGGCATCTCTGGAAGACGCTTGATGAAAGACGGCAAAGGGTCCATGAGAGACCGTGTCTTCGCCTACAGTGGGACACTCTTCATCCAGCTTATCAAGATAGAGATCAATTTCCCAGTCACACAGAACTTTGCTCGGCCCATCTAAGTTTCGTAACATCAGCAACACAAACTTTGCTTCGACCTTATCCACTCACCACAGAATATATGTCTCCTCGAAGACATACCAGTGCTTCGGTATGCTGTAGGCAGCTGGGCGCCCAAAGGTACATCGATAATGGTCTCCGGAGCCAACCATTGCAGACGAGTTGTATAGCCGGCGCACGGCAGGCCCTTCTTTAAGCATTGCTGGCAGTTGGGCCGTGCCTCGTCGCATTTCACCTTGCGTTTGCGGCAAGTCCAACATCCAGTGAATGTCTTGGTTCTCATACGCGGTCCAGAGGAAGAAGACATGAGAAGAGGCGACCTCCTCCGTCTACTGGACGCAGTTCTAGGCCTGCTAATATTCGTTGTAAAGAAGGTGAAGTTGAGGGGGATGTCGGAGATGGACGATCCACGTCATTGGCGAAGGGCTTATCTGTTGCTTCTCCATCCCACCTCAGCCGGGCACATTATTCTCACTATTCGGCTTATCTATTGGTTAACGTTGACTGGCGGATATGCCGAAGGCCCGAGATGAAGAGCCAATTACATGTAGAACAGCGTTGATAACGGCATGAGAAACATGGATAAAGCTGTCTTCGTATGATCTTGGGGCAATTAGTAATGGAAAAATTGTAAAAAGGACGCCATTACTTATCAGGAGCTAGTTGCGGTAAGCAGCTGCATCCGAGCAAGTGACAACGAGAGTCTAAGTAATAAGCGGCATAGGCGTATTGACAAGTGGATAGCTGCCATTCTGGTAACATCTTGACGCATTCTGCTCCATCCACAGTCATGAAGGGGCTAGTCACCCTGTTCGCTGTCGCCTACCATCCCTTCGTGAAGCATGTACCCTGGAACGGATTCTGCCACTCTGAGAGTGGGCCAACTTAATGGCTACGTGTGAGATAATGTGATGATCTTGAACTAAGACTGGGGTGGTATTTCAATCTAGAGAGTACTCATAAACAACAGACATTGTGCAGCTTTAGGACTGGACTAATAAGTGAGTTGAAGACACGTGCTGCTTGTGAAGCCTCAACTTATCCAAAGCAACAGTCCGAAAACGAATTGCATCTATCAACCATGTCGCAGACTCAAGTCCAGACTACTACCGCAACACTCACAGTGGATGCGGTAGACGGTGAAACTCGCCAAAAGGTCTCCGAGAGTGCGATTGCTGCTGATGGCTTGAAATTCACACAAATTCCTACCTTCGACAACCTTCTACACAAACGTCGGTGGCAGCTCGAGCACATGGCTGGCGCGTTCCGCGTATTTGCCCGCAAGGGCTATACTGAGGGCACCAGTGGCCACATCAGCGTCAGAGACCCAATCAACCCAGACACATTCTGGATCAACCCTCTCGGATATCACTTTGCACTGCTGAAAGCCAGCGACATGGTGCATGTCGATGAGCTCGGAAACGTTATTGGAGGGAATCGAGCCGCGATCAATGTCGCTGGCTTCATGATCCATTCGGCCATTCACAGAGCGAGACCAGACGTTCATGCTGCATGCCATACGCATTCAGTTTACGGAAAGGCTTGGTCAACATTTGGAAAGCCTCTCGATATTGTGAATCAAGATGCATGCATGTTTTGGAATAATCATGTCGTTTATTCCACCTTTGGAGGCATGGTCCTTGAGAAAGAAGAGGGCGAAAGAATCGCCGCAGCCCTTGGTCCGCGCGCTAAAGCGGCGATTCTTCAAAATCACGGGTATGCTTTCGCAAGAATAACTTCTCACTCCGCAAAATGGTCAACTAATGTCATATCACTCTCACAGGATCCTTACAGTAGGAGGAACCGTGGACGAGGCCGCAGCATACTACACTCTCTTTGAACGGGCTTGTCAAATTCAGCTTCTCATCGAGTGCACTGGTCTTGAGAAAGTTGTTATTAGTGACAAGGAGGCCGAATACACTCAAAAGGCTGGAATAGACCCCGTAAGATATCCATACAGGTGATGCCAGGTGAGAACATGGACTAATTCTTTCTTCCAGGAGGCACTCTACACAGATTTCCAGCCGGACTTCGCCTACGAACTCCACAAGTCTAAGGGTCAATTGCTTAACTAGGGCTGCTGGGGGTCCCTCACTTGGTCTGGAACCAGCATACTCAACATGTGATCTTGAATAGATTTCGATAGCATCAAAGTCGACATTTGCCTGAATCATTAAGTTGTCGTACTGGATATCATACGCTTGAGTAATGGTTCCTACTTGGAACATAGCAAGGTTGTGGCGTTTACTCCCACAAATCAATATTCAAAAGACCGGTTTTAGAAGGTAGACCGGCGTGAATGTTTATGAATAGTATATGGCACAACTCTGGCTCCGTTAGAGCCACCATAATTTGATAGCCATTAAGGGGTGCTGTAAATATGTGTGTATTTTGTGTAATCGAAGAATATCTGTGTTTCAGTTACATGAACTCCTAGAGAGCAAGGCACTATGGCATATCTCAAAACAGACATTTGATGGATTTGCATATTGAATACACAAAACCAACCCGAATTCACGGAGACCCCCCAATCAGTCTGCAATTGAACCAAGATACAGCCACTCATTCTCTCCTCTTGTACAGACCACTTCCACTCACAGACCAACATAGCTGAAGATCCTCTTGTACATGGGTTGGCTGTAGTAAGCATCCAAAAAGGCAATATCTTCGGCAGTCAAAGGTCTCCGCCCACTCTGCAGGTCAGCTTTGGCTGGATCGACCCACTTTGTCTTGCATATGACCTTGTAACCTATCCAAAGGGTGAGAAAAAGAGGAATGCAGAGGAAGGTCTGGAAGAATGTGTCTGCACCCATAGGCTGATTGATGGGATACAGCGAAATGTAGAACGTCGAGGCGAGGACAAAGATACCACTGATGAAGAGAAAGACGCTACCAAGAGGGTAAGCCTTGTTCTTGTATGCATATTTCAGCATCAGGGGATTGTCGTTTTGAGCTTTGAATGCTGCCCGCATACGCCAGTTGGTGGCGGCGACGACGAGGTATGCAATGAAGTAAACGGTGGATCCGACAGAACTGAACCAAGTAAAAATGACGCCACCGGTATTCGAGCAGTTGATGTAGGTCAGAATAATTGCCAAGCCAGCGGAAAAAGCAAGGGACACGTATGGTCTGCCCTTTTTGTCGACATGGCCAAACGACTTCGGGAAGAGGCCCATTCGTGCCATTGCAGTTCCGAGACGTGAAGTGATGTATAACGACTCCGCTCCGATGGCACAAAGGCCAATGATAATAACCACATTCAAGAGGTCCGGAAGTCCTTTAATGCCAGCATCGCTCATGGCAATGACAAAAGGAGACGCGGCAATATTCGACGGCCCAAGAAGCCGTTCGTCCGTGTAGGGCACGAGGAGGGATATAAAGACGACCGAGACGCCAAAGAAAAAGAACAACCGCGCTGCCAAGTTGTTGATGGCTCTGGGCATGTTCCAACGAGGCATCTTTGCCTCTCCGTTTGTTATGCCGAGAAGCTCGTTGCCCCCGCAGGAAAAGGAGGCTAGTAAGAAACATTGGGCAATGCCCTACGTCCAGTTAGATCCAATCAGGACACGATACGAGCAGGGTACAGCATACCTTGAAACCATTAGGGAATGCCGGAAGATCAGTGTAGTTCTCAGCGTGGTGAGTCGTGCCAGTAGGCCCACCGCCCGCCAACATGACAATACACGTAATTATTATGATGAACATCATAAACATCTTCAACACGGCGGTGCCAAACTCGACTTCTGCAAACCATCTATTGGGTAAGCAGTGGATAGCAAAGACGACGGCCAGATAGAAGGTCATGCAGGCTGCGGTGGGAATTTCGGTGGTCCAGTATGTGAGAATGAGTCTGAATACCGCGCCCTCAGCGGCGAGGGTCGTGTGCCATGCAAACCACTCACAGGCTCCTAGTCAGGACGACAACTATTAGCTGCTGGTAGAAATACCTGTTCACGTAGCAAGTGGCACTTACCAAGCGCGAATGCCAGAGCTGGGTCAAGAAAGCGAGCCGCATGGTCAATGAATGCACCAGATGTGGGAAATATAACACAAGCTTCGGACATGACTTGCATCTGCATCCATTGCTGAGTGCAAATGAGTGTCCATCCGAGGAACATTCCGGGATAGTTGCCATAACGAAGAGCCTTTCCACGGTGTTAGTCGGCTCCTAGATCAGAGGGTCATTGACAAGCACTGTCAATTCACGAACCTTGCCTGTACCAATGAAAAGACCTGAGCCAATGCTACCTGCCAGCCCTATCATTTGAATGTGCCTCGAGGTGAATGTCCGATGGAGCTGATTCGCAGACCCTGAGGGCTGCTCGCCGGCATATTCAGTCGCGACAAAGATGCCAGCCTCGACACTCGCAGCATCGTCGCTGTGAGTAGTGGGATCAACACCGCTAGTAGTGATCTTCTTTTCCATGATTGATTATGTTTACTGCGCGCCTGTAGATATGGGAAGGAAGAGTCCTGGATGATCAAAGCAGGAGACGCTTCTTTATCACCATAGTTATAACTTGATCGCACTTATACTTCATCTTCCTTGCTCGACGTCAACTTCGTCCTGCCTCTCTATCTCTGAAGTAACCTCGAAGGCGTCCTTCGGGCTAATCTTGGGTGCACCATCTCGAAGATAAGCGATGCCGTCGATTTCCTCCGCTCCAGGAAGCTTGAGTTAAGCCCCACCGGATAGAGAATCTAAGTGATAAGGAGGGAAACCAGCTAGCCAGCTTCCGGGTCTGATGTGGATCAAACGTGTGGTTGCTAACCCGAGATCTCCGGTTCTGCAGGAGGCCGTTACAAGCCCCACCTTTCGCGGACGGCTTCCCTCATCGCCGACACTTGCACTCTCATCTGCTCGCCCACAGAAAATCGCATATTACTTATCATCACCGCAAGGGGCTGCAATCCCCTGCACATTCGATTCTACACCATTTTCATTTGCAAGAAGGCATTGTCGTTGTTATAGCATGATTATGTCAGCCAAAAAGAACGTGCTCCTTGTTGGGAGCGGTGGCGTGGGCACCATGGCCGCCTTCAGCCTCCAAGCTAGCGGTCGCGCGGAAGTAACTGCAGTCCTGCGTTCGAATTACGCATCTGTCAAGTTGAATGGGTTCAACATTGACTCTGTCGACTATGGAAACCACAAAGGATGGAAGCCTGCGAAGAGTGAGTCTTATACTGGACGACAGCATGGAGTCTCCATGTCAGCTGACGTGCTTGTAATTCAAGTTACAAATACTGTCCCCGATGTGGCTGCAGGCGGTCTCCCGTCGTTTGATTACATCGTGGTAGCTACAAAGAACTGTCCCGATATCAAACCAGCGGTTCCCGAAATCATTGCACCTGCTGTCACGGAAGGTCACAGTGTCATCGTGTTAGTGCAAAATGGTATCAATATTGAGAAGCCCTTGATAGATGTTTTCCCAAAAAACATCGTGCTATCAGGGGTCTCACTTATTGGGACCGCAGAGAAGGACCATGGAAACATCATTCACGACGACCATGACATTCTGATTGTTGGACCGTTCAAGAATCCCAATATTGCAAGTGAGCTTGCACTCGCTGCCGCTATGGAGTTTGTAGATATATATAACACCTCAGGTAAAGTGGATTGCAAGTTGGACGAGGATGTGGGATTCGTTCGGTGGAGAAAACTGGTCTATAACGCTTCATTCAACCCGGTCGCCACCATCACACGCATGGACACTTCTCGCATGAGAATTGCAAAGACCCCGATCGATGATCTCATAAGGCCAGCAATGTGGGAGATTTGGAATACTGCAAAAGCAGCCGGACACCCCCTGCCAGAGGATCATGTTGCGAAGACCATCGATGCAGACCCCTTTGATGTCTGGTGCAAGCCGAGTATGTTGCAGGATGCTCAAAAGGTACGGACAACCCGTTTTCCCCTTTAATTCTTGAACAACAAAGAGCTCATGATTTCTAGGGCAACTTCATTGAGTACATGAACATTGTCGAAGAGCCTATCAAGGAGGCCGAGAGGCTGAACGTACCCACACCAACTCTGAAGACCATCTTGGGGTTCTGTAGGGCATTGCAATGGCAAACTCGGGAGGCAAAGGGCATGGTGACTCTTCCTGCAGGAGCACCTCCCCCGTAGAATTAACAAAGCCCGGTCAATACAAGTACTAGTTCCCTGAGACTTTTAATTTGTCCTACTCAAACCAATGCCTAGTATGCCACGAAGATATCTAAGGCGCTGCAAGGGGCATACCTGTGGCCCATTATTTTGCCGCATCGTAGCACTGAGCAGCTCGTCTCCTTCCAGCAAGAACACTGAATGTTGTCATTCAAGCATTAGATATGGAGTTCTTTTCACTCATAGGTACTAAAGAATGCTAGACTAGATGAAGTATATTAAATCGAGTGAACTCAAGTTTATTTGATCCAACAACCGCACCTTAGAGACCAATCTATTTGGTCTAGTACATACCATTCCGCTTCGATAAGGCTTGACATAACTGGCTTTTCTCCCTGATACGAGGCCCATAGTAGATAAGTCCAAAAGGAATAACAAACAGGAGGAGGCTCAAGAAGCCGAGCACAGAAGAAGCCCAAGCTACTCCAAGGCCGTGATACAGCGGCTTTGCAGCGAGGGGCAATGCAGCCCCTACTATACTGCGAGAGAAACATGAAGCGGCCATCGCACTGGCAGCAAAGATCTCATATGCATCGACCTGATAGTTGGTCAAGGCTGTGAATATGAGCAGATACCCAAAGCCAAAGAACAGGCCAGACATGCACGGAACAGCCCAGTGAATCGATTGACGCGCCGTCCAGCCGAGCCAGAAGAGAGAGATGATCACAAATGGACCACCCAGGCATGCAATTGGCAGGCGATGAAGCTCTTCGCTTAGTGCCCATGCTGTGCCTCGTTTCCTGGCTCTCTCAAACATCGTATCGTAGCAGACGAGAACAGGCCCAGTAAAGGCTGCTCCGACACCAACTTGAGAAATATTGTTGGTAGTGACATCGGACAGTGGAAAGACAAAGTACTTACTAGGTGATAAAGCCAGACCTGATTGACCCCTGGTAAAGCCATAAATCCCTGCTTACCGTGTCAGCTAAAATCGAGGATGTATCCATCGTGTGTGCACATACCCTGAAAGATGATTGGATATGCCTCAAAAAATAGGTAGAAGAAAGCATACAATAGAGCGATATACAAGCAGTTGAGATACACCAGAGGCTCGAAGCATAGCATCCGTAGCGGTCTACTTAACGATGTAGTGATCAGCTGTTTTGCACTCTTGTTTTCAAGCTCGATCATTCCGAATATGTCGTTGTTGCCTGTGACTTTCCTGGTTTTTTGAGCTCTTTCCTTCAAGATCACAGGCCCGAATGTCTCTATTTCAGATTAGATCTGAGTGAACAACAGACAAAAGTACAGTCGCCCTACCTGGCATAAACGCGAGAGGAATCCAGCTGCACCCAGCTATGATCAACACAACCCAGAAGACCCATCTCCAACCTATCGGCGCAACGTAGCCGGAAATAATTGGCCCACCAAGAGGGCCAAACGTTGTTCCCTCGAAGGAATGTTAGCTATAGAACATTCATTCAGTGATAGATCCGTAACCTTACCGACATGAACGTGATCATTGCCCGACCTCTCGTCCGCGGGCTGAGGAAGATATCTGCGTATAGACCGCCAATCACTGTCAGCGGAACCGACGCGCAAGTTCCGCATATCACACGGAAGGCCAGTAAGGAGGGCCAATTAGGCGCAAGAGCACAAGCGAGCGTTCCCAGGATGAAGACGTTGAAGGTCCAAAACGTGACCACTTTCCTCCCGAAACTCTCACTCATGGGGCTGAAGACCAATGGACCGAAGGTATACCCAATGAGGTACACAGTGGTTGGTAAGTAGCTCTGGATCTCGCCTTTTATGCCGAAGTCTTTCATGATATATGGCATAGCGTTGCTCGTTATGGCGGAAGAGATCGTGCTGTTGAGGACCAACACAATGGCCGTCAGCGCGATGAAGAGTTTCTTGATCTTTGATTCGCAATGTCAACTACTGTGTGTTGCCAGAGGCATTTCTGCTTGTCGTCTTACCAGTCCCCAGTTGTATGGATTTTCAGGATCATCTTCGCTGAAGCAGACGACTTCGGGTCCGGACCTGGAAGATGGAGAAACCGAGTCCGTCAGGATCCCGTTCCGAATAAGTCCACCTGCGTATTTCTCATATGAGCTTCTTGCAACCTGTCAATGAACGTAATGTGCCTACCCATAATGATCACGTTATGGTCTTTGTCGTTCGCGGTAGGGATTTGTCCCACGTCATCTGAGGAATCAGCAACACGCGGTCCGGCCATGTTGCACTACCTGGGTATTGTCCCTGCTGCCAGCTCTATCCGAGTCCCTGCCATCACATAGCGGAGAGGAAGTACAGGTAGTTATGCTCAGCGACTCCATCTATACTCCTGCTGCTATTCTGCGGTTTCGGAGACAATTCGCGTGAGTATGAGGCTTTGTTTCAACGACACAGCTACTTGACCACAGACCAGGTGATTGTGGTGGGGCCACTGATAAAACATGGCCCATGATCCTGTTTCGGTTGGAAACTGACAGCGATAGGCGGATAAGGCGGACCCAGCCGACCATCCCAAACGTAGGCAAGTTTGGGGGCCCTGATCGGTACAGCCCTTAATCGATACGAAATGGCATTTCAGAACGATGTGACTAAAGATTACGCTCCGAAGGTTCCCAGAAAGCCTGTCTGTGATGGTAGTAGTAGTCGCAGCAACAGCAGTTACAGTACTTTGTCAGGTTGATAACAACCACCATATTGGAACGCTTCTTAACTCTCCAGAGGCGCATATCAGCCCGGCTATCTTTGTTGCCCTGTTTCAATTAATGAACTTGCTTCTTAGCTGTCCCAACTCACAGCTGACAGCCACTACCGTGATCTTCTCTTGAAACACCTGGTAAGAGTTCAACGATGGCAAACCGAGGCGTTAGCCTGGATCCGCACATCTTCACCATTCGCGATCTCAAAGCGGCGGCTTCTAAGAAGCTACCACGGACGATCTCAGGTACGCATGCTATCGTCTCGGAAGCACGTTGATCATTTTCGAGCTCATCTCCCCAGCTATATCTGTAGATCGTGCTGACCCCTCCTAGAATACTTCAATGAAGGGTCCATGGATCTTATCACGTATTATGCCTTTGATGTCACAGCAGCAGGACAAGAGGCTAACCCGCCACAAGTTTACGGGATAACGAGGATGCCTTCGATCGATACAAGGTCCGGCCTCGGGTTCTGGTTGATGTTACTGACATTGACATGTCTACTACGATCTTTGGAACCAAGGTGCGTAGGGAAAGAAATGCTAGGTTGAGTTGTGAAGAGCAGCTACTGAGTAGCTTTAGGTATCGTTCCCACTCGGGTTTGCTCCGGCAGCCATGCACAAGATGGCACACGAGGACGGAGAGATAGCGACGTCGCGCGCCGCAGCAAAAGCAGGCATCTGCATGGCGCTATCTACTTATGCAACGGCGTCTATGGAGGATGTCATTGCTCAAAACCAGGACAACCCGTATGCCTTCCAAATGTCTCTTTACATCAACAGAGAAGCCACCGAGAGATTAGTCCGGCGAGCCGAGGGTGAGTTTTCAACATCCAATCATACCTTTTTGCTTAGGTTGCCGTCAACAAGCGCGACCAACTAACCAACAATCAATCTCTAGCGGCCGGGTACAAAGCCATCTTCCTGACTGTGGATGCACCGGTCTTGGGAAGACGACTGAACGAATATCGCAATTCATTTGAGCCGCCGGAGGGCTTGACTTTTCCCAACCTCAGCTCAGACCCGTCCTTCAGCTTCGTGGATGCCAGCAACGAAGGCTTAATCAATGGTGAGCTTCATTGAACTCTGAATCTTTGAAGTCTTTCCTGACAAAGGTATCAGACCGCGGAGTTACTTGGGAGGCTGCCGCATCGTGGTTTAGGAAGCGGACTAAGCTGGAAGTTTGGCTAAAAGGGAGTAAGTGAAAGCATTGTATCTTGTGTACTCCACAACACAAATCTTGCTAATATCTACTCCGTTTGTGTCAGTCTACACACCAGAAGATGTTGAGCTCGCCATCCGCCACGGGTTCGACGGAGTCATCATTTCCAACCACGGCGGGAGGCAGTTCGACGGCGCACCTGCCACTCTTGACGCGCTCCGAGAATGCGCACCCGTGGCCGAAGGTCGAATACCAATTGCCATAGATGGCGGGTTACGTCGCGGAGCTGATATCTTCAAGGCGATTGCGCTTGGAGCAAAGCACTGCTTTGTTGGCCGTGTGCCGATCTGGGGTTTGGCAGTAGGTGCCTTGTTTATCACTCCTTTATTCTTCTTAACATACCAGAGCTAACTTGGATAGTATAATGGAGAGCATGGTGTTACACTTGCTATCTCTTTGCTTATGGAGGAGTTCCGGCTTGCAATGGCTTTAGCGGGGTAAGTCAATACAACCACTGGTTTTGTTTCGTGCATAACATTAACGCTGTCTGGTCTGCAGGTGCCGAAGTATCAGCGACATACATCGTGGCCGCTTGTCTATATTGGAGCCGAATGGCGTTTTGAGTAAGCTCTAGTTGTCTCGACATATCATTCTTGTAGTACTCTACCGCTTAGATTTAGACCTTTTTCTACCTAATGTAGACTACATAGATACTGGTTAAATTACTCCTAGGATCATCTTCAACTAATTGACTTCTGGTATAGCTTAGAGAGCTACAGACTAAGATCGTTCTATATCCATAAGTTCAAATATTGAAAGATTCATAACTCTGCAGGATTGCCTTTCGCCACAGCCTAGCTCGCGCCAAACCTCATCATAATTATCCTGCCCTCGTAACTTCACCAGAATGTTCGCAGCTTCTTCGCACAGCGTTTCACCCACACAAAGGCCAGCACCTCCACCTGACAATTCATCCGACACAGCATAATGACGCGGGAGCAGGAGAGCAGCGGATAAAGGAGAAGAGGGGTTGCTCAGTTGGGCTCCAGGTCTGCTATCATAAGCCGTATTACCCTTGCATGTTTGGTTTCCAGGCGCATCCGTAGATCCCGGATGGAGTAAATGAGGATGCGGCTCGAAATGCCCCGACTCTATTGTGCTGACAACAGACCCAGATGGCGATTCAGTAGACCTTTGTGGAAGCATTCCAGCTTCGGACGCGTTCTCTTCTCTCGTATGCGCCAACCTTGCAGCAATAGTGCTGTATCCACATGTCGCCGCAACAACATCTTCGGTTTCAATAATCGATTCGAGACTTGGTAATCGAGCATTAAGATCTGGGAGGATATGCTCGACATTTGTTTGTTGTGATGACCTCGGTGTGCAGGCATCTAGATGACAGGGAGTTTCCTGCAGGTATTTGTCAATTTGGTATCTGCTGACGCCAAACTGAATTTCCAGCAGCCGTTTAAGAAGTCGATTCTCACAATCGACCTGTTGAGCCGCAATTTGAACCTCCTTCGTTGCGGAAATGCCATCGCTTTCAAGCTTCCTGACACGTTGCTCGAGTTCTCTTATATAGGATTGACGACGCGCGCGGAAGTTGCGCTGATTTATACGATTTCTGTCGGTTACTAACTGTGGCTGCGGTAGGTTCTAGTTACACTTTAGCAGGGTCTTTTATGGGAGATGCAGGGGATCGGTATCGGCATACCACAGTTGCCATTTCACCACTTGCCAGAGATGATTCTAGTGTAAGCCTGGCTACCTGCTGCCTCTCCAGGTCCTTTTCTTAGCTGGCGACTATACCACCAGAGGAATGAGAATGTGAGCCGCAAAGCTTGAAGTCAGTGCCTGAAGGCGCATTTACGTCACGTGCCGGTCGCTGCAATACTGTTTATTGGGACCAATCAGCGGTAGTGGGTGACTAATTATACGTAAATACCAGGAAAAAAGTCTTCCCAGACTGTTACCTACATAGGTAGGTAGTCTCGGGCCACATAGACAAGTAGCATAGTTATCAAAAGGTGCAGGAACTCTGCCAACTCAGCCGGGAGAGTGACAGGCGCTTTTGGGTGTCACATGAGCAACACGGTAACTTGACCGCTGCCTTCAAGAATCAGATTGACTGGATCCCTCGTGAATTACAAAAGTTCCCTAGTCTTTCCAATTCCACCGTCCGGCAATCCATCTGACAAGATAAACCAAGGAAATCAAAACCGGCACCTCAATCAGAGGACCTACAGTCGTTGCCAGAGCCTCATCGCTGTTGGCGCCAAACGTTGCCACGGCGACCGCAATAGCCAACTCAAAATTATTGCTGGCTGCGGTGAAGCTTTGAGTGGTTGCTAGCTTATATCCGTACCCCAGACGCTTTGTGATCATAAGAGTCAAGAAGAAGATGATCACGAAATACACGATCAGTGGAGCCGCAACCCGGACAACCGAGACGATCTGATGGACAACTTGCTTCCCTTGAGATGCAAACAGGACCAAGATAGTGTAGAGGAGGCCGAGAAGTGACCACGGAGCGATCCACTTAAGGAAACTTTTCTCGTACCAGTTAGCGTTGATAGCCCGGAGGATGAAGCGCGTGACAATGGCAGCGCCTAGAGGTATTCCAAGGAAAACTCCGACACTTCTAGCGACAGTTGAGTAGGAAACCTCTGACGCGCCACCACCGCTTATGACATTGACGAACAGGATCGCCAACGGTGCATAGAGGACCATCTGCAGAATAGAGTTGACAGCCACAAGAATAGCACAGTACTGCTCGTCCCCGCCTGCAAGGCCTGTCCAGATCAAGACCTGTGTCACAGTATGTTAGCTAAAGTATAGCAGCACACGAGTTCCCGCGGCCTTACCATGGCAATACAGCGCGCCAGTCCGACAAAAATTAGGCCAGTTCGAAGGCCCGGTTCGTCAGGTAGGAAAGCCCAGGCCAAACCCAGCTTTGCAATTAGTGATGGACCAATAAAACATCCTTTTGAGTCGAACATACCATAAGAAGAGGTGCAATAATCCAGTTGGCAACGATGCTGAAACCAAGTTGGATCCAAACTTGACGGTGGGCGAAAATACGGTGTAGCGTCTCATACTTGACTTTGCAGAGAATAGGATACATCATCACCAACAGTCCGACGGCTATAGTGTCAGTCCTTGAGTCAGCGTGGCCTTGAGACGAGTGAGTACAGTCGTGTGGGCTTACCGATGGGAATCGACACATCCACAAATTTTCCCTTCTGAAGAGCCGGCCCAATGTCGTTCACGAAATTGCCGAGTAAGATGCCCACTACTATCGCAAGCAAGATCCAGAGGACGAGGAGGCGGTCGAGCCATCCCAGACCCGCATAAACTGATTTCTTCGGTTGAACTTGCTCTTCAGTCGGAAGCTTCTGAATGTCTGCGGCATTGGGAAATCTAGATATATTTTGCTGTGAAGAGTTGTGATCTAGCTCAAGGCTGAGCACCTGGTGCGAAGAGCCCATGCCAGACTCCAGAAAAGTTTGGTTGTTGTCTGCTTTGCCTAGATTGAAGTCTGAGAATGTGGTGTTAGGGTGACTGACTTATTGATCTTGGGGCACGACTCCCCCTGTAAGTTAGCGTAAAAGTCCCAATTAGTGTGTTTTCCCGGGCCAATCAAAGCAGGAGAGTGACTAAGGTAGGTATGGCGAGATAGGGGTGGCGATTAGGGGATAACTAGTGAGGGATCCTAATGCCGAGGCCCAGGGTCGTCTGGGTACTCTGAAGAAGAGCCTGAGGTGGTCTACATGCAGGGAATATTGGTTGCCCTGTGGTGCTTCTCCGAAGTCTTCAACTCAGTACCGGTATTTCGCACGCATTAGGCATAGATGTGTCCAGGTATCAGGCTCAGAAGAGTGTGATTCCACTCGCGGGAGAAACAATCTCCAGCTGCTCTGACAATGTCTTGCTTCAAAAGGCCGGGTCTACCGTGGGATTAGGTACAAATGTTCATATTATAGCAGCAGAGACAAATAAGGAATTGTAAATATCAAATCATATACAAGGACTCGAACCTATTGGTAATCAATTCCACTTTGTGAATGTTTTCGCTTCTAACCACCTTCCAAACTGAATAACGCGATGATCGACCCTAGTGAAGTAGTCGGCAACCCATAAGACAGCGATTGTGGTAAGTATCCCGCCAGGGACGTAAGCAAAAAATGTGTCACCAAGGTGGCGGGCACGCCATGGGTCCAAGACACGTTCCAAGAGGAAGTGAAAGACTGGTTTGTGCATGGCGTAGATTCCAAACGATAGTTCGCCCAGATATTGGGAGAACCTCCACTCGAAAGGTCGTTGGAGTGCTGTGTATGAGTCAATGGCGAAGACGATAAGTGACGCACCAATGCCCAGCCAGAACGTGTATGAGGCATCGCCGTACCAGTACGGAATCATCCGGTACAAGAAGGGCCAGGGGGAGTATAACGCCGGCAATCGACCGAGGATAGGATCTTGACCGATGAGAAACAGTCCCAGCATAAGGAAAACAACGCAAAGAACGCGCCAGGTGATGGAGGGACCACTGTCTTTGTGAGATAGAGCTTTCTCATTGGTTTCGCCTTCCACGGCTGTAGCGAGTTGCTGTTGCATTGGAATCTGTGGTCCTAGCCGCTCAGGATGGCGAGACAAGGATAAATCGGCGAGGAACATGCCGATGAGGAACTCGGAGATGTAAACAGCACGCCAGTAGTAGGCGATCAGGACAATGAACCACAGAAAGATCCTCCGACCCCGAGTGGACAGCTTGCATGCCGCGGTACAGAAGACAAACAAGGCGATACTGCCACGGTATTCGACGGGTATGGTCCACATCTGGGGTAGATACCTCGTGCGGAGGACGTCCGGAGGTTGTACATAGCCAGGAATGTTGGCAAATGGGTTGCTCGCTCTTAAAAAGTCCAAGAACCAGTCCAAGAGCTGAGCGAGAAAGGTAGTCTTGCGTTCTACTTGGGGTGGAATCCACCACCCCAGCCGAACTTCCAAAAATCCAACGAAGGAGGCGATACCCATGGAAAGATATAATCGAAGGTACCGCCGAAATGTCGATGAGGCTAGGCTGTTCAGCAGTCGCTCTGCTTGATGGTTCCGCATCATTTTGAGCATTGAATAGCTGAGGACATAGCCGGAAATGATGAAGAAGATGGCCACCATGCCACCACCGCCGTAAAAGATGATTCGAAAAAAGGGAATTTGGAAAAACTGGTAGTGGATTCGTTCAGGCAGACCCCATGCATGGAAGAAATAAACGAACATCGCGGCCCAGCCTCGCAATGCGTCGATATATGCTGTAGGACGTAGTTGTTTCTTTTCGCGTCTTCCAAGGTGTTTTATGGCATAGATGGGCAACACAAGTGTTGCGATGTGTATCAGCCAGCCGCGCACAGTCTCCCATCTTGGTGCCCACTTCAAACGAGCTGAAATGCCAGACTCAATAGGAAGAACCAAATTTTCGGCCTTGTTGCTGGTCTCGCCCAGCAGAGGCAGCGCTTGTTCCATTCTGGTCTCTTGATGTTGGACGCAGGGCTTCGTTTGTTTGAAGGTCAGGTTATCAGATACTCACGATGTTTCCCGCCATTGTATGTATATTGATCGCAGTCGGCTCCTTCGACGCGGTGCAACAGGGAAGGAAGTCCATAAGTTGGGGCGCAGGAATCATCTAATAACTGGCCCGAGCACTTACAGTAAAAGGAGTTCTGGGCACACCGCCCCTGCGTCTGGTTCACCCTCTCCGGGAGTAGTGTCTCTGCTTTGGCCATTTACAAGCTGTCACTCAAAAGTACGACTGTCAAAGAAATTGTGGACATGTACTGGCCAGAGATTTCTTGCCCTCCCCGCACTCTTTGGTGACAGATTTCTGGCAGCCTTCTCAACCGGGCTATCGTATTATAGGCCGTCGTTACAGTAGCTACTACGCCCTATAGGGGTAAACTTCGCTTGGCAAGACAGGGACAGCGATGGTCGCAATTCGCCTCTTCTGCTGTCTTCAGATACATACGTTGGCCCAAGCGTGGTCAGGACAGGTCTGCCGCCACCAAGGTTGGCTTAGTCCCCGTCCCCGAAAGAACCCGAGCGCCGATAGTCGCCGCTGTCCATTTAACGAAAATCGAATCTTCCGTCGACGCGAGGCTGATATGGTCAACCACCTTGGACTGAGCTCTTCGGTTACATGTGCAGAGTCTCCAAACAACCTTTCCCATGGACTCACGGGCCACTTGTAGCCAACGCGCCCATGAGCGGCAATGCGACAAGCGCCTTGGCGCTGGCTGTCACCAAAAGCGATTTCCTGTCACCCCTCGGAGGCTCGGATTTGAGCTAGATCAATTCCGGATGGCATTGCAGAATAAGGCCATTGACTCAACAGAAGAGGACATCCTCCCGGTGGGCGTGGGGGTCATTTGCCTAGGCAGTTTGGTGGAAGAGTAGAGGCAAGTCCTTTCAACCTAGAAACCGGCTGTTATGTGGCTATCGTTCGCAAATGCTGCAGACTTTGCCAGCTGGACAACAGGAAATCGTTGAAGCTTCACCAAATACCGAAGTCTGGATTCAGTTGGAAAGTGTGAGCGCGACATTAGAAGTGGCGCAAGCTTGCCGGCCTGATGCTCTGGTGTCACAAGGGAGTGATGCCGGCGGCCACGGGCATGCGAATATACTCTACGAGATCACGACTTGGGCGATCTACCACTTGTGGCTGCAGGTGGTATCATGGATGGACGGAGCGGAGCGGCTGCACTGTCCCTTGGGGCGTCGGGTCTAGTCATGGGAACCGCTTCCCTTCAGCTGTCGAAACAGTCCTAGACCCGACATCCGTCAGGTGATATTCGAGGCGACTGATTGCGGTGCTGCAACGGCGGGATCGCGCTTGTGGGACGACATATGGGGCCCGAACCCGTGGTCATCACAGTACGACGGCCGATGCATGACAAACGCCATCTATGAGGATGTTCGACAAGGCCTGTGCATCGGGGAGGTCCGCAAGCGACTTTATGAGTGTAGCCGATTAGCCAGTGCTGGACAAGTCAACATAAAAGATGTGGCCACAACCTGGGCAGGAACGGGCCTGGGAATGGTCAAGGGGCTCGAAAAAGCCGACGACATTGTGAAGCAGATGCAAACAGATACGAAAAGGAGGCTGATTGAGCTTTCCCAAGCGATATGAAATAGGGAATCCAGCCTAAATAGATTGTCTTTCAAGCAAACGAACTTGAAGTCGGTTGTGTGGTCCGCTGCCTCATAGCTGTGGCCTTTTCTTCCTGAGGTAAAATGCTAGTGAGCATCATGTCGGCCACAGTACAGCTGTCAATTTTCTGCTTGAAGTTGCAAAAAAACTAAACTCTTTCCTTGTATATGGATCGGCCATGCATCCAGCTTCTTTCCCATGCTAGGCTCACTTAGAGCAGATACCTAAATAGTGGGTGCTTGTCACCTTCAGCGCTGATATCAAACTGTACCGAATCATCCACTGTGCCATGAATACGATCTTTATTCTTGTTTTCTGCATGTAAGGCAATCACAAGACCGAGGGAGAGGATAACAATAGCGCCCGTGAAACCGCACCCGATCGCGCAACCCTTCACATAGTATGGACTGGAGTTCAACAATATTAGTTAGGACCGAGGCACAATGGTATGGTGACATACGCATCCGATTTTGGAAACACTGAGCTACTCAAAAACGAGCTACACTGCCCGAATGTAGCAAGGATAGCCAAGCCAGCGCCACGTTTCGAGTCACCGCCATTGTTGTTGAGCAGCCAGGTAATCTGGTATACCGATTGGTTAGTGACAGAAGTGAGCGGGGACGAACAGGTAACTCACATTTATGCACAACGCCGGAAAGACGCCACACACAGCAAGCCAAACACCAAAATACCGGACTCCAGTCTTTGTTTCGTCTTCGATGACGGCTAGCAGAAGATAACCAATGCAGCCGACTGTAGCCGCACCGGCGACAATGAAGCCTCTCTTGCCATATCGGTCGCTGACGATGGCGGCCGCAACGCAGAGAAGGAAGCTTGCAAAGTATACTGGGGCAGTCAAACCTTGAGCATTAACACTGGAGTATCCCATATCTTTGATAATGGTTGGCAAGAAGTTGGACAGCCCTGCGAAGGAATAGTTGCACATAAAGTGGATAAGTGTATGAACGACATTGCGGTAATCTCTCAGGCCGGCAAAGAATTGTGACCAATGGACTTTGTTTTTTGCTGTGCGGTCCTGGGTCTGTAGACGCTCGATAGCAAGGGTTTTTTCACCTTCGGTAAGGAATTTGGCTTGGCCTGGCCCATCAGGTAAGAAGAAGAAAACAACCACGGAGAAAAGAACAGTCGGCAGTCCCTCTAAGTCGTGTCAGTGCCCTTCCTCAATGAGGCAATGTGCACACCCACCAATGATAAAGAGCCATCTCCACGGCTCAATGCCATGTTTGATTTGCGTGATTCCATATGCCAGAGCGCCGGCAAAGCAATTTGCCAGAGGTGACATCCCGAGTAAAATGGAGACCCTCTTCGCCAGTTCTCTCCTCTGATAGAAAAGTGATAGATAGTAAGGGGCACCGGCACCAAAGCTGGCTTCGAAGACGCCCAAAATGCTTCGGACCACGACTAGTCCGGCCAAGTTGTGAACAGCACCTGCACATGTTGCCATAACACCCCAACTGGTAATCCACGATTAACAACAGCCAAAAAGTATGCTAGCAGAGTAGACTCACCCGAAGCAGAGTGCGGCGACATAGATATGAGCTGGCAGCAGCTTCCAAAACATAACTGTCCATTCGAAGAGGACATAGCAAATATAGAAAGCGTTCAAAGCCCACGCCCACTGGGGACAAGGTTAGATTGAGTCTTTCCATGTGGTTCCAATATGACTGACTTGTGAACTGCTCAGACCAAGGTCGTCTTGCGCCCCAGCGGTTTTGGCATTGCCGATGTTTCCTCTGTCGAGATATGATAGTACGTATAGAATGCAGACGATGGGCAACATGCGTCGGTCAAACTAGGTTGCCGTCAGAGGTTAGCAATCATGACATGTAGGCACCGGTGGATCGAGGGCACTTACAGAATGCCTGAGCTGTGCCTGTTCTTCTCTAGTCACAGAACATTGAAGTCTCTCGATTTTGGGCTCTGTTTGCTCTACATGGCAACTAGATAGAGTGACCTTGTCATCGACCTTGGTACCTTCTTCGAGGGATGCCATATTTGGTGGATCGAGACACGCGAGCTACGGCCAGTCGTCGTAGAGCGGGCAATAGCATATGAACAAATTTCCGTGGTTGGGGGATATTGCCTGTAATATAAATCATGGCCAATCCGGAAGAACACAATCGTGGCCCCAGAAAAGTCCGGGGAAGCTTCTGACTTGAATGAGATATCCGGGCCAAGTTTTTTTGACTAGACACGGATTCTCAACGAGGTACCTGAAACTTATCCTGAGATTTCCTATTTCCGCCTTCCCCGGAAATTGGCGGGGAAACTCGGGCCCCTACCCCGGATGGCTGAAACTGCAGTATACCCATGTGGGGAACGACTTTCTTAGTTCCTCTTACCTATTTTTTTGAAGTGTTCACTTTTAGTGTACATGGTAACATGGCCGTGAACCGGAAGCAGCTTACGTGCATACACCATTCGCGATAATTGTCTTTGCAGATGAGCATAAGTGGTGGTTTCTATTAGACATCCGCCATAACAATTATGATCTTGTCACTGTTGAGTTTGGTTTGGAATATTCCAAAGAAAATCAAGAGAATCAACGGCAATACCAGCGCCCGCTTGCATATAGTCCAGCCCAAACGGTGCAATCTGTGGATCAAAAGGTTGCGCTAGCCACTCTTCCAGCATGCCGTTTTCATCAAAGTCAAATTGATCCGTTGATCCAGTCACAGTTCCTGGAAACGACTCCCGGTTGCCTTCTTGGTCATCATTGCGGGTATGTGCGGAGGATGAGACATCTTGGTTCCGCGGCTCCTGCTGGTCATTATCATTGTGCTGCCCTATCAAGGTGCCGGCCCTAAAAGGCGACGCTACACGACTTCGGTGTGGTGTTGGCAGCAGTGCTTTTTTCTTAACACGGAAGTTGCGTCTGAATCGTTGGACGTGCCGCGAAATCAATATTGCGTATCGGCTAGACAAGTGGATGTCGTCCGCCCGGTTTGTCCGTAGGGCCACAATACATCGATCCAATGTTTTCAAAGAAGAACTGATATCGGCCTCTCGAGACCCAAGGCTGATGGCCTTAAGGAGAAAAACGGATGCGCTGACAATCCTGAGGTAGACGCGAACCGGACAATATTGCAGAATACCTTCATCACTTAGCTCTACAGCCGTCATTAGGATCTTGCAGCTCGACTCCCGGACTTCGTTGACTGATGCAAAGTCTTGGGCATGTTTTGATCGCCAAATTTCGTGATCCTGCCACATTTCATCCCCACCAGAAAGATTGGTGATACGGTCGACCAGGGCTTGGATTGCAATTGAGTGGATATAGACTCGAGCGTAGTAGTAGTCAACAAGCAGGATTTTTCGTGCAGGGCCTTGTATAGCTGCAACAAATAAGAGTGTGCTGAGAATTAGTGAGGTGAGAGTACTTACTGGGACATGGCATCTGCAGGTAGCTGTTATACCAAGAGTCCAGCATTGGTTGGAAGTGGTTCAGCAAGTTGACGTATCGTGTACTGCGCAATATCTGCTTAGTAGTGGACCTGTTCGCAAAGAACATGTCGGCCACGGTGGTCATCAGTCTCGTAATGTCAATCCATTTTGACAACATCAGCTCCCCATCACGGTGTACTTGGCTCATTGTCGTCATCTCTGCCGCAGGTGGTTGTGCGATGTCCTGAAGCGCATCTTGAGGGAAGATGCTCGTGCAACCAAGTCTCAAAGATAGTTGGGTCGCATATAGATAAAGTAGTCTTCGGATACGAAGTTTAGATGAACGAACAGCGGAAGATTCCACAATGTCCATGTCGTCGGTGGGCCTGAAAATCCCGAGTTCGTGTGCGAGGGTTGTCGCCATACCTACCAACATCCAACTCAGGCGGTCAGACCGTTTTGCAGGCTCGAAAACGTCCTCGCGCCAGCGCTTGCTGGCTTCGGAATTATCCTCTTGTGGCGTAAAGCTATCGTCGACCGTTGGTGCAAGGCTAGCATCCCATCCATCATTCTCGGGCGGAAAGTGCAATGACCGGGGGTGCCATTCTGTGATCAACAGAAGAGCCTGTATACTTCCCAAAGTACGGCTTTTGGCCATGCTGTATTTCTCCGAACCAAAGGTGATTCGTTGGACAAGGTGTTCGATATGTCTCCAAAGACGAGCATGGATGAAGTCTGCCCGGACGGCACCTCCGGGGCCTGAAGGGTAATGATGCCGCGATGAAACCATCAATACTGTGCAACATAACAGCGGCTCCTCAAGTATCAGACGTCTATGACTGGCAGGATCGGCATTAAACCCGTCCATCACTGGAGATAATGGTGACAATTTGGTGAAGAAACTAACATGGTCAGCATGGTCAAACGTAGTCTGAAATGGTAACAACGGGGCAAAGGAGCTTACGCAAGTACATATGCGACGGCCTCGCGGGCCGTGAACCATCCTTGCCTGACAAATCGATGTTGACTCCAAAGCTCCAAGATGTCCGGGGGTACATGTTCACGGGTATTTAGACTCGGCGAGAGGATGCCCGTCGACATTGACTGCGCAGGTCCTGTTTCGATACCACCATGATTCTCGGAGTCATCTAGGCTCTCAGAGTCTGACGACCCGGCAGCACGGAAAAGCAAGCCTACTGCATCGCTGGAACTGGCAACCACGGTTTGTACAACTTGATCTTGCAAATTATCTGTCAACGATGTCGATTCTGAATGTGCCGTATGTGCGGGTACGGCCTGTTTTGACCGGTTCGCACCATCATTTCCTGAAACGAGTGGTCTTTGAGCCAGAGGGTTATCTCCCCTAGGAGAAAGATCAACGAGATGTGATGATCTGGAAGGAGATGGAGCGAGTTGCTGATTTTGCTGATGTTGTTGCCATGCGTTTCCACCATGACCAAGGCGTGCCACTTCAGTGCCGTCTTGCGAAGCATCTACCGCGGGAGACGGCTGCAAGTTCTCAGCTATGCACCACCTTCACCATTCAAAAGCACAACTTACTGCGGCGTGCGCAAGTTTTGCACGTTTGGTTGACCTGTGTGCTGGGAAAATACATTCTCTCTGTTCACGCTGGCATTTGAAACATGCCTCAGAGTTCTCATCACGCTCGCATTTTGCTTTGGTTTTGCGACATGACTCGCACGCCTTGTAGGTGCGCTTGTATGTGCCGCTAGGCCTGGCCGCTCGGAAGCCCACATTCGATTGTGAAGCCTCACTAGGCCCGGGAGTCATTTCACCCGGAAAGAAGAGGGCCAAACCCACAGGGAGTTGGAAAAGGGCGGAGAAGACTTTGCACTATGTGAACCATTATCGAATTGATGTGCGCCTTTGACCGGAGATGTTGAGCAGGAAAACCCAGGATATATGATCAAGACACCCCATGGAGTCGCGGAGAAGTTACCTAGGTGTGGCGGGTGGAGAGCAAAATTCATTGCTTCTTGGCTCGGATATTTGGCGGATAGCCGGGGAGACCCTAAGCCATAAGTAGGGCTGCCGTGACTTACAATGTTTATTCGAGTTGGGTCGATTGGATGACCCATTGCAAGACTCCAATGCTTTCATTTACTGCGAAATGGTATCCGAGACCACACTATGACTTCGACTGGCCATCTCTATCCCCTGGAGTTGCGGCAGGAGATTAGTTCTGATACTAGCAGATACATAGTGGCAAACTGGAATCATGGAGCTCAGGAGGACAATTACAATTGCTGCTGGAGATTTTACCTGCACTTTGATTGAACTAGTTGAGGCTGATGCGTTTGAGGCACTTGCTTCCATTCAGATGGGATGATTGGGACCATTGGACTCAAATTCGCTATTTTAACAAGCGTTTCAATCAGCTCAGGGACCTTGCATCTCAGACCCTGATAAAGGTACAGGATAACAACGATTTTTCTCGCCGGTATCATCTCGTGATGTACCTAGACAGCAAACAAACACAAGCATACAACCTTCTTCAATGTCCAGTCAACCCATTGCTGGACCCAGTCCGGTTCACCAAGTCATTTTCGGTGTATTTGTAGCGCTCCTCGAGGTCCCAGTACTTGTTGAACCCGACACCCTCACAGACTTCGCTGTAAGACAAGATGGTTGAAGGGGCTCCCACAGTCATGCTCTCTTTCAGCGTTTCCAGCGCTTCGCGGATTGCTTTGATTTTTGCAGCCACGAGACGCCAAGGATAGGCAACTGCGCACATTCCAAGCTCTGCGAGGTCCTTGGCCGACAGGTTCTCCGTAAGACCACCCTCAATGATATTAGCGAACGTGGGAATGCCGACCTCTTTGACGGCACGCTTCATAGATTCGCGATCCGGGAGAGCTTCTATAAAGACTGCGTCCACACCAATGTCGCGGAACCTCTTCGCTCTTGTTATAGCCTCATCCCAGCCGAGAATCAAAGAGTCGGTTCTAGCGAGAACGAAGATATCAAGTCCTTCGTTACGGGCGTCGACTGCAGCCTGGATCCGTGCATAGGCCTCGCCTCTGCTGACAACTGATTTTCCCTTGGTATGTCCACACCCTAATAGTTGTATAAGCACCAATCCAATGGTAGCGCATCAAGGTCACTCACTCTTGGGCCATGTCTGATCCTCGATCATGACACCAGCGGCGCCAGCCAAGGCAAAAGACTCCACAGTTCTTCTAACATTCATTGGGCTTCCATATCCTGTGTCGCCATCTGCCATCACAGGAACTGAGACCTGTCTCACAGCCTCTTGGATCTTGTCACACATCTCTTGCATGGCAATATAGCCAGTATCTGGTAATCTGAAGTTGGACAATCAGACAAAGAAGAGCATCAATCATACTGTTTCTTGCTTACCCATACGAGCTGGCACAAGGGTAGCCAGCCAGGAATACCATGGGAAATCCAGCTTCTTCCACAAGGCGCGACGATAGTCCATCCATAGAGCAACAATGCGCCAAAATCTTGGTAGGATCTCTGTGCGCTTCTAACATCATGGTTCGAAGGCGCGAGGCCTGGATTGAGGGGATACGACCACGAACATTGGGAAGTGTGATTGACACTTCGCGTGCTCCGCCCGACTTTGTGCTGTCCGGAGAAGGTATAGGGTTTGTAAACTGGAAGGGGTACTTGTGCTTGTTGACGATGCTTTTCGACATGTTGACAGCTGGTCGGGACCACTACTCGGATTCGTGAGAAGGAAATTGATGGTGAATTGACGAGTTTCGAACAAGACCAGTCGTGACTCAAGATAGATACTTAGTAAGATATCTGGACAGGCTTTGATGTTCTCTAGATGGGGAGCGATTGACTGTCTTTGTATGCGATTGATATAACTTCATATAAGGGGCAATGACAACTTCTACGGATATTGTAGGAATATTAGGATACCGAACTTCGGAGAAGGAGACTCTTTTGGCTGTTGGGAACCCCAGTTGAGCAATACCCGGATATAACCGCCCACGGAAACCAGGGGTATTTCGAGGGAGCGCCCGTGAGGCCCGCGTCATCAGATTTTCCAGAATCCATCAAACTACAAGACACATGGTATGCACCTGGCGGCTAATGCTTGTGGTCCAGCCACGGAGCCGTCTTGCAGTCTTTGTGTTTAAATGTTGCTGGCAAGCAAGTTGAGCAAATATTCAATTGAGACCAAACGCTAACTTATATCGATGCACGGCTGGCAACCATACCCATTGTATCACATGCTGGAATATCAATGCCACCCGTCACTCAGTCGTTATTCCGGTTGAGAATGCTTCCATTTCCTTTTGCAAAGCCTCCTTCACAATACTGCCACATAGTTTGGCATATGGGTTGGTGTGCACAGCCAGCTGTTTCGCGGCTTTATTCCCGTACCTTCCGCCCAAGGCAAAGTCCCTACTAGCCATCTCAGTCAGTTCTTCACGGTCGTACTTTGCAAGATCTGGAAGTGCTGCTAGCGAGAAGCTGCCCGAGGCGGCCGGTTGGGAAGCCTTGTACAGCAGATAACCTCGGTGAGTATAAGCAGAAGACAAAACGTTGGCCGCTTGTCGAGAAACCGGCTGCACAGGACTGTCTGGAGAAGCCAGTCTGATTGCAGCTGCAAGGTCTTCGAATATGGCTTTCAAGTCATGGGAATGTTGAGATAACTTTTTCAGGTCGGGGTGCAACAATCGTCGTGCTTGGGCTCGGTTGTTGTATCCTGCAGCATAATTTGGAAACTCTTCGAGAAGGCTATCAAACGCAGCAATGCCACTTTCAATAGTTGAGAGAGATGGCGAATCCGAGTTCAAGGGCAGAAGTATTTGCTTTTCTCGTTCCTGTATCGTATGCAGCGTCTGCGAGTCATAGTGTCTATCCGGTTCAACCTTCGGCTCGACAACGGCCACATTTCCTCCTAATCCAGCCTCGGGGTCCAGAATCGCCCCTAGTACCGCGCTGTCGTTCTTGGAGAGCTGTGTTGCGGTAGCCATTTGGTTGGGTCCAATCAAATAAGATTGTGTTTGAAGACACACTCGGAAGCGTTTTGGGGGATGTTGACTTGACCACGAAACCGATTCTTTCATTCAATGGATAGCAAAGGTCATGATGAGGATTAGGTCTAAATCTATTTCGCAAGGTATGCCTGGCGGTTAGCGAAGGCTACAGTGAGTGGGTCCGGAAAGCGGCGGAAAATTGCCTTTTCAAAATGTTCAAGGCCCGGCTGGAGCCGGATTTGTTAACAATTGGTCCTGGGCTGCGACTGTGACCAATCTGTCGACCTGTTGCCGCTTACGAGGCATCCCAATACGAATGTCTCTCTTCTCCCGACAACAACCGTTACAAGCCGCCCGCTACAAGCCGCGCGAATGTCAGCATCGCTGGTGCAACAATATCTTGACTCGTGTTCAAGGATGGGCCATTCAAAGGGAGATAAATATAGATTACAACCCAGATCGAAGTCAGGATGTTATATCAACACCTCTTCCTCGGACCAAGCCTTGCGAAATCCTGCTTGACCAAGCCCCTATCCATACCGGCATAAAAACATCAAAATGGCTAGTCAATCTTATTCTTCAACTGCGATCGAGTCTCACAACGCAACCTTCCATACCTCTCTTGTCGCCGAGGAGCCAAAGGCTCAGCTCAATTCCTATAAGGGCTACGACAATGTCCATTGGTATGTGGGCAATGCAAAGCAAGCTGCTGCGTACTATATCACCCGGATGGGCTTCAAGCGTGTCGCCTACCGAGGCCTTGAAACAGGATCACGCTTCATTGCGTCACATGTTGTCCGGAATGGCGATATCACCTTCGTGTTTACATCACCCCTACATGCTCCCAATACCAATGCACCGTGCTCAGAAGAAGACAAGGCTCTCCTAGAAGAGATTCACAATCACCTTGCAGCACACGGCGACGCTGTTTGCGATGTGGCCTTCGAAGTGAACGATGTTGAAGCGGTCTACAATGCCGCGATCGCGAATGGGGCCAAGGATGTCTTCTCGCCAAAGGAACTCACAGACGAATTTGGCAAAGTCAAGCTTGCTCGGATTCGCACTTATGGCGACACCACTCACACTCTGATCCAGAGAGCGGGTTATCAAGGTCCGTTCCTGCCCGGCTTCCGCGCCGTCGACGAGGAAGACCCAACTGCGAAGTATTTGCCCGTGGTGAAGCTTGACGTCGTTGATCACTGTGTTGGTAACCAAGACTGGAATGAGATGGAAGCGGCATGCGACTAGTAAGTTCGACCCGGAGGAGCCACTTGGCGTTCATGTGACTAACATGCTCGTAGCTATGAAAAGGCTCTTGGTTTCCACCGCTTCTGGTCTGTGGATGACAAGGACATTTGCACAGATTACTCGGCGCTCAAATCCATCGTGATGGCATCTCCTGATGAGAAAATCAAGATGCCCATCAATGAGCCAGCCACGGGCCTCAAGAAGTCACAGATTGAGGAGTATGTCGACTTTTATGGAGGAGCAGGAGTCCAGCACATCGCTCTGAAGACTGATGACATCGTTCGGGACGTGACCAACTTGGCCGAGAGAGGCGTTGAATTCATCAAGGTTCCCAACTCGTACTACGAGCTGATGGAGAAGAGACTTTCTGCTGCCGGTTTTCAAATCAAGCAAGACTTCCAGAGACTGAAAGAACTTGGCATTCTCATTGACTTTGATGAGAACGGCTATCTCCTACAACTCTTCACCAAACATCTGATGGATCGACCAACGGTGTTCATCGAGATCATTTACCGCAACAACTTCAGTGGCTTTGGGGCTGGAAATTTCAAGAGTTTGTTCGAAGCCATTGAGCGGGAACAGATGGCAAGGGGCAATCTGTAGTTCGTTTGTCAGCGTTTTTACATTTTCAGCATATATACTCGAGTTCTTCTCGTAGGACAACAATGGGGTTAACGGACAAGAGAATGAAATACCAAATAATTATAAGTACACCCTTTCTGAAAATGGTAGGGCGACTACGCCAGAGAGGTCAGAGCAGCCGGACAATGACTTGGCTCTTCGAGCACTACGCAAGAAGATTGACTCAAGCTGCGTCAGGGATGCAAGCGTCAACCGATCTTCTTGTGGCTAGAAGATCAGCGCCAAAGACCTGTTGCCAGTAATATTTATCCTTCTTCTGTGCCAAACAGTATGGGCAGAATGCCATAAACGATTGTGGCTTTTCACATCAAGTGGTTATTAGTTAACTGCTTTCGGTAATAATTCCATGGATCCCCGCTAGAAGAATCCTTTCATGCAACGATCTTTTATCACTGGTGAGTAGATAGTACCTGATGCATTGCGAATTGGTTGTGAATGGTGAATGAGAAATTATAGATGTTCTCTGAACTTGCGATATTTGGCTGGCCATATTCCTTGTTTCCCCGGCGATAATATCCCATGAGGGTCCAGGGAGTCCTACTTAATACCGTAAGCCAAGGAACGACCGAGCTTGCTGCAGACTTACCTTCAATTTCTCCACGAAACGCCGATATGCATGGTCATTGAAGTCGTAGGAATCAGCAACCAGATCTACACTGTCAGCTACGCTCATAAGAAGATAGAAAATCGACATACCCATATAATTGAGATGAGATCTGTACTTGCTGAAACCTCTTTGACGGCCCTCTTTGAACAATTGTCGGAAGATGGAATCGACGGCTTTTCGGTGCTCATCATTGGTTTTGTCGAACACCATCATGTTGACGAAGATGACATGTCGCTCATGCATGAAGAAATCACAGAAGAGGTCAAAATTATGAGCCTCGCATATACGCCTCGCCGTACGTACCCATTCCAAGACCATCTTTCCAGACGAAGGAATGATTGGAGAGTAATCAGCATGAGCTCCAATGCCAGGCCTTTCTTTGGGAAGGCGGTATTTTGTCATCGGCAAGCTCCAAAGGCTTGGGACTCCGACGAAGAAGCCTCCATGAGACTCTGGCACGGTGGTTGCCTCCAAGAGCTCCTCATTCTTGCCAGAGAATAGATGGCCTTGAAGACGATGTGCAGACTGCGGCGCTTTCTTGTTGATAATTCTCTTCAATTCGTCAAAGTGGGCTTGAACAACATCTTTGGCACCATAAAGACCAAATTTGATATTCCAGTATCCGAGACCCAGCTGTTTCTGGAGCTCTTTTATCCGCCAGTCAGGGATTGGGCCTTTCTCAGGCCACAACTCTTCACGTTTGCCCATCATTCCCAGCCACTCAACAATGTTGGAGACATAAACAGTGCTTGGAAGGAGTCCGTCTCGGCGTAACGCTCCGAAGATATCGACAATCAACTCAACGTCTTCAAACTCGGGCATATCGAAAGAACAAGACATGTATGCTTGTGGCTGTGGATGCAGCCAGATCCCCATTTTCGTGACGATGCCGAGATTGCTTTGAAGGAAAAGACCTTCAATTGATGGGCCGAATGTGAACTTGGAAAGATGTGCTGATGGCGAATTCGAAATCGCAAACTGTCCTGTTCTCACGATATCTCCATCGGCAAGCATAACTTCCAAACCGCAGATATGCTGGTGATGGGTTGCGGTCGGAGTGAATCCGGTGCCTCGATCAACTGTCTGCACTCTTGGTCAGTCCTACCCCACACAATGGAAAGATGAAAGTGTACATTGCCGACAACGCTTCCCCATCCCAGCGATGGGACGCTAGGCCAGACGCGGAGCTTGTTCTTCACGCAATATTGGTATAGGTCGGTGAACGTCACGCCCGGCTCAACGACGGCGTAAGAAAACTGGTCATTAACTTCCAGAATCTTGTTCATGCGGTGTAGATCCAGGGCCAGGGAGCCGTTGAGTCTGGGTGCTGGTCCACCATATCTAAGCGCATTAATGATTGTAAAACCGCAAATGAAGTCTGACCCACCCTAGGTTCTTGCCTCGAGAAAAGGTCCACACAGGAACGCCATACTTGTTGGCAATCGCCAGGATAGCACGAAGTTGTTCGTTGGACGAGGGACTTGATATCGTCAGATTGTACATCAGAACATATTGAACACTTACCAGACTGCTGCACTGGGTATCCTTCTCCGGCCTTCCTTTTCCCACAACTCGTAAGGATCGACATACTCCTCCAGCGCCGCACCTATGAAGGTGAATTCCTTTCCGACAACATGCTGGAGCTCCTTAATGACTCGATCAAAGTCCTGTTGGCTCAGACAAGGGGGCAGGACTTGTTCCAGCGGTGTTAGCAAAGCGCCAGAAAACAGCCTTTGGTGATTCGATTGATACTCTGGGTCTTCATATCGAACAGGGAATTTTGTGTCCGCGGAACCCATGACTGGCTAGAGACACGTTTTGCGATTCCTTGCATCTCGCTACCACGACTGAAAGCTTCGATATGTAGTCCGTGAGGCTGGAAAAGCCCCACGAACCCTCCGTCTGGGGCAAAGCTGACTACTCCAACCCCACACTACCACATAGGGCAAGGCTTCCCCAAATGGTGGGAGCGAGAATATGGGGTGTTGTTGTCAAAGTTTGAAAGGTTCCATGTTCTCTATCAAAGGGGCCTGGGGAAGGCCTTAACTAAATAGCCCAAGTCTCAGTTAAAACAAGAGGCTGGAGAATGCATAAGTTTGACAGTTGTAGGTGCCATCGCAGTGATAACAACAGTCCGATTCGTCCAAGGCTTGTTGTCGCTTTCTGCAATGGCGACAGGCTTAATGTTATCACGCATTAGTACACTTAACGCTCCTACCATTCAAGCAAGGAGTTTAGAACAGATGGAGTGCATTGTCTTGCTAGGAAAACATCACAATCAGCCACGACCGTAACATAAAGTCCAGCTTATCATGTTCAAGCCTGCAATGCCGCCATTGCGATCCCCTTTGCTGCAAAGAAATGATGCACAATCAATTTGTGCGTTCAAAGCCTCGGTATTGGAATGTGAAAAGACGAAAGCCGAATTTCGTGGTATGTCGACCTGGAGTCCAGAAACGACCCGAACCCGCGGCCATACTTCACATAAGGGAGGCTGTTGGGCGTCTTCGAGACCACTTTCTCCCTCGGGATCGCCTTCTCCTTTGGGATGCGTAGAGAGCCCGGTTGAAGTCGGACTGATTCTCGTCTTACTTGTGCGCCCATAGCAGGGTCATATGGGCAATTGACAAAAAAGATCTGAATCTCTCCGCAATCCCAATACTGATGATCTTCCCAGATGCGGACGCGGTGCAGCTCTGGCACATCACCGGCTGTTTGAACAAACAGTCCTTCTTCTTCAATATCGATCAGTCTTTGCAAGACGGCACTACCAGTACAGCCTTGAAGGTCGCCTTCTGTCCGGTCAGTTCGGCTCAAAAGCTCCACGGCTGCCCGCCGGATGTTGGGATCACGACATCGTCCGGCTACAAAAGCCAATGTGTCTACCACGCCGGAATCAATCCCAAAGGAAACGTTGTGAGGATGTTGAACAAAGCCTCCTATGGCAGATTGATACAGTTCGATGATCTCGGAAAAGCCACCAATATGGTCATCATAACTGCATTCATTGGCCGTTCCCAGTGTGTCGAAAAGAATTGAAACAACAATAGCCGCGGCTTTGAGGAGCTTCTTGGATTTCTCAAGGCTGTGGTATCGCTCCGATGTAGCTGTCTTCGTCAAGTCCAGAGCTCGGGTCCAACTTGAAATGAGAGCTTGCACTCTCGATCTTTCATCTCCCCTCGGTAAGAAAGGATGGACGTTTTGCTCTGACCAGTCCACTATTTGCTCAAGTTTGTTCCGCGCCTCAAGCAAGGTTTGGAAAGACGCAGGAGTTTCAGGTAATGGTGAACCACGTTCGGCTGTCTGCTGCCGGGTCATGACGTGTAAAGCCAGTGCCGAAGGAATGTCGACTATGCTGCAGAAGCGCATCCGCAGTCTTTCAATGATGGGCCTTAGGGTCTTGTTCAGCACCATTACCTCACTATCACTGAGCACCAGAGTACCAGAGGCCAACCTTTCGTCAATGTCGGATACCAAACTGTGACCAGATGTGAGTAACTGATATGCGCTATGGCTATTTTGCAGATTCTGCAGGCATATGAACAGGATGCATGAGATCAGCGCGGCAATGTCCGATATTGGATGCTCGCAAGCCTCTCGGGTGGCTTTAATGCATTGACATAGGGCGAGGTGTTGCAGATCGGAAGCCTCATCAATTTCGCAGGATTCGTGGAATGCTCCTAAAGCGACCAGCCCATGCAAGATGGACCGGTTGCTGCGACAAGCTTGGAGAATGAGTTTGTTCCAGAAAGAGGCATCTCGCCAGCCTGACCATTCAGGTGCAGTGCGCTGGCAGTAGAACACGAGGCTGCGGAGCTCCTCGGGTCTAACGCCCGGAAAGGTGCTGATGCTTTGCATAAGATTGGTGGTTGGAGATCCGGATGAAGATGCAGAAAGCATTGAGCGCTGTGGGCCATCTTCACGACGCTGGTCATTCACATTCGTGTCAAGCCGAAGACCGGGTTGGGTGGCAGTAGTTCTGGGCTTCGGCTCGGCCTCTAAGGGTCGTTTCTTCCTAAGGGCTTTGACAGGCACTTCCGGAGCGCCCTTAGTTTTCATTTGTCGCTCATGTTGCACATGCTTGCGAATCTTCCTTGTTTCGACTTCGCAACTCCGCGAGAGCATGGTCGATGCGGAGTGTTTGTTGATCCAAAGGAGGGACTCCGGCATCCTGCCCAGTCAGTAATGGTGCAAAATGTGCAGCGTGAATACTGCATTGAGCAGCTTCGCCCAGGGAAGCAACTCGGCTGGCGGAAGACATTGGATCATTATGAAACAGCGATAGATGGAACGCAGATAGCTGCGGTCGACAGTGCCAGGAGGCCGACCGAGATGCCTTCATGTCAGTCAGCAACGTGTGCCCATGGGGGAGACCAGCCATGCACTAAGCCGCCATGCCACCCGACAGGACACAAGTTGATATCATCTCTGGGATTCTCTGGGCCACAAAGCATCGGTACATCGGCAATGTAAGGTCCGGCCAACTCCCAGACGCCAATCGCGATGCTGCAATGCCTTTTGCAAGTCGGATGTGCTTGGCCTCTAGACATGATCGAGCTTAGTTCAGTCACATAAATGCGTAGTCGGTGATGAACGTGCGCGTATAGTCATGAACCTGGCTTTTGCGCAGAATGAGGTTCCGTCTTCGAAATGGCTCCCCGCTTGGAAGGCCGCCCCTCGTGTAGCGCCCCCAAAACTGCGGCATAGAATCTCCAACTTGAAGGAGGTTACTTTGTCGACAACGTACCTTATGCGCGAATCGGGGCTCGTCAAAAGTCCATCTCCGATTCCAAATCGTAAGGCGGGAGCATCCCTTGGCAGTGTTCTTCGAAGCGACTGGCCCTGCGCGCGTATTGCGCGTCCCACAACATTGTCCTGGCCTGCTGTCGTTGCTCACCTGTTCGCCTTCAGGTGCCTCCTTGAGGTTACGACCTATCACCGCCTCTCCAGGGCATCATGTCACGATACCGAATGAACAGGTCATGCCCATGGTGAAACGCGTGGACTCCCTTGTCCTTAACGGTCACGGAGCCGCGATTGGGGACGACGAACCACAGCCACTTGTAGCTCATTGCAAACGTGCCAAGCATACAGACTCCGGCATTTGAAGATTGATCTCACTGCAATCATGGCTGTAGAGGCAGGGCATACGAAGAATGCCAACAGCCTAAAATACCAGCCGGAGTCCAGACTCACCAGAGAAGCTGATTGCGTGCGCGAGGTAACGCTGGGAGCCTTGGAACTATTACTGCATGATTTGGGGCAGTGACAATGAATTCCGTGACCGTAGGATTGGCCAATTGTCATCTCTCATATTCTCTGAAAGTCAGTGCAGACTGTGTACCTACAGGTATGTCTCTTGAGGTAAGTCAGACACGAGGAGAGAACAGCATACTAGTAATCCACACAGTCCGAGCGTTGGCCGGTACCATCAAGGACCTATGTTGACGCTCTGGAGAGCTCCGACTTTGTTCGTAGGGGAAGCTGTCCCTCCCTCGCAGCGTGTCTCGAGACGACTGTGCAAAATGTTGCGGGTGATCCTCGTGACGACGGCCGTCTTGGACTTTTGGTGGGTGTAAGGTAGGTCTTTCAAGACAAGAGATAACATCGACAGATGCCCCACGAGTGCGCTGCAAGGAGTTAAGGGACTGATGCAGAAATAGGCCAACGTCGAATGGTGCGATGCAGCATGGTATCACAACTCGGATTACCTCACACAGGAGTTTCAGGATCTTCCTTCTTTTCTGCACACAACCTGCAAGTTCTAGAAGGAGACCATAATAGTGCGCCATAAGACTCGGTAGGTACGTGACGAGTCCAGTGGAGCGGCCAAATAACCGGTGGACTTTCTTCTACACTTGTCTTCCAAACTGGACACTGCCAGACCCCGTCGTGGGTGTCACACTCGACAGTCGAGACGTACAACGTTGTAGTTTCGACTTGGTGGGCTGGATTTGCCATGCTAGTCAGATTCTACCCTTCGATTCGTTGAACCGACAATGCCATGATTGAGACGATGGAGGCAATGCTGATCATCCCCAATGTGTGCTGCAGGAGAAAACGGATCTGAGACAAGGGGCAGAGCAGCTCTGAAACAGCAAAGACGAGAGTTTTTGTGCCATAGCACTGGCACGGGACGTTGCAGACAGCACCAGCATAGACTTTCGGAAGGACATGCAGTGCCGCGTCTCTCTGTTGAGTCGCTAACTGTATAGTGGTGGCCGCGAATTGCAGTGCTTAGGGACATGTTTTAGATGTGATGCGCGTATCTTCATCCAACCCTGCAACTTGGAGCCGGCAGGATTTGCCAGCACAGCCGCCATGCTCGTAGTCTACATCATGGCCAATTATAGACAGACCTCATTCAATCACGATGTAGAGAAGATGGGATTCTGCACATGTAGTTGGTGTAATTACTACTAGTATTCCACCCTGGCTGGCCATGCCCATCACTGCCAGTGATACTTGTCGAATAGAGACTGGTCTTGGACAACGGTGGCTGGTGGTCCGAGCGAGCATCGATAAACTGCGGGCTGTGCCCCAGCAACGGGCGAGAACCAACCAGCCCTGAACCAGGCCTGTTCGGGGCATGGTCCCGCCTGGAAGGGGCCACTTCCCCCTGGTTTTATGGGCCTGACAGCCAACCTTTCCCTTCTTCCCAGGCGCTAAGCAAGCCACAACTGCGTCAGTGTTTGCTGAAGCCACCGCGGAGTTCGAGTTGCCTCTATCCAAGTGTTGCAACTCTTCCTTGCACTTTTCCCACCGGCCTTCGTGTACCAGTCTGTTGAGTGGAATCCAAGGTTGTTTCGATCTTCCCGCAGTCGTCCTCATCACTTCTTGTCTTTATACACTCAATAACTGGAATTGAGCGCCTGAAACCCGACTTGCCCGCTCGAGCGAGACGAAAAACCCCCACAACAACACCCACTACCTAGTACCACCGCACCGCAGGCTCAGCCTCAGCCTCAACGCGCAACCATCCTCCATCACGGTGCCATCTACTTGCTCTTTTGGAAAATAACAGCGTCGAGGCCATCGCATGCTTACGGCCGACCAGCGAGAAAGAAGTGTTGGTAGACATCGCGCTGCCATTTGACAACAGCAACAGACTCCCTCGCTCTCATGGCAGCAGTCCCATAGAGTAAATCACTCCCCTGTTGCCACGGCGGCATTTCTACTGTGGCCACGATATGGACCACGCTCCTCCCCAATTGTGGGCGGTTGCCCACGAACTGGTGTCTCGCAGTGCGACGAACTCGACTTCCACAAGCGCAACCGAAGCCAGTCGCCCGCCCGTTTACAAGGCAATTGGCATTTCTCTAGCTGTCGCTTCAGGACTTTTCATCGGCATCTCATTTGTCTTGAAGAAAACCGGCCTACTCAAGGCCAATGCAAAATACAATGAAGAGGCTGGTGAAGGATATGGATACTTGAAAAACTGGTACTGGTGGTCGGGCATGACCCTGATGATCGTTGGCGAGATATGCAATTTCGTCGCCTATGCTTTCGTCGATGCTATCTTGGTGACACCACTCGGCGCACTCAGTGTCGTCGTCACCACCATTCTTTCAGCCATCTTCCTCAAGGAGCGTTTGAGTTTCGTCGGAAAAGTGGGATGTTTCAATTGCATCGTTGGCAGCGTGGTGATCGTCCTGAACGCGCCAGAGCAGAGCTCGGTGGCCGACATCCAGGAGATGCAGCATTTTGTGATAGCTCCTGGCTTTCTCAGTTACGCTGGCGTGGTCATCATTGCTTGTACATTTGTCGCTCTCTGGGTTGCACCGCGATATGCCAAGAAGAGCATGTTGGTTTATCTCAGTATTTGCAGCCTCATCGGTGGCCTCAGTGTTGTTGCAACGCAGGGCTTGGGAAGTGCTGTGGTTGCTCAAGCCAGTGGAAAGCCGCAGTTCAACCAATGGTTCCTCTATGTCCTCTTGGTCTTTGTCGTCGCGACACTGCTGACGGAGATTATCTATCTGAATGTGAGTGAAAATGGCCGATTTTTGACTGATTCAGCTAACCTCTAGCCATAGAAAGCGCTGAACATCTTCAATGCTGCCCTTGTGACGCCTACCTACTATGTCTTTTTCACCAGTGCCACGATCGTTACATCCGCCATCCTCTTTCGGGGCTTCAAAGGCACTGCTGTCACAATTACCACCGTCATCCTTGGCTTCCTGCAGATATGCACAGGCGTCGTGCTTCTACAAATGTCGAAATCTGCCAAGGACGTCCCTGATGCCGCAGTGTTCAAGGGTGACTTGAACCAGGTTAGGGAAATCGCAGAAGTCGAACAGCCGGAAACCGAACCAAAGGCGGACGCCCTCCGTGGGGCCGCCAGTTTGATCAGGAGGATGTCCGTGTCGCGACAGAAGATGGAACAGGAAGAAGCCAGGCGCCTACGAGAAGACAGGATGAAAGATGAACTTGAACCGCTCGGAGAGAACGAAACTGTTGAATGGGACGGGCTTCGACGGAGAAAGACTGTGGTTGGCACGCCGGGCTCTCCGACTCCGCGCAGGACTGTACATCCTCCTCTAGGCATGTCTCATTTCCCTGACCCGAACGACGAGGACCGCGATCCTGGGCCGGGCTTTTTCGAAAATCTCCGCCACCGGGCCCAAACCGTCATTCGTCATTCTAGCCCTCGAGAAGCAGATCCGAGGGCAGAGAATGCACCACGGAGTCCGATATACCCTGTCGCATTGACAGATATCAAGCTCCCCCCTTCTCATATGGAATCACCGATTATGCCCTACGGCCCAGGCAGCCTGGAAGATGCTCAAGAGCGAATATATGGATTGCCGCCTGGAAAGCGGAAAGAAGAAGACAGACAGGCTGGGATTTCCGCCGCCAGGCCCTCGCCTCGATCTAAGCCGCTCCCTGCCAAACCTTCACCCTCCCCAACCTTGAAGCTTCCTCATGAGACAAGACGACAATTTTCGTTCACAAACTTCCTCCGGCCGAGTTCTCGTACCCCAGATGTCGACCACGACGGCGCACGGCCGGCGCTCCAGAGCCGGGGAAGCGCTACCAGTTACGAGCAAAAACGAGCAAGGAAGAATGCTACGGAGGAGGAAAGACTGGGTCTTGTCAAGGGTGACTCCCACCTTGCATTGCTCCATCGTGAAAACTCTGGCTCTCCAGAACGCTCGCATCAGCCCACATCTTATGCCCATCCGATTTCTCATTCTCAGTCAAGCTCGTCCTCCAGCCTTGATGATTTCCCTCACAATCTCTACCACTCACCTTTCCAACGTTCCCTCGCGGATTCTGACGAGGATGATGGTTGGCAGATGACGAATGCGCCGATAGCGTCGAACAAACCGATAGCGAACTTGAGCAGTCCACCACGAGCGACAGTCAGAACCAGCACTCGACGCAGACCAAGTCCGCCGAGGGCGTACCATCCTCCTCCCGCCATGAGGAGCCCTCCACCAGAGTACAGTCCAGAAAGGCCACAACCACCAGCACGAGGAGGGCCGGCACAGGCCAGAGCAGCGGCGGAAGCAGTGTCCGGCCTTTCCCAGACTTTGTCGACGAGTCAGAATTGGGGCACGACTCAGAGTCAAGACCCTGGATCACCCCAGGGCCGTGGCGGTCATCGCCTAGTTCAAGCTTCCGACACGACAGGACTGATTGAGGATGGGACCCGCATCGCGAACAACCAAAACGAGAGCGAATACGAGGCCAGTCGAAGACGCTTTGAAGAGCAGAGCAAACGAGAAAGAGAAGAACGGCGGATGCGCGCCACTGGACGGCGTCAAAGTTGGAAACCAATGACGCCTTGAGATCGGCAGCGGGAGCTGGCTTTAACGTCTTTGATTTGGGGCGGTTGGACTACTTGACCGTAACGTCGAGCGTCTACGAACATGATGACATACCCACGATTGTGTACGCTGTGAACGGACACATTGGTTGATTAGACAGACACGAAGCAATGGACTAGATGTTGACTAGGAAAGAATCTCTTTGGAGCACATTCTGTCAGTTGTATGCCCTGTGTAGAGGCTGTAGTAAAAAGGACATGAAGTTCTGCGTACATGTAGAAATAACAGAATTCCCCTTCAGCCCTGCAAACGTCCAGATTGTATTGCTTGCACCGCAGTGTTGCCGTGGGTGTTTAGCACGGCGCAGATTTGGGGCGCTGGGACTGGCGCTGGGACTGGGATCCTAGGACCCGGCTTCACCGGATATACGATACGACTCGGACGTGTAATGTTGCCGAAGCTCCGTTGCTTCGGGCGAGCATGGACAAGTTGGAAGTCGGCCAGCGTGCAAAAAGGCCCAAGTTGAATGGATGGATTTCCATTTCCATGACCCAGCCAATTTGACATGGAATTCTTTTATGGATCATTCGGATAGACCAGAAGACATTGTTATCGACCTCCTGCGTGTCCAGCGACTGTGGTTTGCCAAACATGGCTGCAGCGCCGTCTTCCGAGACCTCGCATGAGTCGGCCGACGAGGCTAATAACACGTCTCAGGCTGCCACGAAAACAAACACGGTCAAGGACAAAGAATGCCCATATTGCCATCAACACTTCACCTCCTCCTCTCTCGGCCGGCACCTCGATCAGTTCATCTCGAAGAAGAAGCCAGACGGTATACATGATGTGGAAGAGATCCGGAAAGTGCGGGGTGGCATCACGCGGCGCACAGCTCGAGGTTCGAGGCGCGAGCGGGATAAAGACAAAGAGCGAGACGATACCGTGTCGTCGCAAACAACTCCAGCCCCGGTGCCACAGTCAGCGACACTCGTGTCCTCGAACAGCCAAGTGAATCGTGTGCCTCCGGGAGGATTCCACTACCGCCTGAACAGGTTGAACTGGCAGGCCACGGGCGTTATCACCGACCCGACCACCCTCGACTCTCCCGTCACCGCCGCTCCTCCCACCCCGGCTGTTGCTTCGAGCCCATCGGGAACCAAGCGCAGCTTTTCGACCTTTGCGCAAGATGCGAATCCTTCGGGCAATGCAGAGACTACGCGCGCCCTGGAACTTGCGTTGCGCGAGGTTCTTGACTCCCTCCGTGCCGCGACCAAGAAAGCCTCCCCGAAGCCATCGCCCTTCAACTTCGACATCCCTTCCCAGACATTTCCATCGCTATGCCTGAAGCTGCTCCCAGCACCGGCCACCTTATTCCAGACATCTCCGTTCTCGACTCCGCAGTCAGTACCAATCGCGCCGCCCGGCCCAGACCAGCTACAACCATTACGCCAAAAGATCACATCTACCATTGACTATTGGAAATGGCAGGCTCTGCGACTTGCCCAGCCGACGACATCAAACATTGCAGAGGAGGCGGATTTCCTCAGCCGCAGTGCGACACAATGGGTCGAGACGGCCCTCAATCATCTAGATACAAGCTATCAAAACTGGATGGTGCACCCACCGGAAATACGCAGTCTGTTGTGGCAGGTGGAGTTGCTGAGGGCGTACAACACCGAGCAGCAACGGGTCGCAGAACTGGAGGAGAAGTCGGAGTCCCTCCAGCAGGAAGCAAATCAACTACAGCAACAGGTGGAATACTTGTCCCGGTGCCAATGGCCGCGGGAAATGGCTTTGTGGCCTCCAGAGCGGAGGACATTTGGACAAGCCATGCGGGATGAAATACGATCAATCAACCTCAACAAGCTGCCCGGAGCGGAGCGGCCAGAAGATGCCGGTTTTCTGGGAGATGGTGTGAATACAAAAGGTGACAAATGGGACTTTGACAAATTGGTCAGTAAATGGAAAGCGCACATCAGGGAGGACAAGAACAGGCGAATGCCGCAGAGTCAAGCGATAACCGACAACGCGGCAAAGTCTACCGAACTTAAGAAGTCGCACAGTGAATCCCAAACCAATGGATTTGCCAACGGGCAATCCCCGAATGTTGATGAAAGGCAGAGAAGTGCCAGGGCGCAAAAAGGACCCGTCAATATTGTTTCTGATTTATAAATCAAAGAGTAATGCGCCCTCATTTTCAATAGGGCTTTTCAAGAGTGCGAAATCTCGCTTTGTACGGTCTCATTATGTTCCCTGTTTTTCCCTTCCTATTCCAAATATCTCCAAGAAACATAAATGTATAAATGTCCAACCCGTTACGCCGAAAACCCTGTTCATTTCATCATTTCATGTTCAAAACCAAGTGTCTCCATCATCTTCCGAACGGAGCAGTCCAGACACCGAGCGCCGTTCTGTCTCATCCGCCAGTGCCACCGGATTCTCTTCATCAAGAGCAAATCGGACACTGCGTGTTATTCTTCTTCGTCCAGTTCCTTCTCTCTTTTGGCGAACAGACTGACTCTGTTCTGAATGGCATAGATTGCGTAGCCCACCAACGCCAGGACCACGAACAGGCAGATCACGATGATGGCTATTACATAGTTCCGTTGAACCATGACTGAGAGGATCTGAAGTCGTCGGACCCTGCCCTGAAAATGACGGTAAGGACTTTGCTCGGTTGTGACTGACTCGCCGGGAGGGCGGAGCGGTAGCAAAATTTTGCAAGGATATCGGAGCGCTCGCTGTTCGGTGATGTGTGAAGGGATTGATCGCCCGAAAGCGGATGGGCGGAGGCGGGCTCAAACGAGGTCCGCTGAGCAGAGAAGAGCTGCCGGGCAGTTCTCGGATTGGCACAGGGTGCGAGCGATGGCTCCTGGGGGACAAGGGACGTGGTGATACGGGAGGGGAGAGGTCTAAAGCAAAAACACGGCCTTGGGAGGTCGGTGGATCAATTTTGACTGCTTTCGGACTCTCGGGGCAAGAGAAAAGGGTAGCGAATTCCAATGAGGATGATGATGATGATGGCGGCGGTGGAAGAATTCGGGAATGGAATGCCTCTGGTGTTAGTGTTTGTCCCAAGCTTTGATGGTCTGTAGAGATGGAATGCATTAGCAAGAGCGAGCGCAACAGTCAGTACATGTAGGATGCCGCAAATTGGAGGTCCAGCCTCGTGAAAACAACTCATGGATGCGATGGCTGGTTACGAGAAGGTTGGGCTCCCAGCACAGCAGCATTGGAGGCTGGCGCTGCAGACGGCGAGGCTGGCGATCTTGGCGTGGGGGCTTCAGGTTGTCTGACGGAGGACTTTAGGCAATAATCCAGCCACCAGACAGGCTAATGACTTTGACAGACAGTTCGATTTTCTGAGACAACTGCACCGCATCCCAGCGCAACAAATCAGAGGACAGTTGCTAACACTAGTCCCAAAGCAGAAATCGGACAAGGCTCTACAACCGAGTCCGAGTCCGACTTTCTTTTGTCTCGCAGAGAACTCTACTTCTGCTACAACTGATACCCTGCTCAGCAGTACAGTACAGCAACTGCTTCTCGCTTTCAAAGTTGCGTCTTGAAACCTTTCAGCATTATTTCAATCGGTCCAGGTAGTATGGTGGGAGCGGCGGCCGCTGTGCATCTGCACGCCTCTCCTGTTGACAGCGGTTTCGTTCTTGCTCAGATAAAGGACAAGGTAACAAAGCAATGACAACTCCGTTTCTGTTCTCATCGAAATTCATTTGCGTTTCATTGTCCATGATGACAATGGAGAGATGTTTGCCATGCTGTGTTCTGTCGGTTTTATCGTTTAGCTTTCTTACTAGAGGTTTGTGGTTGCGTGAGACGTCCAACTTCCTATACATTGGCCAGATCAGATCATGGCTTCAGCAAGTCAAGGGCGTAATGGCCTCGCGCAGAAGCTCGATACCTCTTATACCAGTTTCAGCTCTACCGAGGGCATGCGTTCGCCACGAACCCCTACGTATATCCCGGAGTCTGCATCAACAGCAACGCTGATGCCTTTCGACCACGCCGAGTACCTCGACAAGGTCACTTCCAAACCAACCAAGCGGCTCGTTGCCCCTCCACCACCCGGACTGCCCAGTGCCTGGATCTGGACTTGTCATTTGTGCCATTCCCGATATCCTCTCGGCGTGACTCAGCGATGTCTCGTCGATGGCCATTACTACTGCTCCGGTGAAACAGATAAGCCAAGCTTGAGGAAGAGGAAGAAGCCCAAAAGCTGTACGAGCGAGTTTGACTATCATTCATGGAAACAATGGGGTGATTGGCGTCGAAAGGTCCTACAGTCCATGGACAATCCGAGGATCCTGAGAGGATGCGACTTTTGCGACTATCCAAGTCAGTGCCGATCCGTTTCTGACGCATCCCCTGTCGCAGAACTCCTCACATCGGAAGGGTTCGGCTCTGTTTCTTCTTCAGTATCAGGTAGCGAACCGCCAGAGCAAGAACAAAGGCAGACTAAGGTTGGAGCTACCACATCGAAACAGAATGTCGACCTTGAGAACATCCTGAACGGTGTTCCCTCAAGCAACAAGAAAAGCAAGGGGAAGTCGGGCAAGTCTACGACAAGCCGCTCAACGCGATCTGCGAAGGACACAAACCAGGCATATTCGAGGCAAGAACTTGTTACTGGGTCACAACCACTCTTGATTCCTTCGTTACAAGAAGAAATGGCGAAGGAGGCAGCCAGGTTGAGGGAGCTTATCGGGTTGGACGTGTGGGGAGATCTGCATGAAGTGGAAGCTGAAAAGGCAAAGGTTGAATGATGATTTGACGGACAGTGTACATATGCACAAGCTCGGTTTTGGAGTCCTCCTTAGGCCGGGCAATCTATTTTCCAAGCAGCCCGCCAACATACTCCCCAATAGCAAGCATCTTCTCCTCGGTATATCTTCTGCCAACAATCTGTACGCTGACATGCGCGCCATCGTACATCTCGGCGTCATAGTCCTCGAAGGTCTGCTTGTCAATGTCACTGATGGGCGTATATCCGTCGGCATACTTGTCCTTGGATTTGTCGGCAATTGTCACAGGCACGACGACACTGGTGTAGTCCAGCCCATTCACCCACATGGTGTAACCATAGTAGTTGTACTTTTCTGGTCTGGCCGCGGCATATGGAGCCACTGGCGAGATGACGCCGTCCACCGGTCGCCCGGTCCCAGTCTCTTTTATGGTGCTGTTCCAGTAGTCAATATACGCCTTCTGGAATGCCCGTTTTGCGACATTGTTGGCTGCGATTTCCGAAGCGGTAAACTCTTCTTTGGGCTTGTCACCATAGCTCAACTTGATCTGTGGCGAGACTGGCTCGCCCGACAGGCCAAAGGCGCTATGCACGTCCTTTCCTCCGTCGTACACCCAGGTCTTGGTTGTAATATCCAAGATTTCCTTGTGCGAGGGCGGTTGCCAATCGATGACTTTGTGTCCTGCTTTGGTCAGAGCCTCCACAACTAGGGTGATGGCGCGTTGCACTGGCGGCTGTGGAGTAACTATGCCATCGGTCTTGAGGACAGCGAGAGTGAGCTGGCCCTTGGAAGCCGTTGACTTGAGTATCTCATGTACGGCTTGTTCTTCGGCGTCTCGCCAAGGCATGTCGACCACCAAGGGATCGTAGAGCCATGGACTTTGGGACAATATGGACTTCGTAAGAAGACGCACAGCTCTCGCAGTAGTGGCGAGCGGCCCGACGACAGACAAGACGGAATTCTGGCCGTCCATACTGTTGGCCATGCCCTCGTATGGCATCCTTCCAGACGTGGGCCGGATGCCGTACAGTCCATTGAAAGCTGCCGGAATTCGGATCGAGCCTCCAATGTCCGTCCCAAAGCCTCCAGGGGATCCCCTGAGACCAATGAGTGCGCCCTCGCCACCGGAACTGCCACCGGCAGCCAGGTAACGATTCTTTGGATTCCAAGTGTAGCCGATGATGTTGTTGACGGTCTCGCCACTCATGAGAGTGTGCGGCACGCTTGTCTTGCAATACAAAACAGCTCCCAAGTTTCTCAACTCTCGAACCATTTCGCTCTCGAATTTACCACGGCGGGGGTCATTTGGCTTGCCTTCAAAAGTGCCAATCCATCCAACATATCCCATGGTGGTTTCCACATTCTCCACATGGAACTGATCTTTCAATGACACAGGGACACCGTGCAGCGGGCCAACGGTCTTTTTGTGCTGGGCATAGTATTCATCCAGGGCTTTGGCAGATGCGATCGCAGCATCAAAGAAAGTCTCGTGGAGGCAATTGACGAGTTGATGGGCCAGGGCAGCTCGGTGGCAGAATGCCTTGGTGACCTCAACCGCGGACCATGTGCCAGTTGCAATCTTCTCAGCAAGGCCGACTGAGTCAGTCTCGGTGATTTGGATTTCTGGCTTGCTCAGGAACTGTTGAATGTAGCCGGTAACGTCTTTCTGTTCTTCCCTAGAAGGGACATGCTTGAGACGCCATTCCTCCGGGATGGAGTTCAAGATCGCCTCCCTCTTCGCTTTCGCGCGGCTCTCCCAGTCAGCGACCATCTTGTAAGCAGAATTGCAGTAATAAATGGTTTCTGATTAAAATGGTGCTTGTAAGCTTGAGGAAAGTTCGTCTTCGAGGGCAGAATGGTTATTACAGTAGGTACTGAGGACCTCCCAGTTCCTTGGAGAGATACCGAGGGTATGTCACCCGTTTGTCCCCCTCAGGGCTGGCGGGTCTGGGGGAACGTGGTGGGGTGGCGGCCAACGCGCATCTCCTCACGATTGATAAACAACTTTGTTTCTGTACCTCCCTCCTGCCTCTTTTGATCAAAGTGTTATCATATCAAAATTGGCGTTTAGTCGTCTTCGTCTTTCATCTGGCGTACGTTCAGGTTGATCCGCTTCTTGGCCATCCATCCGTGCCATTCTCGCCATTGACTTCCCTCAGGTATGTCCGGCCAATCTTTCAACCATGCGGGACAAGTGTCCGGGAGTATCTTCGGAACCGCGTGCCAGGCGTATCTCGATGATCCGGACATCAAGATAGCGTCGCCGGACCGTAATCTCAAAGATGTTGATCGACTACCATCTTCGTTACCGGCGATAAAGATTGCATCGCAACCGATGCTGATGCTAACAAGGCTTCTGTCGCACTCCTCACTGACGTCTCGATGCACGCTCAGGGTGTCACCTGGTGTGTAGAGGTTGACAATAGCTGCCTGGGCACAAACCTCTGGAAATAGTCCCCTCAGTAGGGCCCCTATATCTGACGGGAATGCTGGAGGGACCTCTTCAGGATAGACTTTGTTGGTCCAGTCATATTGACCACCTAGTGTCATCCATCGCAATTTGCTTTCGAGCATCTGCGCGTAAGTGATAGGCTTGTGTACCGCAGCATCCTTTGGCTGGAGAGCGGTCTGCTGTTGCCCGCCGAAGAAAGAATTATTGAACTCATGTTCAGATTCGGCGTCATGGTTTGGTGAGGGATAGGGAATGTCATAGTGCAAATGGAGGTTTGTACGGTGCGTAGGGTTGGAGAGGTCACGGTGTAGAAGTTTGTTGAGCAAGGATATTTGAAGCCTTGCAGTCAAAAGAGAAGGAAAGACGTAGAGGCCTACAGTTGTTAGATATGGTTCAAGTTTTCACGGCTTCGTTGAATGGCGTACCAGGCAAGGCACGTATTTCGAACGGCTGGCCAGGCGTCCAAATGCTGTCGGGTATCTCATGGATTTGCTCTCCAGGGCTGTCGGAGGAAGTGAACTCGTCTTCTAGGTCCTGAATCCTGCTACTTGAGCTTTCCCCGTCCGAAAGCAATACAACTTTGCTGCGATCTGGCTCAAGTGTGTCGATCAAGTCCGGAGCGGTGAGAGATGAAGTTGAATGTTTTCGCCAGGCCTTGAAAAGATCTCGCATCGAGTCCGGCGGTCTGGCATAAGCATCATGCAGCCCGGGACCAGTCTTTTGACTACTATTAAGCATCTTCCGGTTTGAGTGAAGCTTGCTGGTAGACGAGAGAATGGTTTGACTGTTGTTCCTCTAGAAACTTGTTCCTGGGGCATTAAAAATAAATAACTGCCTTCGACACCAGCATTCGCCAAAAGATAAGAAAGCCACTCCCTGTACCACGTTACCATTGTTTTGTTTCAACCGGCGAGACACAGTCGGATCGGCGAAATATTCAGCACACATGGACTGATCGTGAGATCCTCGTGTTCTACACTTGTTCACCTCAACGGCGCTCCAAATTCGAACAACATCGATTGTTCTCGTGGACTTGTCGCGGAAGCATTTCAAATGACAGGGTTTTCAAGCAGAGCCGCGAATTCCACTTCAAGTTCTCCATGGAATGAAATCCAACTCTCTTCAAACACAGATGTATCTATACTTAACCATGAATATCCTCGCGTCGGCATGGTAATCAGCGATATTACGTTGGCCCCTGGCAGAGCTGCCACCGCCTGCGCGACGCTGCACCCGTCATGGCGACGCCGGAGACCGAACACCACCATATCAATCCTCGAGCCAGTGTAAGCATCCTCTTCCACCCGGGACAGTAGCCAGCCATTTGCTTACTCTCGGTACTCCTGCAGTTGCGCCAGTCCACCTACATTGATCCCTCCACCGGCGCGAAACTGAACAAGACCTTTACGCTACATACTAGTACTTCCGACAGCGATGGGCAAGGGGAGCCTGGAGCCGGCGAGCGTTCACCTCTCTTGGAAGGCGGAGAGGCCGCTGGTAGCCATGGTCGCATGTCGACAACAACCAGGCTTGCGGTCAGAAGCAAGGACTACATGACTCTGGTTCAAAACTTCGTCGTGTCGGACACTGGAAAGGGGGTCTTAAAATGTGCTGTGGCATATCTTCTGGGCAGCCTTGCGACCTTTGTGCCGCCATTGAGTCAGTTGTTTGGACGACAGAATTCTAAGCACATGGTCGCCACTATAACTGTTTACTTCCATCCGGCCAGGTCTCTTGGAAGCATGCTTGACGCACTCCTCCTTGCGGCAACAGCCTTTCTGTACATCGCGCTGATCTCGTTGCTGAGCATGAGTGTCACAGTCTTCTTTGCCGACATTGTGCACCACATCGAGGCTGGCCACGCGATTGTACTGGTTGTCTTTCTTGGTGGTGGACTCGGGTTGATAGGGTGGGTGAAGCTCAGAAGGAATGATCCCTTGGTCAATATCGCATGCTCCCTGGCTTCCTTGGGCACCATTACCGTTCTCACCAAAGAGGGAGCAGTTCAGGCCGGTGACTATTCCTTGACGTCGATATCACAGATCCTCAAGATGATTGTGGCCGGCGTGATAGCTACCATGCTTGTATCGGTGTTGGTATTTCCGATCTCAGCGAGGATGAAGCTGAGAAAGAATCTCCTTGATGCGACGGACTGCCTTTCCGATATGCTGGCTATGATCACGAGCAGTTTCTTGTCTGGTGATAAATCCGAGCTCGAGGATAGTACCCTGTCCAAGGTCAGTGATCGGCACAAGAAACTGTCCTCTTCAATTTCTCAATGTCTGAAAGAGGCGAAATACGAGCACTACCTGTTGGGAACCGAGAGGCAAGGATGGATCGAAGCTAGACTTGCGCAATGCGTTGAACGGATCTCCCAGAGCATTGGCGGCCTTCGAAGTGCGGCAGCAATGCAGTTTGTTGTCACTGAGGAACCTCCTTTTGGTTCTGCCCTGCGTTCAGATGCCCTCGGAATTTCTGCACCCTTTTGGGGGAATTCGCTTTCCAACTCGATGACTAAGGTTGATGATACTGATCTCCTCAGCTATTTCATCCGGCCGTCTTCTGGTCCAACGTCACCCAGTGAGCCGCCCAAACCATCTGCTTCTGAAGCACCCTTCCGAACGCCTGCACAGATCTTCGAGCTCTTCATCGAAAACCTGGGCCCCTCAATGAGGTCACTTGCCTTCACACTCAAGGAGATCCTTGATCACTTTCCATTCGATGTGTCCGACAACTTCGCAGTGGCGGCGTCCCCAAAGTTCAAACTTAGCCTTGACCGGGCGTTGGACCTCTACAAGGAGTCACGCGGCAAGGCTCTAGCTGTAGTTTATACGCAAAAGGACATGGATCGCTCCCGGCCTTTACCCGTGCAGGCCGATTGGGAGGATGCTGCCGCTTGTTGTGGCCACTTCTCGTTTACGTTGGTGGAAGTGGCAGAGTCGATCAAAGAATATTTGATCATACTCGACGAACTGCAACTCGAGGTCAATGAACGACCCTGCGGCAGGACTTGGAACTGGATCAAGTTCTGGCATTCCAAGGACGAACACAGGGATCTTGATAGCCTCGATCCCGAGTTTGCCGAGGTCATCAAGAGAACTGATCAGCTTGGGCTTCAATTCCTTGATCGTCCGCTGCCGGTGTCTCCGAAGCACGATGTCCCCGCCGGGCCTGTCCAGACGTCTAAACAAAGGATTTTCCGCAAGATCTATCACGCCGCCTCGATTCTCCGACACGAGGATATCAAATTCGCCATCAAGGTGGGTTTTGGTGCTATGTTGTATGCTTTACCCAGCTTCCTGTCATCCACCAGGCCTGCTTATTCTCACTGGCGCGGAGAGTGGGGTCTGTTGTCGTACATGCTCGTGTGCAGTATGACAATTGGCGCGTCAAATACCACGGGCTATTCTCGTGTGCTTGGGACTTGTTTAGGCGCCACTCTCGCCGTGGTGGCTTGGGAGATTTCACACCAAAACCCCATTGTTCTTGCATTCTTCGGCTTCTGCATGGCATACTGGACGGCGTACATCATCATTGGCAGAGGCAAAGGCCCCAAAGGCCGGTTCATCATGTTGACCTATAATCTTGTCGCCCTTTATGCGTACAGCCTTGCAAGCCTCGACGACGATGATGGTGACGATGAAGAAGACTCTGGGAGGAACCCCTTGATCGTAACGATTGCATGGCATCGAGTCGTAGCGGTGACTTCTGGCTGCATCTGGGGATTGATCATCACGCGTGTCATATGGCCCATCTCCGCTCGTCAGAAGCTCAAAGACGGACTCTCGCTTTTATGGCTTCGGATGGGCATGATCTGGAAGCGCGACCCTTTAGCCACTTTGACAGAAGGTGTTCATCCGGACAGGTACATGAATCTCCGGGAAGAGTTCTACTTGCAAAGATTTCTGGCCAAACTCCAAAGCATGGCCGAGACCGCCAAAAGTGAATTCGAGTTCCGGAGACCTTTCCCTCACGCAACCTATGCACGCATCCTCAAAGCTACCGAACAGATGCTGGGAGCTTTTCATGCCATGAATGAGGTTATCCTCAAAGATTTGAATGTGTCGCCCGGCGAGGAAGCTTTGCTCAAGGCGACCGTCAAGGAGCGCGCCGAGCTCTGCGGCCGTATCAGCCACTTGTTCAGTGTGCTTGCGAGTTCAATGAAACTCGAGTATTCCATACCCAGCGACGCTCTGCCCAACATCGATCATACCAGGGACAGATTGCTCGCAAAGATCTTCGCCTACCGAGCAAGTGATGCCCAAGAACAGACGACTTCAGATGAAGACTATAGCCTGCTGTACACCTATGCCTTGGTTACGGGACAACTGAATCTGGGTATTCAGGCCGTTCTAAAGGAAGTGGAGAGTCTCTTTGGGGTGCTCGATGAAGAAGCTCTTGGCCTGGAGCTGTAGGTTGCCGGTGGAAAACATAGTCTCGCACGACAACATTGTATCCATAGCACAGATGCCAGCATGGAACTGTGACCTATTTTCGTAGAATGGCCGATCGTCTCCTTGAACCCAAAATTCACCCCGCTATGTAAGATCAGGCCGACTGGCACGGCAGGCAGAATAAATAATAGTGATATACTATCGTACCTCGAGTCGGTAGTACAAACATGGACGCGTCAATGGCCCTGGGGGCTGAGCGCCGCTTGCAGCCCGTCGAGCAAATGGTTATTGTCCGGAGATCTGTTGTCAGGCCCAGCTTTTGTCGCGAGTTGGAGAACATGAATGTCGCAGTTTCGATTTCGAGTTGTCGCGTGTGCTTCGTGGCTGTGTCCGGCAGACTTAGAAGCCAGGCGTAATCTGCGTATATATGTAATGCAAAGCTGCCTGTTGATGTGCTGCACTCCAAAGGTGACTTCTGACGTTAGATGCGGATTGACTCACTTCAGATGCTCGAGATGTTCAAGTTGGTACTGCCGGCCTCGTAACAGCCTGTAGGATAGCGTCTCTCACATCGGCCAAAATGCTCGATGAGAACCTTCCCAGTACGCGAATACCCCTCCACAAGACTCACTGCATCGTGCTGACAAGCCAGCGTTCCTCATCAAACCATCCAAAGAGAAACCGAGACAGAATTCGACTCTGTTCTTCTCTCAGCATGGAGCCGAGTTCGAACCCGCCTACATACTACGACACCTCGACCCTGACCAGTATGCCTCCCGAAACAGATACGCCGCCGGCCTCTACGATGCGTTCACGCCGGATGTCCTTTACGCGGAAGTAGTCCTAATTCCAGAATGGACGCAGCCCCCTCCTCTATCTGAGCAGGCTAGATTGAACGGTGCTGTCCCTCCACCACCCGAGCCAATTCTTCCGTCCGAGTTCACCATCCAGCTATACAATCCCGACCAGCAGGTAACAGTACGGCACAAGGCAGCAACATGGAATACAGCGGCTTCATGGGAGTTCGAGATGCCGCAACAGACGTTCCGAATGCCATCTGTCTCAGCCCTCGACCGAGTAATGAATGACCCCGTCGCTTCCGAGATTACGCCCAAGATTGGCTTCAAATGGAAGAAAGATAGCAAGTTTTCCAAAGACCTGGCTTGTTTCTTGTCGGGTAAGAACACGGTGATTGAAGGGAGCAAGACCAAGAGCAAAGAGCCGGACATCACAGTGTCAATATTCAAGAGCTTGAAGGAGGTCACATTGTACGAGCCCAATCTCCAGAGGGTGGAAATAGAGGATCTGAAGGGGCTTGAGGTGGTGCTCCTCCTCGGCGCTGTGGTTATACGAGACGTCTATTTTGGTTCTCTCAAGGAAACCTTCAACATCACTCCTGCAAGAAAGAAGTCCAATTCCACGAGTCCGACCACTACGGCCATCCCTCCCCAGTCGACTCTGTTGCCCGAGCAAATTTCATCGAAACCGGCGGAAGGATTGGGACCCTCCTCATCCGGTCGTGACCCTCGTGTACCCCCGACTGACCCACGGACTCAATGGGAAATTGATGTAGAGACTGCTCGGCTGCGCAGACAGGCGGCGGAAGAAGAGCGGGAAAGACGTCGTCGTGAAGAGGAGGCGGAACGGTTAACCAAGCGGCTTCTCGAACAGGAAGAGGAAGAGCAGCGACGACGGCGGCAGGCCGAGCTTGACCGAGAAACAGAGCGCCTAAAGCAGCTGTATGGTCAAGAAGATGCTTCTGCCCGCCCTAATCTACCGCCTCGGGATCCTCGACAGCAGAGACATCATTCTGAATCGAGACATTCTGCCTACGTCCAGTCTCAGCACAATCCATATCCCTCAGCACCATACGCCAATGCATGGGGTCAGTATCCAGTCACTGGCCCGGCGAATGGCCCTTACATGTCCGGGGCGGCGTCCCAGTCGACCTTCCTGGCACCAGCTTCATCGTCACAACAAAACCTGAAACAAAAATCGAGCATTTTCAGCTTCCGCCGCCGCAGTGAACACGATGCTAATAAATTGCAGAGGAAAAAAAGTGCCGTCTTCTAATCATCCGAGCTTCCTGTTTTGGCATGGTAACCCTTGCATGTGATCGGTCACTGGCCGGACTGATATCGTCATCATTCCCCCGAGTCTTGACACAGGTCCCGGCGAGAGTTCCAGTAACCTTTCTCACCATTCCTGCCTCAAGAAGTGTCAACAACAATACTACTTCAACAATGGCAACGAGCGTTGGCAAGCGGATTGTGTTTACTGGCGGCTCTGGAAAAGCTGGGAGGCACTGTATCCCATATCTCTTAGCAAAAGGCCACCAAGTCCTCAATTTGGACCTGGTGGAATTCCCAAAGGATCACCTACCGCCGGGCAAGAATGTGTATACTATGAAATGTGACCTTACTGACGGGGCTCAAACCTTCAACGCCTTGTCATCACTTTTCTCCATGGACGAGTATGCTCTACCAAAGCACCCAGGGCCACCTGACGCGGTCATCCACTTTGCGGCATATGCTCGAAACATGATTGTTCCTGACAGCGAAACATTTCGTGGCAATGTCATGAGCACCTACAATGTGGTGGAATCTGCGTGCAAATTGGGGGTGCGCAAAATCATCCTTGCCAGCAGCGAGACGACATATGGCGTGTGCTTCAGTCAAGGAGATGATGATTATCATTCTTTCCCACTTGACGAGGATACCTACGATCGCAATCCGATGGACACCTATGCGTGCAGCAAGCTGGCTGGAGAGCGCATTGGCCGCACATTTGCACGTCGCTTCGGCGTTGACATCTATGCGCTCATCATCGGCAACGTGATTGAGCCGCATGAATATGAAAGAGACTTTCCTCGCCATGTAGGAAGTCCAGAAACCAGGAAAAGAAACGCCTGGAGTTATATTGACGCACGAGACCTTGGCCAGATCTGCGATTTGTGTGTTGCAAAGGATGGGTTAGGATTTCAGGCGTTCAACGCGACGAATGACACGATTACCACCTCCATTCCTACGGAGGAATTTCTGAAGAAAAGCTGTCCTGGCACTCCAATCTCGCGCAAGATGGATGAGTGGGAGGCACCGTTGTCGAACAAGAAGATCCGGGAAGTGCTGGGTTACCGTGATGTCCACGATTGGCGCAAATACTATCATCACAAAGAGTGAAGTTATGGGTGCTGAGTAGGCAAATTTGGTGGATGTTCTTCGCCGTCACTCACGCATGACTCGATATAAAAAGCAGACAATGCGTTGGACGGGTAGAGAGCATGGAACGGCGCGCCGAGCGAGGTGCTTGCGGAGCCCGGGCCACTGATTGCCGCGAGAAGTAGGTATACAAGCTTGATGAATCTCATGCTTCGTCAACGGTGGCATTGACCCGTCCATATGTAGCTCTTCTCAATTGCTACATCGAGTGAGAGTCACCAACCCTGTTGACATCCCATTATATTATCATATTGTTGCGATGGAGTGTTCTTCAGTTTGGTGTTCATTCTCATGGCAATCTTATTTAGTATATCCACGTGAGGCTGGAAATGTGGCTGAGACCCCAGCCACTGTCATTGGAGAACACTGCATTTCCTACTACTAATTAAGCAGAGTACAACAGCAGTCGACCGTCCAGGCAGCGCCGTTGTCCTACGTACTACATGCGCATCTACTGGGTGCTCGTCGGCACATTAATCAGAGCCAACCAGGATTCTCTCGCCGACATCGACGGATCACTGCAATATGATGAATTACTACGGCCGCTGCGCACCTTGAGACGAACGGCAACCGCGTAGGCCCGCTCCGCACTGACCTTTTTGCGAACCTGTCAACCCGTCCCGCTTGCGCCATGGGCAAATCCAGCTCGGGCCGCCGACGGAGCGGCTCTGAAGCAGTGTCCAGGTCCGAGCGAAGTCGACGGACTTACGAGGCTGAATCATTAGATGGACGCGCCCTCTCCGAATCGATAGCCTCGTCTGGACGAGAGTCCGGCCGCCGCGACGACTTTCGCGATGCAATTCAGAACGCCATTCCTCCCGCTAGCGATACGGCGCGTTCAAGCCAGTCTACCAAATCACGATCTGTGGAAGGCAGCTTTGTGACTGCACTGTCTGCTGAGCCAACTGAGATCAGCGAGGTTCCTAGCGACCGATCAAGAGCAGACAACAAGCGTAGCGGCGACTACGAAGAGACGCGTAGAGGAAGCCGCAGGGACAACAAACTTGACCAGTCTACGGTCGAAAGATCGCGGGGAAGTCTAAGTGGTGAAGAATCGAGGCGCAAGTCGAGAAGGGATAACAGGCCCAGTCAAGATGGTGCTCACAAGGGTTCCAGAGCAGACAGCAACCTGAAGGACTCGACGCATGATCGCGGAGTAGACAGTGCCTCCCTACCAGAAAATCAGTTTCCCGGGGCGTTTCCGGCGACTTACACTCGGCCATACCGACCCCCCGGACTGGCCACCGAGTATTACGGCGATCAGGGAGAGTCAGTTGCTTCCCAGCCTGGCGTGCGTCCCAATCCCCCGAGCATCGTCACCAACGCCGAACAGTCGCACTTGATGCAGCCCTCTGTTGAGCCTCGACCTCCACCTGAACCCAGCAGTGTGGGCCAAGTTGGAGCAGCTGCGAGCTATTTTGATAGTAGTGTCGTTGACTCAGACATTGCTAGGCCGAGCGCTTCGAGACCACCTCAGGACGGGCGCCCCAATTCGAACAAGCCTAGCAAATACAACGATCCTAACACCAGTCCAAGAACCAGCCCTCGTCCTGGATTTCATGGACCAAGACCGCCGACCTATGCTGCCCATCAATCCGGTGCGTCCAATGCCTCCGTAGCATCAGCTACTACTGGAGCTGCCGCGGAGTACTATTCAGGTCTGGATCCAGGGACAATGGCCAGCTCTGCCGGTATCACACCAGTACGCCCACCTCCAGTGTCCGCGGCTGGGCTTTCTGGTACCCCTGGGTTCGAGGCGCCGTTGCAGGGTTATCCTAATGCCGGGATGTACGCTGGCGCTGCACTGGCCGGAACCGTGGCAGGCGCTTCTATGGCCGCCCACTCCCATGACGAGCATTCGCACAGTCACTACCTTCACCACGCAGACGGTTCGGGTGCTATGAGCGGTGGTGCCACTCCTCAAACAGCACCAATGCAACAGGCCCATCGTCACAAACGCCGTGGACCGCTCGGTAAACTGATTGACTGGTTTCGTGACCCTGAGGCCGTGGCACAGTATGAGCAATATACCGAAGCGATTGGTGTTTGCAAATATTGTTTTGATCCTTGGAGTTCTCCGGCAGACGCACCACGAAAGCATCACTACCGACGCCGGAGACCTTCGTCGTGCAGCCGGTATGGGAGCACAAGTCGCGTTGACAAGACAGCGCGGTATTCATCTGATGAAGAGCGACGAAGACGTGCAAGCGCAAAGAATGTTGCAGTCGGCGGCCTGGCCGGCTATGGCGCAGCAAAAATAGGCGACGCCATTCTCAAGAATCAACATGACTTTGACGATACCTACTCGGTTAAGTCAGGACGGCCAACTGAGCCAACGCAGTTCCATTTCCGGGACGATAATGTTGACCCTGGACGCAGGGTAAGGCGATATTCTTCTTCGGAAGATGTTCGGAAGCAAAAGCAGAGAAGTCATCGGACTAGACACAAGCGCCATGATACGAGCGGCAAAGGGAAGGCTCGTCGGCGTGACTCGAGTTCGTCTGCGTCGTGGTCTGATTCTACCCGTCGCCAGTCGCGCAGCTCGGCGGTGAACGCTGGTCTTGCTGCAGCAGGGGTCTCCATAGGTGCAGCAGCTTTGGACAAGAAACTGTCCGACCGGCGGAAACATGGGATTCGCTCTCCATCCCCTCGCAAGACACACTTCTCAAAGAGAGTTTCTCCGATGCATTCATATGTAGAGCTCCCTACCTCGACTTCGGATGGCCTGTCCAGCTTCTTCACGAGCCCTTCGGCAAACAAGCAAAAGGGCAAAAAATCAAAAGGGTTCTTCAATCTTTCAAATGCCTCCAGTTCCTCGTCCGATGCAGATCTTGCCTACGGCAGTGGCACTGTACGTCGAAAACTCGCAAGAGAGCGCCGTGACGTGATTCGGCCGAAGCATGAAAATCGGGATTCAATGAAGGACATGTTGAAACTGGTAGCCGAGGGCAATGCTCTCGCTGCTGAGAGCGATCGTCAAAAGGGTAAAGGTAGGGAAACTTTCGGTACTAACGAAGCCTCCAGGTGGATGGGCAGTGGTGAGGACCACTATGTCGGACAGGATGATGGGTGGTACGATATTAATGACGACGATGACCAATCTTCTTCCAGCGTGGATCTGTCCCTTGCGTATGGGGAAGAAATCCCAGAACCTCAGGTTAGAAGACCTTCCCGCGACCAGACGGCGCATCCACGAACGACCCATTATATGGACGGTTCTCGACACTCAGAGCGCGGACACGGTCGGACGCACTACCATAACTCACCGCATTACAGAGAGGAGCGCAAATCGACAAGATTTGGAGTCAGCCCAACAGCTGCAGCAATCGCAGCCGCAGGGGCTGCAGCAATTGTCAGCTCTGCAGCGTCTTTACATGATGACTCAAGGCGATCGGCAATTCGTAAAAGTCCCCCTCCACTGCAAACCCTGGACCCTCGACCAATTTCCGAGTCGAGTATCCAGGGTCTCGCGCAAGATCCCACAGGGAGCATCTATCCAGGCAATGGCATCGCAACTGAAGTCCCTCGAATATCAGCTTCTTCCGTGCCTTTGCAACAGCCGCAGCCGTATGTACCAGTTGCTCCGCTGATTCATGACGAGCAATTTGGATACGACGACCACGATATTGGTCGCTCTGACTTGCGACAGCAAGGGCATAAAAGTCGCCGTTACGGTGTTCAAGAACAGCAGAGGGCGTACCCTGTTGCCACACACGGCACAATGCGTCGAAGAAGAGATTCAAGCCCTGCCAAATTTGATTTGGGGCGTTTTGCGAAGAACACCGGCGCGGACAGGCAGGCTGAGGAGGGGCATCATGACCGAGATGTACCTGGCGATGCGAAGCGGCGTCGAGAGGGTCGTCGGCGAAAATCTGCTGATGCGACATTGTCAATGGCAGCAGCCACTGACCAGTCGACAGGCACCGCCTTTCATGAGTCCACTCCCAGCAAAGATCCATCGCGCGACTTGGATGCAGGGTCACCTGACTCGGCAGATGCGCGCATCGCTGAGATAGAGCGAGATTTATCGCGTCTCTACGAAGAACAACGCCTGATGAAGGATCGAAGCGACTTGCAAAGGACTAAGCGATCAAGCAAGGGCGTCGACTTTTCTGAACCTCTACTCATTGGCAAACACAAGGCACGCCCTTTGGCACAAGACGGATCTCAACCCCAACGGAAGTCAAGCATGAAAAAGACTAAGGATGGGGATGCGTCTTCCAGCCGCGACTCCCAACAGCAGCGAATAGCGCGCATGGCAGCACAGCGTGTCAGGTCGACTCCTTCGCCAGTGCATGAGGATTACGGGACGTTCTTCGTTCCAAAAGAGCTCAAAGAACATCTCGAAGAACATAACGCAAGGGCAGAGCATAGGGACGATATTGGGGCGAATGTGGTAGAGATCGTGCCGGGCGCAGAGAAGCCAAATCGACGACACCCTTTTGACCCATTCACATATCGACCCTTCGGCCTAGATCTCGAGGACGACCCAACATTGCATCCTTGGCCTGTGCCAATGTTAGAGTTGATTGAACCGACTCCGCCCAGCAGCAAGGCCCACAGCATCCAAGAAGACATTGTTGAAGACTTTACAGCGGATTTGACTACAGAACGTGCCGATAATACGGAGCTTCCGGGAAAGAGTCACAGTACCGAGTCTGAAGCCCTTTCTGGCGGTGGGGATGCTGAATTCCACGACAGCCGAACTCCACTGGACAAAGGACCTGCCGCAAACTCACCACCACGAACGGAGGATGAAGACGAAGGGGATATCCGATTTTTTGGCACAGCAGCACCTCAAAACGACACAACATATGAAGAGCAACCACCTCGGCCTGACATTACTCGAGTGTGGACTTTGGGAGGAAAAGAAGCAGAGGAGCTCGAGCGACAGCTTCCAGTAGTTGACGACCAACTTGAATTAAGCCCTACTTGGACGATCGATGACAATGAAGCTTCACAAATCGAACCTGAGAAGGTAGACGGATTGGAAGATAAGGATTCTGCAGGAAAGCCTGGCCCACAGGCTACTGAGGCAAGCTCAGGAAGCCCACAGGAAGCCAGGGACGTAGCTACGGAACCTGGAAGCGTCTGCCCTGTGCCTTCTGAAGGATCAGACCGTGGCCGAGCCGTTTATCAAAGCCCCTTTGCCGAGACAGTGAGCGATCTAGGAGTCATCCATGATCAGCGACATGATGAGTCTCCAACTGTTGCAAGGGACCCACAGAGGATGGTTGAACAGCAGCCCAGCGACCAAGAAGGGATATTTGAGCCCTCCGCAAGTGAATCCGGTCTCGACCGGGGTATCCACGGTGACGGACTGGCGCAACTTGCAGCATCCGATGATTTCAACAATTCAAAAGGCAGGCATCCACAATCAGACCCCGAGACTATTGCTCATCCTGGCCCCGGCCAATCCCAAGTTTCATATGGCCAGGAACATTTCCAAAAGCCCACCATTATATTTCGCAGTGATGCGGAGCGAGGAAACGTGGACTCCATTCGTGAGCCAATTGAGTCAGTGGTGGCAGAAGAAAGTCCCAACCCCAGCAGCAGACTTGACGCGTCTGACGATCCGCCCTTCCAGTCGGCAAACCCTGTAGACGCTGACGAGGAGAACTATGCACCCTCGAGTACTGCCTTCTCCACTTCGGGAAATGATTTCACAACTCCGAGGAACGGGGATTCCGCGAAATTCAAACCAGACGAGCGAGACGACCGTGGACAGGACGGTGTTAGAGAACGGCGCAAGAAGCGACGCTCAAAGAACAAGGAATCTGGTAACGTGGCTTTCGCTGACCCTAATTCTACTCGGGAAAAGGGTCGTACTTCGGAGCCTTCGGAGAGGGCTTCTATCTCCAGAACACAAAGCGCGGATGATGGATTCGTGTCTGCGAAGGAATCTCCTGAGCGCTCGGCTCTACCTCCTGAAGATGGCAAGCCTTTTTTAGAGGATTGCCCCGAAATGCCACCAACAACGGTCATGAATTCACAAATGGATATTAATGGTGTCTCGGGGCAAAGATCTACGTCCAAATCATCAATACATGGAGCTGTGCAATATGAAGTCTCTGGTGAAGAAGAAAAGAGCGGTAAGCCGAGCGACAGTGGACGTGAGCTCATACCTGATGGCGAGGAAGATGAGGACTCAAAAAATGATGCCGCCCACACTTCATCAACTTTCGCTACGCCCGTCTCTACCCGGCGTCTGTCTATGATCAAAACTTCAGATGATCATTCTAGCCCGGCGATCGTCAGCTCTCCAACTGCGGTGCCCTTACATTTCCGACGTCCTCCTCTTTCGCCCACCAATACACGATTTGCAATGAGCTCTCCCATAGCTTCTCCGGGTTCGCCGTTGACGACGCCACGGACCCGACAGGGACGTCCCAAATCAACAGAGTTTCGTTCAAGCAAGGAGTTTCGACCACTTTACCTGGTGGAAAGGCAGAATTATGCAAAGAATATGGCGTCCCCTGAAGCGCCGGAAGATTATCCGTCTTTGCCGTCAAGCAAAACAAGTTCCGCGCACCCTTCCATGGAAGATCTTCGAGCCGAAGCACAGGCTCAGGAAGAGTTTGGATATTCCACCCCTTCACGCATCAATGCCGATATGTTCCGGACGACCGCCAGACGACATAGCTACTCTCACTGGCCAGATGGAGAACCGAGGCGTGAATCACCTGACTATCTGGATTCTAGATCGGCCACCCCCGTTCCTGGTGAACATCAGAGAGCTCGCGAGAGGGAAAAGAAGCCTAGCTTGAAGTATGAGTTCCATTCACCAAGCGAGCTTTTGCAGGATCCGTCCTCGCTACAGGAAATGCCTGCAGTGGACGAGGAGGCTGGCATGGGCAGCCCGCTTCCTAGTGTCGTCAGCACAGAAACTGAACAGGACTATATGAGCGCTCGGAGTCGAAGTGTATCCGCCACAAGATCCCGGAGTCTGAGCCGCGGGCGAAAGGCCGTCTCGAGGTCTAGGTCTACTTCTAACTCGTGGCGGAGCGCGTTATGGACCACAGCTGCTGCTTCTGTGGGAGCCATAGCTAGTGCTGCTACGCATGCATTGAGGCCGACATCACCTGGAGATGGGAAGGGCGAAAGCTCAGATTCTCCCGCAGACACCTCAGCATCAGGTCTTGAAGGCCTTGAGCCGTCTGGTGCCGGTTCCAGCGATGGAAAGGCTATCTCTCGTGAAGACCAAGGCACTGGCCAGCCCCGTCCAGGTTCAGGTGTCATCACAGAGACTGCTGATGTACCAGTGCAAGACGGGTCGTCGCCTCCCAGTGGCCTGGCCACCACGGAGCAGACGATTACAACTCAGCCTGCGCAAGCCTCTGTCGAGCCCCATATTCCGGCAGAAACCAATGCGTCGGATTTGCCTACGACAGCAGATATGGTGGATAGTGACGACCCTACCATAACTCTGGATGAGTCTGCAACGGATCTCAAAGTCGCTAGCGCGCCAGCAACAAGAACAATCGAAACTGAAAGGTCAGAGCCATCCAAGGATGGGGCGGGAGCAGGGACAGAAGTTGTCATGGCAGAACAGAATACAGCTTCAGATGACGATTCGGCAAGGGTTGTCTCGGAACCCTCTGTGCTTCCCGTTGCTATGAAGCAATCGAAGAAATCCAAAAAGGGCAAAAAGAAAGGGAAGAAAGGCAATGGCCCAACGTTGGAGAAAGATTTGGGCAATATGACTACAAGCCGTGATGTTGCCGATGAGGAGCAAACTGCTTCAGCGGCCAGTATCGGGACGGCCTCACCTCCACCAGCTGAAGAGGCCCGTTCAGAAGACCTTCGGCCAGTGGAAGAGCGCCTCGTACTTCCGGCGCAACTAGAACAAGGTGAACATCACGGGGAAATCGATTCCTATCCGGCGGCAGAGTCTAATGACTTGAAACTTGCTGATATCGAGGGTGCTACAATCGGTGCAGAAGCCGCTGAGCCCGCTACTCTGGCCGCAGATGCCATGCATGACTCAGATAGAAAAGCACCTGTGGCGACGGATTCCAAGATGCTGGAACACTCTTCTCCAAGAAAGTTTTCTATCACTGACACAAGCCAACGCGATGCCGTAGTTCCAGAGGCTACATCCGCTGAAATGACGCAGCTTGGTGATAGTATGACCTGCAATGTGAGCTCTGACGGAGATTCTGCAATCCGAGGCGTTGCCGCGGATTCCAACCTTCCAGAGACTGAACCTGTTGCGGCTCAGGTTGATGTAACTGGTGAGCCTGTTGCTCTGGAGCCTACACCCGCCGACGATGATGCATCCGGGCTTGCTCCGTTTACCACTTCTATGCCTGAACAAGGACCAGCCGATGGACAAGGACCGGTTGAAGCTGTTCCAGGCGAGCCTACACTCTCTGGTCGATCTGAAGATGATAGTAAAGGAACAGAAGGTGCGGCTGAGCCTCCTGGGGAGGGAACTGATACACAACCCTCTACAATTATAGCACTAAGTGATTCGGCCGAACCGGAGATCTCAAGCAAGCCAGAGGCCAAGGAGATCGCTATACACACTGAAGGCGAGTCTGTACTGTCGAATTTTGAGGGCGTAGAGGCGGATTTGAACCCTCTTGAGCAGGCCTTCCAAGCGGCTGTTCGGGCCAGGGGTTTGCAGGATGGAGCCAGCCTCGAGGAAGCATATCAGGCTTTCCAGCCGGAATTGAACGATCTGCGCGAGACTGTCGGTACTCCATTGACCACCATCGAGGAGGAAAAAGAGGTTCCCATGCCTGCAATGGAGACAGAGGCAGCGATGTCTGCAGAGGAAGGCGTTCCGGCGCGGAAAATGTCGAAGAAGGAGAAACGCAAACAAAAGAAGCTTTCTAAGACCTCTGGGGCTACGTATTCCCCCCTTGATAAGGTGACCACAGATCAGGAGCCGGTACTTGAGGCTGCTGACAACGATGAACAACCTGGAGGTGGTGAGGTTGCGAAACGGGGGCTGTTCGATTTGGATGTTTCCAGCAATGCCTTGGGTGAATTTTCCGATCCACCAAATCCTTTTGGCGATGACTTTGAGCTTCGCCGAACAGAAGGTGAGGCTGACACTGCAGTCGTCCACTCCGAACCTGCCGATTCGTCTTTCGCTGAAGCAAAGGGGGTGGAGATAGAGCCGCCTCGGGACGGGGAAGATCGCGACGGGGACGACTGGCTTGCGGGCTCGGCCTCAAACAAAAGGGCTAAGAAGTCAAAGAAAGATAAAAAGAAGGCGAAAAGGCAACCACTTTACTTCGACATGAGCGAACCGACTGGTGAGGGCGATACGGCAGCTACGGCCAAAGACATGGTAGCTGAAGATGTCGGCTCCTCAGCTTTGATGGCTGTTGATGAGCCTCTACATGAGCCAGAAGACACTGAGCAATCAAAAGGTGCCATGCAGGAACAGACCGAGTCAAGTTCTGCGCAGCCAGACGCTGCTCCTCGGTCTGGTGTCGAGCCATCAGATGACCTTTGGGAAATGGGCTCCAAAAAGTCCAAAAAGTCCAAGAAAAAGAGGCTCGCTTGGGCTGGTGAAAGTCCGCTTGGTGCTCCAGCGGCAGAAGTGCTTCCGGCTGCAACATCAGCCGATGCGGTATCCCAGTTGACCAGTGACACGCCCAGTCAGCCGTATGAAGCCGAGAGCCCAAGGGGGGCCACCGTCTCCGTGTTGCAAGCCACTGAAGATTCAGCAAGTCATGAGCGGACAGTGAATCCTATGGATGATCACCAGAAAGATCCGAGCCCAAATGATACGCGCCTCGGCCAGCCGGAGGAGCCAGAGCTACAAGATTCGGGGACAGCCAATACATCAGTGATAGAATCGTCTACCAAAGACCAGGGCGGGAAAGATGACAAGGGTGGCACGAATGATGCATTTGATGCCACGGAGTCCTACACGGTCACGAAGTCCTCCAAGAAGAAGTCAAAAAGGGAGAAAAAGAAACGTGTCTTGGGTGAGGAGGATGAGGCGATGCCTGACCCGAACAGTAAGCCTCCTGGCTGTTCTCCGCCTAGTCATGAACGCGACCAGGAATACAGTACTGTCAGAGACCCAGCACCCCTCGATGCATCACAGACCTCAGAACAAGTTGATCCTACGATCGTTGAGTCCGATAAACAGCCAGATCCTACTCAGGAGACGAATCTGCCGGAGGATAAGGAGATGAATACTCCGGAAGATATCCAACAAACCACGGCTGATGTCACAGCTACTATCGACGATGCAGCATCATTATCGAACAACAGAGGCCAGGCTATTCTTTACCCTAGTGACTCCACGAAAGCACCTCAAGAGATCGATCCAGCCGAACATCCCGACACCACCGTTGCCGATGTGGTGCAACAGCCTGTGGACAATGCGGAACAGACAGCCGAACGGCAGGATCCAGCAGAAGATGAGACCTTCTTTCCGATGCCCACGAAAAAGTCGAAAAAGGACAAGAAAAAGAAAAAGAAGTTTACCTTTGATGACTTTGATGCTACGCAAGAACAAGAGGCTGGTGATACTATGGTTTCCACAAATGAGCCTGCGTCGAAGAGGAAGACAGACGAGGTGCATGTATCCGAGGACGTGCCTGATCCAAACGTGAATGCAGCAATGACTGAAGTTGGCCAAGTGCAGGTTCCTGGCGATGACGAAGAGTTTAATCTCAACTTGAAGTCGAAGAAGTCCAAGAAAGACAAGAAGAAGCGGCGCCAGCGTATTGATCTGTTTGAGGACAAGTCTGAAGACGTTCTCGCACCTGCCGAAGATACAAACCTTATCGCAGAGAACGAAACTCCGAGCGAGGTAGTATCAGGAGTGCATACGACGTCAACCGAGAAACCTGAGACACTTCCCGGTGCGGTGGAAGAGAAAGCTGGACTTGACAGCGAAGACATCCATTCACTTGCAGCGAGCGGCCCCTCAAGCGACAATGGCTTAGCAAACTCAGAGTTCTCTACGGTCAGAGACATGGTTACGCCTTCAGAGACTGTCTCCGGGATACCGATCAGCACTGAAACGGAAAGTCACGACTTGCCTACCAGAGGTGAGGACATTGCTACGTTTGATCCCACCACAGACCAGCCAGTCAGCCCGTCGTCTGCTGTTGCAATACCGAACCTAGCCCTAGGGGATACTGGACTAGAGTCGGGGGCAGTCGAGCCCGAAGCAACCGAAGCAACCGAAGCAACCTCGTGCGACTTCTCGGCTGATCACTATTCTGCTCCTCAGCAGCCGACGGTTCCGTCTTCTGTTCCTGAACTTCAATCCAGCCTGGCCTCCATTGATGACAATATCTCAGATAAGGCTCGCACCGAAGCCCCCGCCACTGAGCGAGAGGCGGCTGAAACCCCTTTACCGGAGTCTGCTACGACCAGCCCAATAACTACACTGCCAGTTCAAACTGAACTACCTTCCCCTCAGTCTCACGCTGCTGAGCCACCAGGCGAGCTCGCCGAAGTGCATCCTGGGTCAGCTCAAGCTCCTGTACCCGAGCCGGATGCTGGTGAACCTCCTAGTAGCAAGCTCACGCCAGTTCTGCCTCCTGTGTCCGAGACTTCACCTGAACAATTTGCTATCCAGTCTGAAGCATCTACAGTTCCATTACCCGAATCCCCTATTGTTGAAACGCTGGCTACCGAGCCTGAACCATTCGAAGTGCCTCTACCGGAGCCTCGTGCTGATGAGCTAGCTATCGAACCTCTGAGTACCGAGGTTGGTCTTGTTGAAGCTTCGTTGCCCGAGTCTCCTGCTGCTGGCCTTCCCAGAATCGAACCCGATCCGACCGCAGTCCACTTGCCCAGCTCTCCAGACTTTGGGCCATCCAGAACTGAGCCTGAATCAGCCGAAGCTCCTTTACAAAAGGTTCCGGTCACTGAGCCACCAACGGAGCCCCGTGCTTCTGCAGATCCCACTGTCAATGTCCAACCAATCGATGCACCATCCTCCAAGTCCTCTGTGGTTGAGGCACATGTCTTGCATGAGCCTGCGGAGCCTCCTACTGAACCTTTCACAACGAAGCGTCAAGCTGCTGAGACTCCTATTCTGGAGGACACTGCGATTGAGCCTCCCAACGCTAAGCCCGAAGGAGTTGAGGTGCCATTGCCTGAATCTGCTGCTGCCACTTCTGAATCAGGAGAGCGTAACCTTGCTGATCTTCCCACTGCAGCCTCTGATGAGGGCGAACAACCTGTCCATGCGCCCTCTGAAATTCAACCCCCCGCTGCTGAGCCGGTCTCCGCTGATCCCCCAAGGGAAGAAGCCCCCTTGGAGGAGGACAATCATGCTGCAAGTCAAGACACCAATATTGTAGCTGAAGAGGAGTGGGGTTTCACAACCAAGAAAAGCAAAAAGGACAAAAAGAAGAAACGGCAATCCAAACTGGACCAAGCTATGACTGACGCCGTCGCTCAGGCAAGTGACATCAGGCAAATTGGAGAAGAATCGAAACCTGTCCTCGCTGAGGCTGTACCTACTGAAGGCCCAAAGGATGATATGAATCTCCCAGTGACGGGTGTTGCGCCATCGCCTGTCGAGGAAGACAATTGGAATATAAGCTCGAAGAAAGCTAAGAAGGACAAGAAGAAAAAGCGTCGTTCCGAGCTCCGCACGATTGATGACATGCCTACAATACAGCCAACCCCGACCGACCAGCCTACCGAAGAACCTTCTTCTATCAGAGCAGAGTCAGCTCTGCACGGCATGGAGCCCAAAGATACACATACCACGCCCGAGGACGAGGCTCGGGATCTGAGCGAGCATCAAAACCAATTTTCCTCAGGACCTGCACTTGATCCGGAACGTGCCGATACCAACATCGAACCTGCGCTCGTACTGGACGATCAGCAAGGCGATCGTGAACCTCCCTTGGACATAGTGGAGCCATCCGGACAGGAGAAGCAGCGAGATCTTGACAAGTTTGATACCCCGGAAATGGCACCGGGACAACCGGCCACTGTTGAGGATGAAGCCAAGGGGGAATTTGCCAGACAGCTTGAGGACCATGATCTAAAGCATGAGGAAGCTCGGGGTGGGGACGCTGCTCAACCTACAGGTGGCACTCCAATCGGAGCCAGATTGGCGGAAACCGGAGCAGAGGAGCCAGATCCGTGGACGTTGCATGAGACAGAGCCCACCAACTCCACCGAAGACCTTGTTACAGCTCGCTCCGCGCCACAAGACACCGATGCTTCTATGTTGCCCGATTCCAAGGTGTACCCGGTAGAGGATAATGCCCCTCGGGAACCATTCACTCCGAGCGGCGCCGTCGAAGGGAGTGAAGCTGAAAACAATCAAGCTTGGAACCTTACGAGCAGAAAATCAAAGAAGGCCAAGAAGAAGAAGCGTCAGTCACTGTTTGATGAAGGTGGTTTCGATTCACCACCAGCTACTACTGGGAATGTGGAAAATGCCGGTGCTTCATCGACAGATATAGGAATCACCCCAGATCCAGAGCCCCTTCCAACCCCAGCGAATGAAAATGCTCCCGATCCCGATATACACCAAACCTCCGTTGAGCCTAATGTCGACGATGAGTGGGCAGTCTCCAAAAAAGCCAAGAGAGAAAAGAAGGAAAAGAAACGCCAACTGACAATAGATGATTCTTCAGCTCAACCGGACGAAAGGTGCGCCACAGAAAAGCCACCGCCAGATGTTGACCTAGGAGGGAAGGCATTGGAAGAAGCCGTCACAGAGAGCTCTCATGAAACCCCAAGAGATATTCAAGGTACGGAAGACGGGCCGCCAGATACCGTTAGGGAGAGGACCACATTCTCCACAGACATTCAACCTGAGAAGCTGGATGAATCGGTCTTAGCACAAGAAGAGCCCAAAACCGACCTTGAAGATGTTGGCCAGCAGCCTTTGAGCCAAGACGGCGGAGCTGAAGCGGTCGCTGCTACTGGAGTTACAAACGAGGGTCTGACAGAGATGGGCACGACAAACAATGAGAAGCAGCTCGCCCAAGACAGTGAGCTTGGTCCTTCAATTTCCAACGAACCCGTTGGAACAAACGTGCAAGCAGTTGATCAAGAACACTCGACTGAAATGTCAGACAAAGCACTTACAGAGGCTGCAACGGGTTCCTGTGTTGTTTCTTATCCCGTTGCGCCCAAGGACCAGAGACCGGAGGACAATGCAGGAGACACGTCACTGACTAGCGCTGACCAACCCACTGTGACGACTACCGGGCTTCATGGCTTGGAATCCCCAGTGGTTAGTATGGACAGTTCGGACTCCCCCAGGGGCAAGGCGGCTCGCAAGAAGGACAAGAAAGCCAAAAAGGCAAGAAGGCTTTTCGAGTTTAACGGCATCAACGCACCTCCGTACCAGCCTGATTCTACCAACCCAGGAGATGACAAGCCCGATGTTCAGACGAGCACGTCTCCTAATGAGCTGTCGACAGGGATAAAGGAGCCGCCGCCAGAGGCTGATGATATGTCTGATGTCAGTGCAAGCACTCGGGAAAGACGAAAGCGACGAAGATCCCCGCCACAATGGACCGGCGATGAACCTGAGGATCTGCCATCTCAGCGATCAACGACACCATCTCGGGAAGATGACTTTATAAATATGGCGCTGGGTGTTGCAGCTGGACTCGGCTTTGGTAAAACTGAGAATGAGGCGTCGAAGGAAACACTACATAAGCCCCCTTCGCCTGTTCAACAAGGTCGGCCCGGTTGGTCATTCGCCAATCTTGCACCCGTCAGCGATACGGCACGCTTGGATGCAACCCGAGACAGCGGTGTCCAGTTCGAATCGCCAGTCATGCCTGTTGACCCATTCGCCCCGATCCGGGACAGTGGCTTTATCCCAAGTTCTGCCGACCACGGGCCCAGCGATGCTGACTTCATAGCGGATATGAAGACTTCTGGGGAGCCACTGCGTCCTCCCCGGCCGCACTCGCCCACGAGTTCTACAGAGGACGTGTCAAAAACTCCAACTGACAAAGGAGCTTTTGATAACGCGCTGAACTGGGAAACGCCGAGAAGGAAACCATCTCCAGTTGAGTCGACTTCAAAGGACCGAGCTTCTGCACTATTCGATTCTTCGCCAGCATTGCCGCCATCCTCCACTAAATCCCGCAGCAGGACCCCTGAGCGGCCATCAACTCCTCTGCGACGGAGCCCAAGCATTCATGGGCGCCACAGCCGCGAAGAGTTGAGGGTGAAGGCCAGAACTCCCCAGCGTTCAGGAAACAGCGACGAACTTGCCTCAAACTTGATCGACCGTGCCAACATAACTGAGGTAAATCGCTCCACGTTCCAGATGCCAGGCCATGATCATACCAGCGCGGTTTCACCATCCCGGAATAGCTTGAACACCATCCGTGAGGAGCCTGCCGAAGCATTCTCGTCCTCACGAAGGCACCATCCATTTGCCCACCCTCCTGCATCCTTCAGACCTCAAACTCCACCCGATGAGGACGAGATTGTCGGAAGTGGGCTCCTTGCAGCAGGTATTGCTGGGGCTTCGCTTCCAGCCTCCTCACGTGACCTGGATGCTGCTAAATCTCTTGGCGGAAGCAAGTCGCGAACCTCGTCAGTTCGCAACCTGCGCGCCGCCTCCGAGTCCGTCTCACCCTTCGACCCGGTCCGTGCCACGTCCCGCTTCTCTGAGCCCCTCGTCGGTGACCTGGGGGTGGAGAATACTGCCTCCCGCGAAAGGGACATGGCAGACGTCTACGTGAGTTCATCCGCTTGACTTTACCACCCGTCGTAAACCGCCAATACTAACAGAAGTGTTCAGGATGGCTATGGCTCCTACCCGGGCAGTCCAAAGTCGCCGACGCGGCCCCCAAGTCTTCGGCAGCGACGAAGTATGCAACAAGTCAAGGACTTGGAGACAAAGTTGGAGCAGTTGGCCAGCGAAAATCGAACATTGGCCGAAGCCAAGCTAGTGGCGGAACAACAACTTGAACAAGCGAATTTCGAACTCAATCGGTCCGAGCATTCAACAGAAGAATTGCGCCGCACAAGTGCCCAGCTCCATGAACGTGATGCGGAGATTGCGCGTCTGAAGGATGAGCTTGCCTCACTGGTTGTCGCACACGAAGCCTTGAAGCATGAACATGAGCAGAGTTTGTCCAGTCTACGACAGGAATATGAAGATGTACAACGACAATGGGAAGAGTCTACGACGGCCCTTGAGGCACTCCGGTCACGCCATGCGGAGCTTTCGGCTGGCATGGAATCTATTGTGAGACATGAAATCGATACAGCTCTCGCAGACAAAAATGCCGAAATATCGAGACTGCGTGAGGACCTGGAAGCAGCCCGGGACCAGATCCGCGAACTTCAAGCTCAGGTGTTAGAGAACGGCGCGGACGATGTGATCGTCTTCCATGACGAGGATTACTTCGATGCGGCCTGCCAGAAGCTATGCCAGCAGGTGCAGGGCTGGGTGCTACGCTTCTCCAAATACAGCGACCTGAAGAGGTGTCGAACCACAAACGAGGTGCGAGATGAGAAGGTGGTGGACAGGTTCGACAATGCGATCCTGGACGGTTCCGACGTAGACGACGATCTCGCCGATCGAGTAAAGCGACGCGATGTTTTCATGTCGGTGGTGATGACCATGATTTGGGAATATGTCTTTACGCGGTACCTGTTCGGGATGGACCGGGAACAGCGACAAAAACTGAAGCAGCTGGAAAAGAATCTAGCCGAAGTCGGTCCAACAAGCGCCGTACACCAGTGGCGAGCTCTCACACTTACGCTGCTTTCCAAGCGCGAGAGTTTCCAAGCACAGCGGGAAAACGACACGGAAGCGGTAGCTATTGAAATTTTCAACACGCTTGCGAGGTTCCTGCCACCACCGCAGAATGTGGAGGAACAACTCCTGAACTCCCTTCGCCATGTCATGCACACGGCAGTGGAGTTGTCCATTGAAATGCGCACGCAACGGGCAGAATATATCATGCTGCCTCCGTTACAGCCGGAATACGACATGAATGGCGACCTCGCCCGGAAGGTGTATTTCAACGCTAGTCTGATGAATGAACGGAGCGGTGAGACGACTAGTAACGAGGAGCTTGAACAAAACCAAGCCGTGGTTCGAATGGTGCTTTTCCCTCTTGTCGTCAAAAAAGGCGACGATCGAGGCCAAGGAGATGACGAGATCGTGGTGTGTCCAGCCCAAGTGTTGGTTGCTCGTCCAGACAAAGGAAAGAAGGGCAAGGGCTCGACGAGAGTTGCCAGTGGCGGGAGCCAAACTGACCGTATGAGCGTGGATGCTCGAAGTCTTCGGGCAATTAGTACGCACAGTCTGGGTGCGATGAGCGGCCTTGACGGTAACGACAACATGATTTGAATGCTTGCAAAGGGCCTTACATCTCTTTTGGTTTTCATGTTGGATGATGTTTGCATGGCATGGACCTTGCTTATCCAGACATGGTCCTTGATATGCATTTGCAGCGGGCTTCCAGAGCATTGTCCAGGATTTGACTGGAGGGACATTCACGACGAGACGAATTTCGTATATAATGACTAGATAGATACCAGTTCTGCGCAATATACACGGCCACGGCCAGTGAAACACACAAGCATGATTCTAGTACCTGAATTAATATAGTACTTCGATCCTTGTACCTAGGTAGGCAAGTTGAGACTACTCTATTTACTTATTCCTTTTAGACAGTGCTAGTATGGTCCTGTAGCCAGTGGTCGGAGGCTGCGGCCCTTCTTAGTAGCGACCAGCCAAGTGCGGGAGCGGCCAGACCAGCCTAAACGTCATAATTGTTGGTGGACAGCGGACTTTCCAAACTTTGAAGGTTCCTCCACTCGGAAATAGATGCATTTGTCCAGAAAATCCACTTACTGCACATCCACCCCGATTCGCCTATCGCAACGAAACACCATCACTCCAGTCTGCCATTCTAGTACCTCTGATACAACTGTACTTTGCTGCTCCTGCTGGACACGGTGTGCGGCATATTTGTGTCTTCTGGTGACAGTACATTTGTTCCGAGTGTTCTCTTGCTGGTCGTTCCTCCACGAGAAGCAGCTCTGCCACCGTGATCAGGAAACCCACTGCGTTGATCACCGCTTGGGGCGCCATTCAACAGTCTTTTGCATGTGCCGACTGAATTCACAGCTTGCGAGCCGCTTCTCATAAGCCTCGAGCTCCAGATTACCTCAGACCTCCTACCCTCACGAAGTCGACATATTTTCTTCGATGCAGCCCCTGCCTCCTCCCAACAGCAGCCAGTCGCCGAGGCCTGCAGAGGCACGCGACCAGACTCCACCTCGGATGGATGCCCCTTCGCTCGGTCAACCCCCGGCTTCTGGCTCCGCAGGTCAAGTTGGTCCAAATGCCGGTTCTGCGGCGGCAACAGATGGAAAGAAGAAGAGAAAACACCGTGGTGGGAAGAAGAGGAGGAACCGCCGTCAGTCCTTCGCCGCGCCCTCTGAAGTCTCAGCCATGCATAGCATGGACGGAGGGCCGCACGACGACCCCCTGATTGAAGAATCGCAAGAACAGGAGCCTCGGCCTTCTTTCTATCGAGCGAACAAGAGCAATTTGAGCGGGGAGAGTCTCAACAGCGATGCTCTCCTGGATCATCGAGAGCAGCAGACCATGCGCCCTCGCAGAGATAGCAGGCCGACTCCAAATTACCTTGCTACGTCGTACCGGACTGCCACCTTCCCGAACATAGACACTGGTCCACGCCGCAGACACAGGAGTCAGCAGGACATAATGAGTCCGCACGAATCTGAGCCCGAAGATGCCAACGATCGTACACCTTTGATTTCAGGTCCGCGCCAACGCAAAAGTCCCGGTGAGACAGGTTATGGCCTGTTTAGAGTCAAGTCCAATACCTCCACCTTGTCGTCAAACTCCAAGCAACAGAAAAAACGAGCGCCTGGGGCCGGCCAGTCGTTGCCCAAATCCGAGCCAGAGTACGATGTGAATAATCCTCCATCAGTGCCTCCCAGCCCTACCTTCGGCGCCCAGTTCGATGATGTGATGGTTGACGAGGGAAACTTTTTGTCTCGGTCACCGGACGGCCGTCCAAACCAACAAGCGACGAACAAAGACACACTCATTGATATCGACGGCGATGGAGCCGGACAACCTAATTCAGCACCTCCTAGCCCCAGACTGCGACCAGAGGGCATCCAGCGACATCGTGCATTGGCGTTGGCCGCAGAAGAAGATGTCTGCTTTCCTTCAGATGCAGGCTCAGAGGTCGGCGAGGCCTACTACAACCGGAGCCAGCCACAAGGCCATTATGCTGCGAGTGTACGGCGGAAGCGACGGGACCGCGAGTGGCCTCAGCTTTGGGTCTTGGATGAATGGAGCCGGGTGGAAAAGGAAGAGAGGGCGGCGGGCGAACGACGGGCGAAGAAGATCAGTGAGCCTGTGTTTGTGGAGGGCAGGCTGCGACCGTCCAACACCGCATGGCATCGGCCACAGGATGATGTTCAGTATCGGTACACATACTTCAACGAAGAGTTTGAGAGTACCATTCACGCACAGACGATATCGGAACTCGTCCAACCAGGGGGCAATTTCCGCGAATTGTTCATTCCAGACCCTCCTGAGTTGACCGAATCCAGCAGCAGCGAAGAAGACGAGGCCGAACACAATGCAGAGGATCTAAGCGGGCACCACAGCCCCAAGTCCCAGCCTGCGACCACCAATGGAGGAAACTCGACCCTTACTGAAGGCATCAAGACGAGGCTGGAAGCGCCTGGGAAGTCTTCAGAGCAAACCTCGGGATCAGCCACGCCCAGGAAGACGGGGTCTCAATCTCGACCGCCGAAGCCTAAGAAATACGGCCCTCGTCCAACCTTCTGGCTTGATGTCCTGTCACCAACTGATCAAGAAATGCGTGTTCTCAGCAAGACCTTTGGCATCCACGCCCTGACCTCCGAAGATATCATGATGCAAGAGGCCCGGGAGAAGGTTGAGCTGTTCAGAAATTATTACTTCATCAACTACCGTACCTTCGAGCAGGACAGCACCAGCGAGGATTACCTGGAACCCATCAACATGTACGTCTGTGTCTTCCGCTACGGCATCCTCACCTTCCATTTCTCTCCCATCCCTCACCCGGCAAACGTACGACGGCGAATTCGGCAACTTTCCGACTACTTAATACTGAGTGCCGACTGGATTTCGTACGCCATCATTGACGACATCACCGATGTCTACCAGCCGTTGATTACCAGCATCGAGCAGGAAGTTGACCAGATCGAGGATCTCATCCTCAAGTCCTTTCACAACAAAGGCGAGCTGGCCGGCCACCAAGGTGAGAAGGGAAAGGAGGACACGTCGGACGGATCCGAAGCCGAAATCAGCGGTATTGACATGCTGTTGCGGATCGGCGAATGTCGCAAGAAGGTCATGTCACTCTACCGCCTGCTCGGCACGAAAGCAGACGTAATCAAAGGTTTTGCGAAACGGTGCAATGAACAATGGGAGGTCGCGCCTAGGTCAGAGATTGGACTGTATCTGGGAGATATTCAGGATCATATCTTGACCATGACGGGGAATCTTTCTCATTACGAGACTCTTCTTGCGCGTGCACACGGAAATTATTTGGCTCAAGTGAGCATCCACATGAATGAACGTCAGGAAGAGGTAAGCTTTTCCATCGACTCCGTCCAGCCGTGCTAAGGCTTGTCCATATTGTTGAGAACATACTGATCAAGTATCTTCTAGACTGCCGATGTATTGGGGAAACTTTCGGTCTTAGGTACAGTCTGCCTTCCTTTGACATTGATTACCGGTAAGTGTGTTCACGTGCTGCTCTTGGAGGGTGAAACTAATCTTCTCTGGCAGGATTATTCGGTGCAAACTTCAAGGTGCCGGGGCAAGATGTGGACAATCTCCACTGGTTCTGGGGCACAACGGCTGGCTTAATCTTGTTTGGCATTGCTTGCTTCTACTTCTGCAAGAAAGTGTACAAAATCATATGAGGTCGGCAACGACAAAAATGCTGGGGATCTCCCTGCCAGCTTCGGCAGCACGGAGCATCGTCCTCGCTTTTGGATGAATGGTGATGAATGGTGACAAGTGTTTTGAGATTTTCGGCGCGAAAAAGACGCGACGCATGGGGATCGATGCATGCCACAGCACTATGGGAGCTGTTGGCATAGGATGTGTACCTTTTCTTGTTGGAGTATATGGGAAATGTGGTGAACCAAAACTTGGGGACACTCACCAGGCTTTCCCGGATAACTCGAAGCCTTGCACGTGCAAGCTTGGTTCCATTTTCGTTTCTAAACTGAGCAACAGTCGGAGTATTTGCTTACCACCTGCTTACTAGTAACCTGAGGAGTGACTGCGCTTGGTCACGAAACGGCCAAATCCCCCTTCATGGATACCTGATAGTCTTCGATCAGGTAAACATTCCTCGCCGGAGTTATGGGTAGTACAGATCCCCGTCTGAAGGTCAGTTGCCGCACAAGACAGAGTATGTTGTCGTCCGCTTTTGATGCCGTTATAGGTACTGCCGAACGAAGTATGTAGTTGTGGGTGTCTGGGGATATGAATAAACGCATTCGATACTGTAAATCTAAACCCTAAGAACAGCAATGCCGTCCAACGCTACAGCTGAACTGCCTAGCGTATCCACCATTAATTAAGTGGATAGAAATATACAAATGACAACGAGTATGATGGCTTCGGATGTCGAAATACACGCACTCACGGGCTTGACCAGATCAATTCTAAGAAACTATGCCAGGGCAAGACCGAAGGATGGACTGGAGATTCAAGGGGGCCAAAGTGGGTGTCCAGCAAACAATCACACACGAAATGATAGAATAGACGATAGCAACAATAGACTGCTTGCATATAATGGCTTCCAGTATTGCTTCTTTACTTGACCCATCCAGTCTCGGCCGCTTGAGGGTGTACTAGTACGCACATGCATGAATACTATGGGAACAATATGGGCAGCGTGATGAAAGTCTATGTAGTTCTCTCATTTCATCCTGCAGTATCTCGAGTCTAGTGTGAGAGATCTGGCGTGCCATTCTTCCCGCCATACAGTCCTTGAACTGCACAACCTTGACGCGTTGCTGTTGATGTCTCCGGTCACTGGCCTCAGCCTCTACCACAACGAGATGGAACCGACCGTCCAACACCTCCACCGATGGTCGTCTCCTGATCATCTCTGTGATCGCCGAGGCTCATGGAGCGTGCGCCGATTGAAAAATTGTGCCTTTTCATCAGAACATACACGATGAGTGAAAGGAGCCACCTCGCGCCTGATTGATCTCTTCGGAAAGTCATAAGAAATCCGAACAAGCACAACTACCCAGGTCGGATACTGTACGTCAGTGACGGCCTCGTCATAATCTGTAACTGCTGGATGCAGTGGATGTCCACATCTAGTAGCCGGCTCGTTCCCGGCATCAAAGTCGTGCAGCGACGCATTCAGTGGCCAAACGTCGTAGTTTATGCTTGAAGCCGTCTATCTGTGGGCATGGTGGTTCGTAGGGTAAATCCTTTTTCCAGTTGTGGTCGGGACATCCCGCTAGTGCACGGCGTTCAATGGAGGGATTTCGTTCGATACCTGTCATCAGGGCTCCACAAGATGGACGGATGCGGTCTTGACCTATTTGAGCTTTTTGGTTGTATTCCAGCATAACTCAAAGTGCTCGTCATCGTTGCTGAGACTTCTTCGGAGATACATTAGATACGGTCAAGCTAGCGACCAAGCCTCACACCATCTGGTAGTCAATGCTCGAGGGCGTGAGTTATGAAAAGCCCATTCAAAGGCTCGAAGCCTCAAACGTTCCCTCAAGCCCTGTCCAGCGGCCTGTCTTGGGTTCAGCACTTGAAAAAACAACCGGCCCCGGAAGTCGAAACTCTTGTCAAGCAGTAGGACTCTTCAAGGATGTAAATTCAGTGACAGTTGTGGGACGGCAAGTGGCATCGTGAGAGCTTCAGGCTTACGGCATATCTCCTCGATTGTAGATCTTTCTGCTGTTGGATCAAGGACCTGTTCTTCTCCAACACGGCATTGCAAACATTTTCTGAGCACCAGACTGTAGCGATAGGGCACCAAAAGGGTTGACCTTGAAAATGGGAGTGCATCAACCTATGCTTTCGACCCATTGATTTTATTTGTGACGGTCTTGACGGCAGACTCCTCGCGGCTGAGAATCCACATAAACAGCATCTGGATCAAAAATGCATATAAGGCGAGGAAATATGTGCGCCGGTTCTTCTGTGCACGGGCTACCGTATATGAGCTGCCGCCACGCATAGCGGTAGGATCGGAGGAACTGTCTGGGAGGAGAACATATTTCAAGGACCGGAGCTGCACATAGCGTCTCAGTAAGAAGTCAAACGCGGCATAGCATATCAGGAGGGTGTACATACCAGGAAAAAGGCATTCGCATACCACGTGTACAGGAACAAAGTCCAGCCAACCCAGTTGTTCGTTCCTCTTCCTCCGGTGAGCACTTCACTTAAGAACAATGTGACTATGACGCCCACGAATTTGTAGCCAGAGTAAGCCACAAGATCGAGTAGCTGAGAATCGTTGCTGATGCTCAGCATGTACATTGCCAGTTTAAGGACGATGATCTCGAAGATAACAACCGCAATCGCGGTGCTCGTTATGCTGCCGAGCAACTCAGGGTGAAACGATCCTCTGATACCCGCTAGGACGGTCGAAAGCAGGATATATGTAATCAGTGCCATAATGGGAATATACATGTCGGGCGAGTTGAGGTCGTCGCGTGGTGGTAGGTAGTTGAACGAGTATGTTTGTTGCGACATTGTTCCGTCTGCGGCCGTCGAGGAGGTGGTCATTCGAGCTTGTTGTCGTGTCCAGGGTTTGTGCCGCCAGGGAAACAGGACTAGCAAGAGTTTCCGTACCACGTACGAGTTCGAGACGTTAAAATAATGCTTCAGTGCCGACACTGAGATGTAGCGGTTCAACTGTTAAGTAGGAGCTGTCAGCGAGGGTTGTAGCGTAGAGATGACACAAGGACGTCGCTCTTCAGCCAATGCGAAGATGACAAGATCAGGACGTACGTTCTGTTCCATGTACTCTTGCCCGGCCTTCATCGCTGTTTGTCCGACCTGGAACCCCATCTGGGCGGCGGGATCATTTATGAAGTTGAACCCAGGTGCGAATCCACCTCCTCCAGCGCCAGCAGGTGGAGACTGGTATGGACTGCCATAGTCGTTCGCCGGTGGCTGTTGCGACGGCTGTTGAGAAACCGGAGGCGGTGGTGAGCGCATCATAGGCACTTGCGAGATATGCTGAGGCCGCGGGTGAAATAGTTCGGGGGACTTTTGAGGCGGAACGAAGGGGGTGCGCTGCATGGCGACTGGAGTAGAGGAGGAGTGTTGTATGATCTGGTGATGGTGATACCAAGGTGTAGAAAAGCCGGGTTCCAACACTAAAGCGGACTTGGTGACAGGTTCAAGATGTTGCAACTGTATCCCATCGTGGTACTTGTACAGTATGCCGTTGTTTGGCGGAGATGGAAATGTGTCCACGGACCAAGTTTGGAATGTCAACGACGCCGCTTTAGCCAGTGGTTCTAGTCACGTGGTATGTAACGTCAGCGCAAGGCTGAACAAGGTGCCACGATGAACCAATAATAACCCCGGGCGAGACGAGGCTGCGCGCCCCCCTAAGGTGGTAGAGAAGCTCATCCTCCCTCTGGCTGTCGCCTTGTCCAACCTCCATTCTTGTTGGCTGGCTGAGCAGGCGCGTATATCTCCTACCAATTCTCTGGACAGGACGGCACTGCGGGTTTCGCACCACAAGGTAAAATAATCATCCTCGGTTTCAGGTAAGATGTGGGTGATCTTCTCAACGACGTCACGGTTCGTTTCATGCGGAGTTGGAGTTGCAAGGATACAAGTATCCAACACCACTCAGTTCAAGTTCTCCTCCGCCGCTCTCATGCCGCAGAACGGAACCGTATCTTCCTCTCGCAATTTCTCCGCAGAAGTGGATTCCAGACTGAAATGAGATAACTTCTCTCGTTGGCTTCGACCATGGCGTCTCCTACTATCGACTTCCCCTCATCGAACAACACTGTCGATGTACGATTGGTGGATACCACGGCAGTGTTGACCGCGAGGGCCGAGTCATTCATCGAACCTGTTCAGGAAGGCCACGAAGTCCTGAACATTACATGCGCTGCTTTCCTGCTACACCATGAGTCCTCCGGAAAGAGGATTATGTTCGACCTTGGTGTTCGCAAGGATTACTGGAACCTGTCCGCCACCATCCAGAAACGCCTAGGAGATGTCATTCCCAGTCTGAAAGTCGACAGAGACACTACTGAAGTTCTCACTGAGAAGGGAGTTCCACTAGACTCGATTTGTAAGTAGCTGTTTTGACATGCAGCATGAAAGATCAGCGTTTTCCAACGGCCTCAAGCATCCAATTTCCTTCCTTGTCGCTGATTGCGATCATATTTTCTCAGCTTCCGTGATTTGGTCCCACTACCACTGGGATCACACAGGGAATATGTCATTGTTCCCACCCTCAACTGAACTCATCGTCGGTCCTGGCTTTAAGGGGTCACCTCTGCTCCTGCCAGGCTTCCCTGAAAACCCCGATTCGCCTGTTTGCAGTTCAGACGTCAACGGCCGTAGTCTGAGGGAGGTTGACTTTGAAGACTCCGACCTTCAAATTGGAGGCTTTGCAGCATGCGACTTCTTCGGCGATGGCTCCTTCTACCTGCTCAGTAAGGCCAAATACTTTTATTTCTACCACCATTCCCTGAGAATTACTCGATCACGCCCGGATGTCAACTGACCACAATTCCATGATAGATACTCCAGGGCATTGTCTAGGCCACATGTGCGGACTTGCTCGAACCACCCCTGGAGACGAGAGCACCTTCTTGCTTCTAGGCGGAGATATCTGTCATTTTGCAGGCGACATCCGGCCGAACGCGAGCTATCCCCTACCGGATGAAATCCCAGCCAGCGTGCTAGACCACGATCCCGATTATTTTCCTGTTCCTTGCCCGTGTAGCTTTTTCACGGCACATCACCCTGTGCTTTCAAGAGAGGGAAGAAACGACGGAAGGCGAACTACACCGTTCTTCAAAGTTTCCACTCATCCGAAGTCATCGTACGTCGACCCGCCGACAGCGCAGAAATCAGTCGACAAGCTCATAGATTTCGAAAGCTGCCCTCGAGTATTTGTCTGTCTGGCTCACGACCCGACGCTGTTCCAATACCTACCTACTCTCAATGAGGACCCAGAGTCGACCTTGAATGACTGGCAATCTCAAGGCTGGAAGGACAAGTGCCGGTGGGATTGGCTTAATGAATTGCCGCGGAATGGGAGGCAAGGGCGGAAGCCAATTGTAGAAGGGTTCTGGCGGGATGGGAAGCCATGGGACAGGCCGGCGGCGGGATAAGACAAGCAAAGATGCTGTTCTAGGAGCCATCCACTTATCAAGCTGGTACTTACACGAGGCTGCACCCACGTTCGTGACATGAATGAATCATGGTATGCTATAGGGTCTAAGGAGTGCTGTCCGCAGGTAGACTAGTGGTTTAGCTTGACCTGGGCCTGGCAAGCTACAAGTATCTTCTCCCTCTGACTCTCAATCTCAATCCTTGAACATATCCCACAACTTCCTTTTCAGAGTCCGATTATCCAGCTTACCCTCCCTAGCCGGGGCGACCCATTCTCTCCGATCCGAGAGATCCATTTCGTCAAGACGGACCCTATAACCAAACAAAAGTTAGCATACCTTGATGTCACGATTTTGGACTGGGAACCAAAAAAAGAGGGCACATTCACATACCAATGCGTCTTGAAGTAGTACTTGTATCCGAAGAACAAGACGAAAAACGTCGGGACGGTGATGTAGCACGCAATAAACGAGCGCCAGTTGAACGGATGCTTGAAGACAGTATAGCCCTGGATGAGGAGCAAGAAGATGTTGAAGACAAAGTTGGCGCGGTACAGCCAGATGCTGCCAAAGGCCTTGTAAGGAAACGTGTTGACATCGATGTTTTGCTTTGCCGCGGCCGCCCGGATCCGGAGCTGTGTGAACGTGATGCCCGCCCAGGCGATGTAGGCCGCCGTCCCGCCCACGCTGGTCATGTACGAAAACACTTGGCCCGCGGTCAATCTGCGGTTCATGAGGCAGAGGAAACCCCAGAGGTTGGATGTGAGGATCGCGACCCAGGGAACTGGAAGACCGTTAGTTTAGTTCTGATTTTGATAATCTTTGTCTGCTCTGCTCTGCTTACCTCCGCGTGATGTTGTCTTTGCAAAAATCTTGGGTGCTCGATTCGTCAAGGCTAGCGAGTAGACGGTGCGAGACTGGACGTAAACCACACCATTGGCGGCCGAGACAAACGCCACCGTGATCAGCGCATTGACGAAATGACCTGCGGTTTTCCATCCGGCCTGGGTGAAACCAATGGTGAAGGGAGATGAGGCCACCACCGAATCGGCGTTGAGAAGCTCCGGTGATGACGATGGACAGATCAGGCCCTGAAAGAATGGCATGCCGATATACACGACCAGGATACGATATACCACGGAGTTGATGGCCTGATCAAACACACATTTGTCAGAAACCACGACGGGATAAGGCTGGCTTTTTGTGTACAGTACGTACCCTAGGGACATCCTTTTTGGGATTTCTCGACTCCCCGGCAGCTAGAGAGATGATTTCCGTGCCAACGTAGTACGCCGCGGCGAGCACGAAGACCTGGCCAAAGCCGTCGATGCCATGGATGATGGGACCTGGGGGAGTTTTCGATCAGTAAAAGGCCGGCTTGTGAGGGAAAGACGATGTGGCAATACCATCTGGTTTTCTCCAATATCTGAACCCGACGTAGTCGCCGCCGAACCCTCCCACGTTGGCGACGATGGACAAGATAAAAAGAATGATCAAGGACAAGAACTTGAACATGCCAAAGAAGTATTCCAGCTCGCCGTAGACGTTGACTCCGAGAAGCGTGATGACGGAAAACACGGCCCAGAAGATCAATGCCCAGCCGTATGACGGGAAGGTCGTTTCGGGGACCCAGTAACGGAGAATCAGGATGGCGGAATTCCAGTCTAATCGGCCACAGGTCAGATTTATGGCAGGTCAGCAAATATCCTCCGTGTGCATACCTGAGGCCAGGAACACACTCCACATAATGTAGTACAACCAGGACATGGCGAAGCTCAAAGCAGGATCAACGAAGCGGCCAGCATGCTTTCAATTGGCAAGTGTCAGTACGAGTGTTCAGTCATCCAACGATCATCTGGGTTAAATGTGGTTTTGTCTTACCTCGACAAATCCGCCGTGGATGGGGAATAAGGTAGTCATCTCGCCGACGCTCTGCATGAGTATCCATACCGAAATACCTGTGCGTGTCAATGTGGTCCCTTCAGATCTCTGATTGCAGGGTTCCAAGATTTCACTTACCAACAATGATGAAGCCAAGCAGTGCACCAAGTGGACCAGACAGATAGATCGCATAGCCCAGGCCGTAGAAGGTGCCGGGTCCAATGATGCTGCCGAGGGCAATGATGACAAAATGCCGTCCCTTCAAACCTCGTCTCAGACCGTCGTCCAAGATATCTCCAGAGATATCCCGCTTCGGGCCATTCTCATCGGAGGGCACATCTGTGGCCTCGAACGAGCTCAGGTTCTTCTCCTGGCCGCCGACATAAGCTGGTGCTCCATGACGGCGTTCCAGGGACGAGGAGAAGGAGTCGGAGTCGCTTGAGCCCAACATGTTGTTCGGCCCAGTTCGGGGGTAAGGTCTAGGATGTTTTGTTTCGTGGCGGTACAACAACGGCTCGCCCAAGGGTTGAGGCAGGGTCTGCGCTTTTCTTTAAAAGCATTTCGTGGCAAACCTTGACTCGGGGTCCCGACATGTTGGAAAGCTCTTCCACGTGGATCGGATCTTGCCAGGGTCTTTCTCGACCAACTGTGTGGACAAGATTGCTTTAGTCTGCGATCATCCAGACAGGCGTGACATGCAGCGACTCTTGCACCATCGCTGGAGTGAGAGGACCACATTCACAGTGGTACGCTTCCGAGGCTCGTCCGGAGGCTCGTCCGCCCTAGACTCTGGGGTTCTGGATCTCGGGACGACCTGCAGGAGAAGCACGGCCATACATGGTGGCGCAATTCAAGCTTATATTGGGTGCTTCCGCGCTATGCTTGGACCAAACCCAGTAGCACATGAGCCTGGCATCTTGCCCCGAGCGGGTGGTTCTCGACAATGCTAGATTCTTTCTCCATATTGCCACCGGCCTTGCAGACCTAGTAGTCGGACATCAAGAGCCAAACTCTTACCGATTCGGTCACTCTCACCCTGGGCTGGGTGGGAGGAGGGACGCACGCTGATGATGCGACGACAACAATATAACAGTGGGATCAACGAGGTACATACACAGACTGTACAGCGTGAGCATTCCCCGCTGTCAAGGGCAAGAACAACTGTGGCATACAAGGCCTGCATCGAGTGGATGTACCATGATGACCGCTGGCCTGGTACTCACCACGAGCCAGAAACGGGCATGGCAGCGCTTGACGCGGACACGCGTTTGAAAAGCAGACTCCAAATCACAGTGCTCGAACCAATCGACAGGGTCTGTTAAGCTAGTCCACTATTGCCGTTTTGGACGACATGAGGGAGAGCACAAACCTAGACAAAGGCACCGCCGCCACGCTTGAGATCAGTGTTGAACGTTGTAATTGCACGATCGAAGCCATAATAACACCATCGCTGGACACGGTCGGAAGACAAACGTAACGGAAAACGAACGGGCTGCAGTTGTCGCCGTTTATACCGAGGACTGCACGCGGCTGACATTTTGTCTCCACACGGCATCCACTTGCTTGCTTCGATTGTGCAACTACTAGTACAGTCGTTGTACTGCCGACATGCTTCATTCTCCGAGTCATGGTCGCCGAGTTGGTCATCTCCGTTTGACTCTGGGGCTCCATATTCTATCCGCTTCCTGTTTCATGTTGGGGAAATCAAAGAGGCGAGCTGTAGCTACATTGTGAAGCGTACAGTACTATACGTCGGAGCCTTGCTGTTACAGTATTTGTGAGCCGGGAAAAACAATCACAACACCTGCACTCTTCACCGTCGAAGCCATGGGCAGCGAATTTCACCCGGACGCCGTGCAAGTCAAAGACGAGCAGGAAATCACCAGATTCGCCGAGGTGATCGCCGCCGCCTTCGCCAATGACGCGCTCAATCGATACATCTACCTGGGCCGCGAGTCGAGACCAGATCACCCGAAATTTAAAAACTCCCAGGAGCGAGTCCAGTACTGGGTGAACCTGATCAAGGGCCGGTTCGAGGCCGGAGGAGTTCTCCTACACACCTACGACTGGGCGGCAGTGGCACTTTGGTAAGTTATGAGCATAAGAGCTCTACCGACAACAAGCTTTGATCCGGAGAGGAATCCCTGCACCCTTCCCGTCTGATCAATGCACTCGACTTATCATGGAAATGTGCCCATATCTACAGGCTTCGTCCGGGAGTCAAAAAGCCCCGGCCCAGCGGCACCATCTCCGAGGGGGCGGCCGAATATATCGAAAAGTTTGAAGCCATGAAGAAGAAGTACCTGGGCGATCAGCCCTATTGGTATCTCAACCTCATCGGCCGTGCCCCAGGCCGGTCTGAGAAAAGTAAGTTGGTGAAATGCAGTACATGCTTCAAGCAGCGAATAAGGCCGGGATAATGGTGGTCTAACAATTCACCGATACTGATGTCAGCCCAGGCGCCATCCGTAACCTCGTGGAACCGATCATGAAGAGAGCTCGTGAGGAGAACGTCCCGGCGTGGCTGGAGGCGACCAATGAGCACGCAAGGGACGTCTATGCCTACTTTGGCTTCAGGGTGGCAGAGGAAGTGAGGATAGGACAGGGAGTCGTCAACGCCGAAGGGTTTGCGGAACCAGGGGGCGAGGGCGTGCGCGTCTGGGGCATGGTTGCCGGCCTTTAGAACAACATGCTCTTGCCGGGAGAGACGGTTGTGGTATGTACAGAAAGGTGAGCGTCATTCAGTTCATAGACCGATGCACAGCGAAAGAGAAGATCAAAAGTTTTGGGATCTGAAGACGGCCGCTGCACGGTAGATGTGGCGGAGTAGATCTTGGGAGATACAAATCTGAACGCATAGCTAGAAGGACAAATCCACCGTCATCAGGATCAAGTTGCTCTGAAGAGCGGCGCTGAACAATAAACCCGAAAATGGGGTTTCATTTCGACCACCAGCCATTCAATCACATACAGCACTCACTCAACCTTCAAGAGCTTGGACGACCTGGGCCCAGTCTTGCGTCCCGTAAGCACCGGGCACCTTCTCCCCGTCGAATAGACTGGCCAGGACAACACGATCACTTTGCTCGCCCTCCCACGGCTGTCGGCCATGCTGAGCGATGATGTTGTCGTATACCAGCACATCCCCGCGTTGCCACTTGTGAAGAACTCGGATTTCGTCTGTGATTTCGGCCAGACGAGCCAGGTACTTTTCCGGGATCGGGGTGCCGTCCCCAAACAATTGGAGGGTGTTCTGTTTGCGGCCGGTGCCTTGGTTGGCCGTTTGATTCTTATGAATGGCGGCCAAACCGGTGAACAGCGTGGGTAAATCAGTCCCAGGCTGCGTGCGGATGGCTGGCAGTCGGTGCGTCAAGGTAATGGAACCGTCGTCGCCCCATTCCCAGGTTGTATGCTCGCCACGGTTGTATCGGGCAATCTGGGCTTCGATCTTGGCCCGCTTGGTGGCTTCATCGTCGCCGTCCTGAATCTCCTTGCCGAAAGCCTGTTTGAGCGTCGACCCGCCGGCGTACTGTTGGTCCACTTTATACGTGACTCTGCTGAGAATCCCCTTTTCTCCTAGCTCGGCGATGAACTCGGGAATCTCCTGTTGAGCTCGATGGAACAGTTCCAGAGACGACGAGATGGGAGACTCGCCACCCTTGGCAGGCGCGTTGTGACCGTAGAAGAAGATATACTCCGGAGCGTGTGGCACCTGAGGAGATTCGTTGTGGCTGTAAATCAGGACTTCCTTAGGCGCCTCATTCGCCGGTGCCACATTGGGAGCCAGCAGTGGTCGGTCCACCACGATGCCAATAATCTCATGAGGCTTGTAGCCAAATGCGTGCGCGAACTTGCTGAAGTCATGGGCGTTGTGGATGGGTAGACCACGGAAGAGCAGTGTTCCATGACGGGCAAGTAACTTGGTCAGCGTACCATCCCGAGCCTGAAGCGACTTGATGCTGTTGACAACGGTGTCCAGATCAACCTCGACATCGTCGTGGGTGGATGGTTTGAGAGCCAGCGGGATGACTGTGCCGCTGGGATGAGGCGGCCCAAGTATGCGCTGGTTGCTGGACGGCAACTCAAAGGGTTCGAATGCGACCAACGTCGAAGCCTGGTCATCGAGTTTGAGGGACTGTAGTCCCAACTCTTCAACAGAGGCTGCCATTGTTGCTCAGTCAAAATCGTTGGACCAGAAATGTTCCTGCTGTATCGCCACTTCAGACTTGGATGTCCCGGTCTGCACAGTGTGATGGACATCCCCGCTGCATGTGGCAGATATAACCCTGGGTTGTATAGTTGTAGGTCAGTTCCACAATCCCGTGGTGTCATTCACACTAACGATCACGAATGCAGCGACCAGGCGAATCCGAGGCATCCTGAATACGCGACTGGACACCGTTCCCTAGCGGGACGCTAGACAATGTACCGTCAGTCCCTGTAACCGTTCACCAGTGACCCGCATATCAAAACTCACATGAGCAACGTGCAAGGTGTGCAAAACTTCTCACGTTTGACCGAGGTCTTGCATGGACCACGTTTTCGGATCGTCCAAGGGGCCCCGTGGGTGCCGAGGGGAAATGTTGGAATGTCTAGATCCAGATGGCGTCAGAGTTGGACCGGCTTGCGTGCTTCTGGGCCGGATCTGGAACAAAACGGCCAACAATATATAGACTTTTGAATAGGACACAACGTGTGCAATATGATGGGGCAAGTTGTTCATTGACGCGTCTATCGTATCCCGTGGTGTCCACTGTTGACACTCGTTGGTCTAGCCTGGCTCGACATTTGCTCCAGGCTGTGAAGATGTCGACACCGCCGAACAACACCAACGAGAAGTTGGGTGTGGGCAGTGCTGAAGAGATTCATGATGGTCCGATCACAGTACCACTGTCCACAGATGGCCCTGCGCCTTTGCAGAGTCGACATCCCTTTTTCCGACGAACACTCTTTCAGATTCTGGTCGTCGGCACCTGCGCCTTCTGCGCGCCGGGAATATGGAGTGCTATGAACGGCCTGGGGGTCGGAGGTTCTCAGAGCCCGAATCTCGTCAATGCCGCCAACGCGCTCCTTTACGCTTTCATGACTGTCACTTGTTTTGCTGGACCGTGGCTTACCAATGCGATCGGGTTCAGGTGGACCTTGGCCATTGGTTCGCTAGGCTATCCTCTTTACGCCGCAGGGCTGTACCTCAATAATCGCACTGGGGCCACGTGGCTGGTATACTTCGGCGCTGTTACCTGCGGGATTAGCGCCGGGTTCTTCTGGAGTGTTGAAGGTGCCATTGCCACAGGATACCCAGAGCAAAACAAGCGAGGACGATACATTGCAACTTGGTTCTCCTTTCGCAACTTCGGAAACATTATCGGAGGGGCCATATCGCTGGCGCTCAACCATAAAACCAACCATCGCGGAAAGGTTGGGTATGAGACTTATCAAGCATTTATCGCCATCCAATGCTTAGGCTTCTTCTCCGGCCTGTTGTTATCGAATCCTGACAAGGTGTGGCGGGACGATGGCACCCGCCTCGAAGCCTCGAGGGGCATTGCCTGGCGCACTGAACTCGTACAAATGTGGCGGTTGATTCGAAGCAAGGAGATCTTGCTCTTGACACCATTGTTCTGGTACTTCGGCTGGATGCAGGCATACCCTGGTACTTACCTGGCAAGATACTTTACCGTTCGTTCGCGTGCGCTCGGAAGCTTCATGTCGGCAGTCGTCGGCACTCTAGCCACCTGGCTGAGCGGTGTCCTCGTGGATCTGCCATGGTCGAAGAGCCGAAAGACTCGGGCCATTGCCACGTGGGTCCTCATTGCGGCAATGAACAGTGGTACCTGGATCTGGGCGGTATATATTCAGAATGAGTACCGCCACACAAACCCGGTCCTGGACTGGGCAGATCAAGCCAGCTTCGGCCGGGGGTTTGGGCTGTACATGTTTGAGCGGCTGAGTTTCGCAACGGTGGAGAATTACATCTACTGGTGCATTGGCAATCTCTCCGACTCACCGGGTGACCAGATTCGCTATAGCTCCCTGCTTCGAGGCATCGAGACCGCGGGTGTTGCAGTAGGATTTGGCGTCCAGGCCATTCCAACGGCTCTGATAGCTACGGCCAGCATCAACACCGCACTTTGGTATATAGCACTCCCTTTCAGCTACTGGGCAACGATTCAGGTCGTGCGCAAGTTTGATAGGCTGGAGAAGGAGCGGGAGGAGGCGGCTGAATCTGTTCAAGAAGTGGTGGTCAAATGAACGGTGATGGCGGGGGCCAGACGCAATATACATGTGACAAAAGGCTGATCATATGCATCTTGGAGGAGTTGCGCGTTATGATAGAGCACTAGCAGACAAGATTATGCTGATAGAAGAACGGATAGATGAGCCGATAGAACAAAATGCCGAATTTCCTTGGAAGTCTCCGACTTCAAGTCCGTTTAAGGCGTGAAGTTCAACTTGAAGTTCTGAAAAGGTTCCCCGAGATTACATAATCGTGCTATTCCCAACCCATACTAGCGTAGTCATGTGATCACCCACCTCTCTCCGGCGTCCGGCTTCACATTGAATGTGAACTGCACCTCATCGCATTGCACAGTCGACCACCCTACAACTCTGTGTCTATCGTCAGTTCTGCCCAAGAACGGTATGCCGAGCCCCTTCTGCTCAATGCGCTGTTGTCTCGCTTGCTCGACTGACCTTCTTTAGATCTGTTCACCATGGCGAAACCAGTGTGGAAAGGAAACCATCCAGTCCAACAAATCAACCAGACCCGACCGTTATACCGAGTTGCCGCAACCGGGCTTGGAGCTGCTATGTGGTTCTTTGTAAGCTCTTCAGGAAGCACACGATCGAGATAGACAGACGGCTACTAACACCCGCGACAGTTGATGTACCGAGCGAAGAAGGACGGACCTGCGCTGATCGGCTTGAAGCATCCTTGGGACCACTGATCGATGGGGGGAGTCGAGTTTGTTATATCACCACAATCACGGCCTTCGATCCTATCGCATATATGATTCCTGCGTCGGTCGTCGGTCTAAGGGCGTTACGGATGGAAACCAAATGCGCGCCAAGCAGGACCTGAGCATGGCAATGGAAGAGCAGAATACTTGGGTCTTGATGTCCAGAATTCAGCTTTAGAGAGCAGAAGAGAGCCAGACGAACACAAGAATCAATGTTCTAAATTTTCAGCAATGCTTACGGACCCGTTTGACCACTGCTAATTATCGTCCAGAAGCGCCGTGATGGCTCTATTGACTCTGGGGTACGCTGGGAGATTGGAGACATATTAAGCTATTCACACCACGTCCCATGAAGTCGTACATGTTGATCCTTTTTGTTGATTCTCTCCAGCATCCCAAACGACACTGGAAGAGAACACAGCTCCCGAGTATCCAAATAAGTTCGGCATTCGGAATACTATATACAGGTCTATTTGCTTTGCAGAATGTCCTCTGCAATAATCTTGTATCGCTTCCGCTTTTTCGGATGCGCCGGTCGCAACCATAATTTGAGTCGCCCGATATATTTTGCCAGCAGCTGAAAGAAATGTCTCTCCGACAGGTAGGACACAGCAAAGCCGGCTGCTGCCAGAGCCAGCAGGAACAGCTCATAGTCAAGCGACATCTCGGTCAGATCCATAAAGTCCGCTAGCCACTTCGCCGGGTCCAGCAGCATGTACAAAGACATGAGGAGAGCAACCACAATTGTGACGCAGAATGGCACATTTGTCATCATGGACTGTCGGAAAGGTGGTCCAATACTCAACACCACGCCTGAAAGGGTGTATTGGTAGATAGAGACCAAGAATAGAGCCGTATTCAAGGAGTTGTCGACATTCGACTTTTCTTTGTTCAGTTCCGGCGGCTGGTACCAGGGTTGTTCTTGGACGGTTTCATAGGCAACCAGCTGGACAAGGACGGCCAACACAATCTGACCCAGCAGCGGTGTCAATACTTTCCTGGAGACAAGATTGGCCGTCGGGCGTTTCTTGCTCAGGACAGGATAGGCGCCCGTCCAACCCATAAATATCGCGATGGGTAAAATCAGGCAAAGATCGATGAACAAGAATTGGAAGTCGCCAAGATTGGACGCAGACGCGTAGAGAAAGCTGACCGAGGTGAACTGGATAGCCGAGTACAAGCTCATGTACTTGAAGCAGCAGAAGCTTGTTACCAGCGCGGCTCGTCCTTCCTTGATCAGCGCCGGTACACAGGAAATGTCGAAAATGTGACTCGTGAAAGGGGCCGCAACAGAGGCCTCCGCTTCTGAGAGGGAGACACCAACATCCGCAGCCTTCAAGGCACCACAGTCGTTTGCACCATCGCCGCAGAATCCACAGCAATAATCAATGCTTTGCAGTTTCTCGACGAGCTCGTGCTTCTCATCAGGGGACATTCGCGCGAAAACCGCTCCCTTGACCAGCATTCTTTCCACTACTTCGGTAGGCGCAAAATCGATAATCCACCGAAAAGCGTCGCCGGTCACAGCCAGTGTGTAATCGCCGATGGCTATGGCGTCGTATGGTGAAGAAGTGTCATCCTCGGCAAGCAACGGTAGAGGGAGTAGAGTGTTTTCATCGAGCTGGTAAATGGGATTGTCGACGGCCTCCCAAGTCAACCGTGCTCTGGGATCCATCTTATCGCCTTCCACAAAATGTGCCACGAAGCAGTGTGCATTGCGATCCACGAGTTGACACTCTCTCGCCACACTAATGGCTGTCAAAATATTGTCGCCGGTACACATAACGTTCCGAATGCGAGCCTCGTTTAGTTCCTCGATGATCTCCGTCGTGATCTCCTTCAATTTGTTCTCAAAAATGATGAATCCAAGGAGCTGGAGTCGGGACTCGGCTTCGGAGCGGTCCATATTCTGAATTTCATCCCAACTGAGCCTGGAAACGTATTTAGAAGCACATGCAATGACACGGAACCCTTTATGAGTGTAATAACTGAGGAGATCATCAAAGTCATCGGGAATGCTCGAAGGAGTGCAGATATCCTTCATGACTTCAGGAGCTCCCTTCACGTAAATACTTGCGCCGGGATCAGCATGCTGACGAACGACGACGCTAGCACGTCGAAGATGTGAGACAAATTCAAATGAGCGAAGGACTCCTAGTTCCACGCGCACAGGATTGGCATTATCCTGGGAGTCGTCCACGTCATACTCGAGTCCTGGTGGCGGGCGTGCCACACTGGGTGCTGTTTGTTGCGTACCAGGCTCGATGAAGTGGTTAGTATTGCGAGAGCCTTCTTCGAAGGACCACCCCGTAAACTGGAACATTTTTAAGTCAAGAGGGTCGCCTATGAGCTCATCGTCGACGAGTCGAAGTGAATGGCAAGTTGCCATTGCGTACAGCATGTTTTTGTTGACGCGGTAGTCAACAGTCGGATCGCGGTCGTAGGGTGCTGGAGGCAAGACCTCATGCGCCTCCTCCAAGATGTCTCCAAATCGAATTTCTGGATGTTGGACGAGCCTTACCCCGAGTACGTCCAATCCGTCCTCGGTTAGAGTCCCTGTCTTGTCAAAGCAGACGACATCAAGTTTGCCAGCGACATTGACCCTCTGCGGGCTGATGCAAAAGATCTGCTGCTTCCTCAGGCGAGAAAGAGCGAAATTCGTCCCAATAGTAAGGGTTGCGGGCAGTGCAGGAGGAACGACGATGGTGATCAGATCCAAAGCTCGCACTATGATCAGATGCCAGGCCAAGCCGAGCTTGACAAAGTTGATAAATGATGCGATGAAACCCACCCCAGCGACACACCCCATGACGGAGATGTAGCGGAAGGAGTCCCGGTAAAACTTGAAGCCTGAAGGTTTTGGGAACAGCATCGATCGAACAAGGGCTCCTTTCGTGGTATTGAATCCAGTGCGGACCACCATCGCAAGTGCAACTGCTTCATCATCGTCTGTATCTTGTGGGCGTCTTGCACGAATTATCTTCGTCCCACAGAAGAGAAAATATCGAGCAACACTGGGATGTATTGAAGTGGCTCCAAGGTTGATGTAAGGCAGTGCTTCGTCCACAATAGGGATTTTGGACACCGGAATGGATTCACCTGCAGCAGTCAGTAATTGAACGACAAACACTTTGGATGGAAGTACCTGTCAGCATGCTCTCGTTGATGATACAGTCGCCGGACAAAAGCAGACTGTCACAGGGGATTACTGAAAGTGATGGATCTGAGACTTCGTAAACATCCCCGGGGACCAATTCGCTGGACAAGGCAGATCGCCCTTTGCGAAATGTCAGCAGCCAAAATTCCATGATCCAAGAAAAGACTTACAGAAGCCGTTGCGAAGGACACGAACGTCGCACTCGAAGCGGGAGATTTCCCGTAAACGCTGCATCGTCTACACCAGAGTTAACATCATTCTTTAGGAGAGACTTGGGTACAACATACTGATCGAGTTTCAATCACAGTGGTTGTGATCGAAAAGACCGATATCAGAAAAATGGCGGCGGCATAATAATAATACTCATCCAAAGACCACAAGATGAGACTTGCCACTTGAAACACATAGAAAGGATGGAAGGCCTAGTTTTCATTAGCTTCGCCAGGGACAGACGATAGAGGGAACTGACTTCGTCCAAAAGCAATTCGGGGATAGTCTTCTGCTGGATTTCAATCACGTTCTTGCCAAAAACTTGATCCCTCGGATCTCTCTCCTCAGAGTCAAGACCCTCTCGGAGAGCTTTGACTGAAGTCCATTGAGGGTCCCACCAGTCATTGTTAAGGACGAACTTATCCTGGACAGGATGATAAAGGAGCCTCATATACCGATAGTCGAGAAATCGCAGGAGTGGCAGTTCGACATCTTCGTCATATCGGTATCCATTGTGTTTTTCTTTTCCAGAACGTGTGAAAACAGTGGACATGGGGTGGCCATACTCCTCAACAGCAACATAATGCACCGTGAATTCACCCCATTGGTTCTGAGACTTCTTAGCTTTCTTCTTGCGACGCTTTAGTCGGGGCCCATAGCTCACCTCTACGACCACCCATGAACAATTTTTGAGGGGAGCAGCGGTGCCAACTAGTGATATGCGCCATCGTGGTATCCAACGAAAAACAAGATAACCAATGCCTCCGGTCAAAATGCATATAGCGAGGTAGGCTAAATAACCAAGAGAACTCGTCACGAATCCCGCTATGACCATGGTAAGATCTTCGGTCTCGATGTAGAGCTTCTGGCTGAAGTTGCCGCCTTCCTCAAGCTCCTGGGTATCACTACGGGCAGAACCCCTTCTTCCCAGAAGCGGCTGGTCTGATGAAGACCTAAGCCGACCAGAGGGCTTGTGGCGGAGCGGTTCCGTTTGACCTGCCTCTAGGTCGCGCTCCTCCCCATGAATGTGTCCATCCTCTTCGTCACTGAGATCGACAATGGCCTCCTCGTCGGAGTAGTCTGGCGTTTCTTCCTCGTCTTGGAAATAGGTGAAGCTCGAAATCGAACCCTTGCGCTTCCTCGGCCGCTGATATACGAAACCGGTCACACTCGAAGGGACGCTCTCAGAGATCGGTCCGGAGAACGGCTAACACAAAGGCAATCAGATGGCATCATGGTATCAAGTTCCGCGCAACGCACCTCATCAGTGGCCATTTCGACTTCGGACACGATGCTTGCATTGCTCAAGTTCGAATCTCTTCGGTGCATCGTCCGTAATGCTGAACTAGAGCGCCGCGGCGGCCCAGCACGGCCTCGGTCGACGACGTCCATTTTGCACTCGAAAGTGCCTCCGGGGCACGGCTCAAACGGTCAGGACATATGTAGAGTAAATATATCCAGGGTTAGAGGAGGCCAAACGGCGAGAAACAGTTCTTCCAAGAAAAAGGGTGTTATCGGGTTATCGAGACACAAAATAGTAGGTATGATACCATTGGCAACCCCATACTGGTGCTATACTACGACTACCTAGTAGCGGTGGTGGTAGGTGGGCAGTGGAAACCCACAGCCTGAGCGACTCGACATTTTGGCGGTGCAGTGCAGTGCAGTGGCAGTGGGCAATACGTCAAAGTTGGCCAGTGGCAGAGCGTGCAACTTGCTGGTTTACAAGTGGACGGGACGCAGCCTGAATACGCACTTTCCTTCTTTAGGATACTTTGCATGCCGCCTTATGATCGTTTCCCTTCTGTAGTACTCCAGGTCCGATTGTTTGCTTCGAGGAAGTTGGCAATAAAATAAGCAGAAGTGATGTGCCATGCTAGTGAGAGGTACAAATAAGTGATGGATCTTGGTGAAGTGCTGTGATGGATCAGACACATCACTCGGGCTGCAGGACGCACACCCACGCCAGGGCACTTCACTCTCATCCTAAAGCGGCGAGGTGCACATCCTTCCACGTGACCGCCGGCTGGACGGGCCTCTTATCGAGATGGAGACTTTTTCTCGACGTCGCAACGGTCAACATTTCTGAATCACAGTCCAACCTCTCACCAAATCTTTGTTTTCTTCTTCTGACAGAAAGCATCCGTTTTGCCATCTCTCGGCACCTTCTCGAGCGTGTCGCACAGAAGGTTCTTCTTCCCGTGGTGCTCGCACGGGTTTCTGTCTTTGAGACACTGAGGTCCAACAGATCTTGCACTACCAACCCACCCGCCACGGTTATTGTTCACTTTCCCCCAACAATTCACGATGGCGTCCGAAATCCCAAGAGGACGCTCTAATATCACCGCTCCGTATGTTCTCGTCCTGTACACAGGATGTTCGTGCTGAGAGTACACTGCTAACCGAGAGATTTCAGGACCCCTCAGAACAGTCAGTCTCCCTACCAACCTGCAGTGCAGCTTAGACTATTCCTTACTGACCAAACTACAGCCCCTGCTTCAAATGCGCCCATTTCTTCGCATGCGCAGGCTCCAACCATCAGCGACATTCAGGAAGGTGAGTTGACTCAAATCTCATGCTTACTACAGTGTACTCACGCATACTTGCAGAGGACCTTGATCGTGCTGCAGCGGCTTCCATATTCGCCAAGAATCCTGCCCTGGTCTCGATGATGCAGCAGAAGCTCGGTTCGCTTGTTGGTCGATCGTCTGGCTACGTCGAGTCTCTCCCTACGCCTGTCCGCCGTCGTGTCACTGGCTTGAAAGGAATCCAAAAGGATCACGCCAAACTAGAAGCCGAGTTCCAAGAAGAGGTCCTTCAGCTCGAAAAGAAGTATTTCGCCAAGTTCACTCCATTGTACGAGAAGCGAGCTGCCATTGTCAATGGTGAGACCGAGCCCACCGAGTCTGAGGTCGAGGCCGGTAAGGACGAGGACGAAGATGAGGGCGAGGAGGAGCCAAAGGAAGAGGAGAAGCCTTCTGCAGAGGACATGAAAGGTATCCCGGAGTTCTGGCTCACGGCAATGAAGAATCAAATCTCTCTTGCCGAGCTCATCACGGACCGGGACGAGGAAGCCCTCCGATCCCTGACCGACATCCGCATGGAATACCTCGACCGCCCGGGATTCCGCCTGATTTTCGAATTCGCCCCCAACGACTTCTTCACCAACAAGACCATTACCAAGACATACTACTACCGAGAAGAGAATGGCTACGGTGGTGATTTCATCTATGACCACGCCGAAGGTGACAAGATCGACTGGAAGCCAGGCAAGGATCTGACCGTCCGCGTCGAAAGCAAGAAGCAACGAAACAAGAGTAAGCTTGCCTTTTCCGAATTTATGAGACAACCTCTAACTTGAGCCTAGACACCAAGCAGACCCGAGTCATCAAGAAGACTGTTCCCACCGAGTCGTTCTTCAACTTCTTCTCTCCCCCGGTTCCTCCTACCGACGAGGACGACGTCGCCTCCGACATTGAGGAAAGACTGGAGCTCGATTACCAGCTGGGCGAAGACATTAAGGAGAAGCTCATTCCCCGTGCCATCGACTGGTTCACTGGCGAAGCCCTGGCATTCGAGGAGTTCGATGACGCTGAAGACGCCGAGTTCGATGACGAGGATGATGAGGATGACGAGGACGAAGAAGATGTCGACTCTGAGGAGGACGAAGAGGAAGAGGGCGGCAAACCCCGGTCTCAGCAGGCCTCTGAGTGCAAGAACCAGTAGATGAGCATTACTCTGGCTCATTTACCACCGTGCTGATGGTGTTGATGAACCAATTTGGACAGTAACACAGAACACGAGGGCGGTGTTGCATTACGTGCCTAGGAGCAGATGGCCGTAGCATGGTGCCGTTTACGGTGACCGGCATGGCGTCGACTAGCTACGATCCTTTGAGCATATCTGATGGCGTTTTACAAGATCGGGCGTGACCGATCCATGCCTGCACAACCCAGATGAAGGGCATGGTGGATGTCCATCTCACGCCCAGGCGGTCATGTCAGTTTTTTCAGCACTCCAGCCCTTCAATCCTCCAATCCTTGAATGCCCTTGATTTTCAGTCTAGCAAAGCAGTGCGCCAGCAGTACCAAGCCGGCCATAATTCTGTTGAAAGACTCGATTCAGCAAACACAGTATGTAGAGCCGTCAGTTGTTTGTTTTGTGGGGGAGATCAATAATAATGGGCAAGCGATTTCCTCTCTTTCGTACGAACTATCGCTATTCGAGGACAATCGGGTGTTACCAAGCCAAGCCAATCTACAGTACTACTACCTTAGGAAGCTGTGCAGAAGGCTGTGACAGCTAAACGAACAAGTAGTCACCCTTGTAGTCACGCCGAAGTCACCCTTGCCCATGCAGAAAATTTAGTGAAAGGGGTGATGAAGGGTGGTGAAGAGTGGTTTTGGGGGACAATCTTATGCGGACCAGGGGAGACGGATTGGCGCGGGTTGGTTGGAAGTGGAAAAGCGCAGATGCGACGGCGAGTTGCAGGCTGCGTCTAAGTTATTAGCAGTTGTTTAGTCGCTTCGCTGACCCGTGGCGCGTCTTCAGAGTCTCCAGTCCGAGTCCCTGAACCTGAAAGCGCGCAGCCAGAGTGCCCAGGGAGCCCCCATACTACTACCTACAGTACTACTAACCACCGTCTGCTGCAACTCGGTACCAGGCAGGCAGTAGAGGCCAGTGGTCCAAAAGATTCTCGTATCTGATGCCACAGTAAACACGCCTTCAAACGGCCACCATCATCATCCTCATCTTCCCGCCGACCGCACCAACATCGACACGTCTCCTCCTCTCTGTTTTGTTTGTCCTGTCGTTCGTCCACCTGTCACCCCGCCGGTCCGGAAGTGAAGAAAACAATCCTCCGTTGACACGTCCCTGCAGGCATTCTCCTGGCCGACCCCGAATACATGGCTGGCCTCGCTGTCAATAGTTGAGATCCCAATCCCGACAACCAGCAACATCCTCCAAAATGGCCAGCTGGGACATCGGCACCCGGGCCTGGTTCCCTAACCAGGCCGAGGGCTTTATCCCCGGTGAACTGGCTGAGAGGAAAGAGTTGGGCGAGGGCAAGATAGCCCTTGTCTTCAACCTCTCCGATGGCTCACAACAGACGGTTGAGACCACCGAGAGCGCTCTCGCCGATACCCATCAGAATGCCTCCCTGCCTCCTCTCATGAACCCGCCCATGTTCGAAGCCGCCGAAGACTTGACGAATCTCTCCCATCTCAACGAGCCCGCGATTCTGCAGGCCATCAAGCTGCGATATGCCCAGAAAGAAATCTACACATACAGCGGTATCGTGCTGATAGCCACGAACCCCTTTGCGAGGGTGGACTCGCTCTATGTCCCGCAGATGGTGCAGGTCTATGCGGGCAAGCAGCGAGCATCGCAGGCACCGCATCTGTTCGCCATTGCCGAAGAGGCTTACACTGACATGTTGAGGGATTCGCGGAATCAGACCGTTGTCGTGTCTGGCGAGTCTGGTGCCGGCAAAACGGTCAGTGCAAAGTACATCATGCGGTACTTTGCGACGCGCGGAGCCCCTGGACAGACCGGCAAGGGAAGGAAGCCGAGACCTGATGCCATCAGCGAGACTGAAGAGCAGATTTTGGCGACAAATCCGGTCATGGAAGCCTTTGGTAACGCGAAAACGACACGAAATGACAACTCCTCCCGGTTCGGTAAATACATTGAAATCATGTTTGACAAAAACACGGACATCATTGGTGCCAGGATACGAACATATTTGCTTGAGCGTTCACGTCTCGTTTTTCAGCCGTTGAAGGAGAGAAACTATCATATATTCTACCAACTTGTGGCCGGAGCCACTGATGAGGAGAGGCAAGAGCTGAGTCTCTTGCCGGTGGAGGAATTCGACTATCTCAACCAAGGGAACGAACCTTCAATCGACGGTGTGGACGACGCGGCCGAATTCGCAGCGACAAGGACGTCTTTGAGCACGATCAATGTTTCAGAAAGTACACAGAAAGAGATCTTCCGCATCCTTGCTGCACTCCTGCACATTGGCAACATCAAGATCGCCGCGAGTCGCACAGAGTCGAGTCTCTCTGCAAACGAGCCTGCCTTGGAACGGGCTAGCAAGATCCTGGGTATCGATGCGAGTGACTTCGCCAAGTGGACTGTTAAGAAACAGCTCATTACACGGGGGGAGAAGATCACATCCAACCTCACTCAACAACAAGCGACGGTTGTTCGAGACTCCGTAGCCAAATTCATTTATTCCAGCCTCTTTGACTGGCTTGTGGAGACGATAAACCATGGCCTGGCGACCGAAGAAGTCTTGCAGCGTGTCAGCACCTTCATCGGTGTGCTGGATATCTACGGTTTCGAGCACTTTGCCAAAAACTCTTTTGAGCAGTTCTGCATAAACTACGCCAATGAAAAACTGCAACAAGAGTTCAACCAGCATGTCTTCAAGCTGGAACAGGAAGAGTACATGCGTGAACAGATCGACTGGACTTTTATCGACTTCTCTGACAATCAACCCTGCATTGATTTGATCGAGGGAAAGCTAGGTATTCTGTCTCTCTTGGATGAAGAATCGCGGCTACCCATGGGCTCTGATGAGCAATTTGTCAACAAGCTTCACCACCATTTTGCCGGAGACAAGCAGAAGTTCTACAAGAAGCCTCGATTTGGCAAGTCCGCTTTCACGGTGTGTCACTACGCCCTCGATGTTACTTATGAGTCCGACGGCTTTATCGACAAGAACCGAGATACGGTACCGGACGAGCAGATGGAGGTGCTTAAGAAGTCTACTAATCCGTTCCTGGTGGAAGTCCTGAACGTTGCCGCTGCGGTGAGGGACAAGGACAGTGCTCAAACCAGCTCAAAGACTGTGGCACCCGCAGGCGGACGGCGAGTGGGGGTCGCTGTTAACCGCAAACCCACGCTGGGCGGCATTTTCAAGAGCTCGCTTATTGAGCTGATGGACACGATCAACTCTACCGATGCGCATTACATCCGCTGCATCAAGCCCAACGAAGCCAAGGAGGCATGGAAGTTCGAAGGACCCATGGTTTTGAGTCAGCTCAGAGCCTGTGGTGTTCTGGAAACGGTTCGGATCAGCACGGCCGGTTATCCTACGCGATGGACGTACGAGGAATTTGCAATGAGATATTACATGCTGTGCCACTCATCCGAGTGGACCACGGAAATCAGACAAATGGCTCAAAACATATTAGTGAAAGCACTAGGAGAAAGAGCTCATGAAAAGGCGGACAAGTATCAGCTGGGTTTGACCAAGATCTTCTTCCGAGCAGGAATGTTGGCATTCCTAGAGAACCTCCGCTCAGCTCGTCTGAAGGAGTGCGCCATCATGATCCAAAAGAACCTGCGGGCCAAATACTATCGCCATAAATACCTTGACGCGCGTCAATCGATCATCAACTTTCAGGCTGCCACGCGGGCATTCCTTGCAAGGCGGAAGGCCGAGCAAACCAGACAAGTCAAAGCAGCAACCGATATTCAACGGTTCTGGAGAGGACAAAAAGCACGCAGACACTACAACCAAGTTCGAAACGACCTCGTCCTTTTCGAATCCGTTGCCAAAGGCTACCTTTGCAGGAGGAACATTCTCGAGACACGCATTGGCAATGCTGCCGTTACTATCCAACGAGCCTTCCGCTCGTGGCGAGCACTCAGGGCCTGGAGGCAACATCGGAGAAAGGTGGTCATCGTGCAGAATCTGTGGCGCGGCCGGGTCGCTCGACGCGATTACAAGAAGTTACGTGAGGAGGCCCGGGATCTGAGGCAAATCTCGTATAAACTCGAAAACAAGGTGGTCGAGCTTACACAGTCGCTTGGAGCACTCAAACGAGAGAACAAGACATTGCTTTCCCAGCTGGAAAATTACGAAGGTCAGTTGAAATCGTGGAGATCACGACACACTGCTCTGGAGGCACGTTCTCGGGAATTGCAAGCCGAAGCCAACCAAGCTGGTATCGTGGCAGCCCGTCTGAGCGCTTTGGAAGAAGAGCATGCCAAGCTACAAGCCAGCCATGACGAACATATGGGCAATGCCAAAAGATTGCAGGAGGAAGAACGTAAACTCCGGGAGACGCTGCAAGTTTCGAATGCGGAGCTGGAGCAATTGCGGCAGACTGTCGCTACTCATGAAAGCGAAAGAGGCTCATTACGGCAACAGATCAATGAGCTTCAAGATCAGCTAGAGATGGCCAGGAAGGCGCCACCACCCGCGGCCACCAACGGCGTCAATGGAGATTATGTCAATGGCGGATCTCAACTTCCAAATGGTTTGATCAACCTTGTTTCCTCGAAGAAGCCCTTGAAGCGACGAAGTGCTGGGGCTGCGGAGCGCAGCGAACTCGACAGATACAGCGTGGCTTACAACGCTCGACCTGTCTCAATGGCCCTCGACACGCACCTTAAGACGCTGTCGGGCTCCACCTTTAATGCTGGTCTGGACAGCATCGAGATGGAACTCGAAAACCTCCTTTCGCAGGAAGAGGAGCTGAACGAGGAAGTCACCATGGGGCTTATTCGGGGCATCAAGATCCCTCAGCCTGGAGCCAACCCGGCACCGACCGAGAAAGAGGTCTTGTTCCCCTCCTACCTTATCAACTTGGTCACATCGGAGATGTGGAACAACGGATTTGTCAAGGAGTCGGAACGATTCCTCGCCAATGTCATGCAATCCATCCAACAAGAAGTTATGCAGCACGATGGGGACGAAGCCATCAACCCTGGTGCTTTTTGGCTATCCAATGTGCATGAAATGCTCTCCTTTGTTTTCCTTGCTGAAGATTGGTATGAAGCCCAGAAGACGGACAACTACGAGTATGACCGTCTGCTCGAAATCGTCAAGCATGACTTGGAGAGTTTGGAGTTCAACATCTATCATACATGGATGAAGGTTCTGAAAAAGAAGTTGCACAAGATGATTGTCCCCGCCATTATTGAATCTCAGTCATTGCCAGGCTTCGTCACCAACGAAAGCAGCCGGTTCCTTGGGAAGCTGCTCCCTTCGAACAACACTCCTGCGTACAGCATGGACAATCTTTTAAGCTTGCTGAACAATGTCTACCGTGCAATGAAGGCTTACTACCTCGAGGACTCGATTGTTACGCAAACGGTCACAGAGTTGCTTCGGTTGGTTGGTGTGACTGCTTTCAATGACCTTCTCATGCGGCGCAACTTTTTGTCTTGGAAACGGGGTCTCCAGATCAACTATAACATCACCAGGATTGAGGAATGGTGCAAAAGCCACGACATGCCTGAAGGGACATTGCAGCTCGAGCATTTGATGCAGGCCACCAAGCTGTTGCAGCTCAAGAAGGCGACTCTAAATGACATTGAAATCATCCAGGACATCTGCTGGATGTTGTCGCCCAACCAGATCCAGAAACTGCTGAATCAATACCTCGTGGCAGATTACGAACAACCCATCAACGGAGAGATTATGAAAGCCGTGGCTTCACGCGTCACCGAGAAAAGCGACGTTCTCCTCCTGGCCCCAGTCGACATGGAAGACAGTGGGCCATATGAAATTGCTGAGCCCAGAGTCATTACTGCGTTGGAAACATATACTCCATCATGTAAGTTTTTGCCATTCCCCCCTTCCCTTCTCTTCTGCGTGCAAGCTAGTCAAACAAACTAAAGAAGGATTTTTGTACTGACACTTTTGGACAACAGGGCTACAGACACCTCGTCTGAAACGGCTGGCAGAGATTGTCTCGGCTCAAGCCATGGCTCAGCAAGAACGAGGAGACCTACCGGAAGAAGAAGCTCTTGATGAGAACGAACCTATCGAGGACGAGGTAGCTGTGGGAGCGTGAAGTGGGAGACCAAGCGTTCTTGCGCAGCACCGCGACTACACGACGCAGTAGCTTCGACTTCGACAACGATCCTCGTCGGACTAGTCCAATGTGGCTGGAAAACATTATGAGGGATCGTCGTCATGTAATTGATGCTAGAGCCAGCGAACTCGGGGGTTTGTTCTGTCTTGTCCATGAGGTTGGTCAATGTCTCGTCGGATCAGGACGGCGCATCAAGGGATGGAGGCGAACAAGTGAATCGCGCATCAAGAATGGGGTATGGTGTTGAAGTCTCGTCGTCTCCCCATCTCTTCTTTTTCCCTCGTCGGTGTGTGGCGCACACCAAGCGAAGAATATAATGTTTTTGGCGGGACAGGGGCATAGCACTGGTGTCATCGGCGCCTGGCCGGCTGGGCGAGGTCGGAGGCGAACATTGGCCGTTTTGTCATCTCATCTTCCTCTTCTCTTTCTGCGTCTTGTTTTGTTACGCGCTCTTGCAATGGCTCATCCGTGGGCACGGTTCGGGCATTCATTCTATGCGAAGCAATGTAGGAGTGTGGCAGGATACGGGCTGGCTAGGAGGCGAGTCCTCAGAACTACTAGTTCCCTTTCATCAAGTGAAACAAAGAAGAGAACTAATGTCAACGACTGAACTATACTGTAACTACCTTAAATTGTCGTATCGCCAAAATAACGCAAAGCACGGGTTAATCTGACTGTCCGCGTGCTTCATGAGAGATATGAATTGCAGCTCCCAAGTTGTGCTTGCTTTTGCTTGGTGTTGCTAAATCTCTCCTCTGGAAGCCTGTGCTTCCACAACTTGACTTCGAGGATCTACAATTCCTACAGTAAGTGTACTGTAGTCGTACTTAGCTCCCCTACAGTACAGTAGGTACCGTCTGTGACACGTAGGACCTGTGCCTCTTGAGCCCCCTTTTCGTGACGAGGCTGAGATTGCCAGAGTGAAACGAAAGAATACCCGGCACGATAATTACTAAATTGCCTACCATACAACAATCTTGGTACTAGTATGTACCGTAGTATACTCATAGTATGCTTAGGGATTTATCATTCAATACCTACCTAGGTAGATTTTCGTATCTGTTCTGTGTCGACTCAATTTTGTTCGTAAAGAGGTACGCAACATGTGACAGCAAATGCATGCATATGCCGTGCCGTCGATGGACCTGATGATGGGGAAGTGCAGCGGGCTGCGGTCCTCTCTCTCGCTCTCACTCTCCCTCTCACGCTTTCCCCTTCATTCAGGGCGCATATCGGAACCCCTCGACGCCCTCCAATGCCGGTCTCTTGCCCTCGTCGGCCAGCCGGTTCTGGCGCCTGAGGTAGATGCTTAAGAGGATCGTGACGGTCGAATATAACATCTGCATTGAGATGGTGGCCCACATTCCAGGGAGGTATTGCTGGAGAAAGGAAACAAGACGATATGTTAGTGAGAAGAATTGCAATGCAAATCAATCAACTCGAACAATGAATGGCTTGTTGTCAGACAGGGCGCATTATTGACCAATAGAAGGAAGAATTTCATCTGCATATGCATGGCGAACATCCACGTACCGGTGCATCCTGACTCCTAAAGATGGTGGAGCCCGTGATACCGCCGGCGGCACCGATGGAGATCATGGCTGCAGCCACGACGCCTTTCTTCCGGACATCGGCGGTCTGGCTCTGGCCGTAGGTAAGGGTTCCGGGGACATTTGCCTGAGTGCCGAAGGTGGCCAGGTAAATTCCAAAGTATCTGACGCCGGGCGGCTTGGCGTAGAGAATGATGAGCAGGCCGGCAATGGCTGTAACGCTCTGGGATACCAGAACGGCCCATCGGGTGCGGTATTTGTCCGAGACCCATGCCATGAGCAAACTCATGATGATGGCGAACACGTGCGGAGGCGACTGAAGCACCTGCGACAAGGCGTAGCTGTAGCCCATGCCCTGGCGGAGGATGATCGGTTGGAAGTATGCGAGCGAATACACGCTGGAAGCGGCGACAAAGTATTGAATGGAGCTGTTGTGATACCCGACACATCAGTCCTTGTCCAGTTCCAGGCGGGTTTCACACGGAGTTGGGAGAGGGGGAGTGCTCACTAGATGATGAGCTTCCAGTCGAGCAGCATCTTCATGGATTCTTTCAAGGTTGGGTGCACATATTCTCTCAGAGACTTGTCCGCTTGCAGACGGGCTTGGGCGATATGTTTTTGCCGGGGGGTCAACCACTTGACTTTTTCGGGGACTGCTCAGTTAAATACTGTCAGCAAGACTGCGCCGTCACACTGGCTTTTTCTTGTCATGTAGCTCTTACACTCAATCAGGAAAAAGTAGGATATAATCCCGGCAATGACGGTCGCCATGCCCTCGAGGATGAAGATCCATCTCCAGCCTTGACGATAAAGACCGTCGCCAACCCGAATCAGGGACAACGCGTAGGCAAGAATGGGTCCAAAGCCCGAGGCTAACAGAGATGCCATGTAGAAGAGGGAAATTCTCCTCGCCGTTTCATACTGCTTGTACCAGGACCCGATAATGAAGACGGACCCGGGGAAGACTGTCCAATGCGTGAGTTAGAAAGACCCTTGGGAACGTCACTCTCGAAGCACGGAAGACTTACGGCCTGCTTCGAAAACGCCCAATAATGCTCGACACACAGTGAGGCTCGTCCAGGTCTTGACAAATCCCATGCCAAGGACACAGAAACCCCATGAGGTGATCAGGAAACTGAGCCAGATTTGTGCTCCGAAACGCCGGATCACCATGTTACTGGGAAGTTCAAACAATGCGTAGCCTGAGGGAGATCAGTCAGATGTACGCGCATTCAACATGGAGTCTGATGGTTACCAATGAAGAATACCAGTAATGCAATAGAGTATCTGGGGCCCTGTGAGAGTCCCACGTCCTTGGCCAACCCTGCAATGTACGCCGCCGAGATGTTTGTCCTGTCCAGCAGAGACAACCCAAAGACGACGCACAGCATGGGGAATACCCGCCAATCCACCTTCTTGGTGAGCCACCGTTAACCATGTTAATCCCCAGTATCATCGTTCACGCAGTACTTACACGAGCGCGGCTTCTTCTTCTGGAGTCCAGTCTTGGTCGGGGTTGACTTCAGGGGCTGCTTCTTCATCTTTGCGAGTGGTAGATGCGACAGATGATGCATCGTCAGTCTTTTCGACATGCGCGGTCTTGAATGGTTTTTCGGCCATCGTTAGTAGTTTGAACAAACCCTTGTCTGTCGGAATCCAATGTGTCCCCTGTTTGGCAGAGATCATCGACAGAGTTCTTCGACATCTTGCATTCGGGCCTCTTTCATATCAATCAAAAGTCCATTCCCACAGCCTCGGCGCCAGGACTGATATCGATCCCTCCCCGCTTTCTGTCGGCTGTAGAGATGCCCAGACTCGCAGCAGGCTCGCATTGACTCAGGGAGGACCTTCCCCGGAACATGGCGAACGTGACGTGGTGGAGAGTCACTGCATGCTCCAGACGAGCCAAGTACAAAACAAGTGTTATGTGAACTTGGCCGTGACCTTATGCGGGCCGTGCCCCCCGAAGACACACGTCGCTACTGGCCTGAACAAAACGACAAGGCTGCGTCAAGCCATAGTCATGCTCGGCGCAGAGATGGTCGCGTTGTCTGTGGGTCAAATACATGTACTCCAGACTAATTCCCCCTCATGCCAAGCGCTTGACTCGAACTTCAAGTTCTCGAGATCACGAGAACCCTGAGCTTGAGGCATCTGCCGAGATGAATGGCCTGAGGGAAATGCGATACGCTCTCTCGAAGGTGCGGAGAGTGTGTGCCGAGCACTGTTTCGAGAAATGCCCTGCTCGAGCCAACGTGTGGTATTGCCCTTACCGGACCCGAGACGACCTCGGGATAGATATTGTAAGTCTTTCGCCGTGTATCACTGCTCAAGTTACGCCAGTCAAGCCAGCCACGCCGGTAAACGATACCGTTATCGAGATGTGCCTAAGCAACCTCTCGAACCCAGCTGGCGCTGACATACCTTGTTGTACTTCCCGCAGTAAGGGGTCAGCATACGTATCACGAATACCTCGGAGCGAATACTCCCACACTCCAACGTCTGCCAGAGTCAATGATTGATTCAGCTTTGACCCAACCTTGGCTGAAGCGCGGCCAACAAAACCGCAAGGCAATAATGCCGACCTTACACTGTAGATCCTGTAAGTGCCAATAAGAATTAGCTGTTCAATCTGTCACGGGGACGTTTAGTACTGCGACGAGCTCGGGTTAGTATAGCGCAACTGTTCCGTTCGAGGAACGAGGACAATGTGGCTAGGCACATATACACGGATCATTTTCCTCGGAGTTCAGAGCTCGCAACCTTGGACAAGCCAAAAGAAGCAGGCGTGTCGGTGGGAGCATCGTGAAATCCCACATCATCTGAAGTCCAACTTGAAGTCGACAACCACAACTTGAATCACAACGATCATGGCGTGTGCCATTGTATTGAATGCTCCGCCGTAATCGTGCACTCCAACTAGTCCCAATGAGGCAGCCTTGCCGCAATATCTTCAACTCGTCCAAAGAAAAAGTTGTCGGCCCCGAACGGACAGCGACATTGGATTATTCCTCACCGCCGATTGACACTGATAGGACGTGTGCGTTGGACACCAGGGACCTTTACTAGATACTGTCCAAAATGCGGTCGTTACCAAACATCCTCATCGCCGGAACCCCCGGGGTGGGCAAGACGACGACCTGCACCCAATTGCTCAATTTGGCCTCGCAGTCCGATCCGCCGATCAACCTCAAACACCTCTCCATCAACGACATAGTGAAAGAACGAGAATGCCACACAGGACACGACGAAGAACTGCAGACATTGATCGTCGACGAGGACAAACTCATGGACGAGGTCGAGAAAGAGATTGCCGACGGCGAAGGCGAGGGCGGGTGGGTCATTGACTGGCATTCGACCGAAGGGTTTGCCGTGAGGTGGATTGACCTGGTTGTGGTCTTGAGATGTGGCGAGACAAGTGTGCTGTATGACCGGCTCTCGTCGCGAGGCTACAAGGACGAAAAGGTGCAGGAGAACATGGATGCCGAGATTTTCGGCGTGGTCAGCGAAGAGGCCAAAGAGGGCTGGGGAGAAGAGGAGGACGGGCGAGTAGTCGAGTTGAAGAGTGTCGAAGCCGATGATATTGAAGAGAATGCCGAGCGCATCCTCCAATGGGTCAAGAACTGGATCAGCGACCACGCGCAGAAAAGAAATGGAGAGTGAAGCGAGCGTACTACGATGGAATTGCAGCCGTGATCCGAGATCTTTCTATTGTCTATGGACTTCAATTGCGCCATCCATGGGCCCTGCCATCCAGGGCCCCCTTTTCAGGGCTCTGGCTCTCCTCCAGCAAGCCAGGATTTCAACTTCGCCAGGGCCTTGCCTCGGTGCGATATCCGGTTCTAGCGGGACGGTCAGCAGACGTTGATGAGCACCCAGCGGAAGAGCCACTACGGCAGGAAGGAAATACGGCGCTGGCCTGAACAAGCTCCTCTAGGGCCCCTTACCTTCTCGGCTTTGTCCATCTCGGCATATGTCGTGCCCTCATACTCGAAGACCGCGTCCCAATCTAGGAGATCCTCCGTGTTAGCGCCGGTCATTGCACTAGGGGCATCGGGGTTCAAGTTGTGATACGATCCCAATCCGTTGTTACGGAGAAACCAAACCGAATCATGGCTGGTAAGGAGGAGTCATCACGACTTGGGTGGGGCGGAGTGGCGCTGGTCAGGGAGGGGGAAGGCTGGAAGGAATGGAAAGAAGCCCAGTGCGGAGACATACCAAAGAGACCAGGTCCCCTGGCCGGCACTATCTTGCCTTGAGTTCGTCCCTGGAACAAGATAGGTTCGTGGCCCGGCCCGGCGCAGTAAGCAAAGGTGCAGACTGCAAAGGCCGTCTTGTCCTCATATGCTGCGAGCATGTTGTTCAGACCTTCGTGTCCAACCGCTTGAAGGAAATATTTGCTAGAGAATGAGAGATGTGGTCAGCGATCTTGACAAGAGATGAAATGTTGAACTTGAATGTCCAAACATGATTCCAGTAGGACCAATCAACGGGAGAAACGTTGGCGGCAGTGACCGAAGAAAGCGCCATGGCATCCCAAGAACCAGGACAATATCTTTTCATCTGGTCAGACCCGTCAGCCTGTAGTAGAGTCCTGCCAGTGATATATATCAAGCCAAGGACCTTGAGTCTGGCCCTGACCCCAGCCGGCACGGCATGGTTGTCGTTACGATCTCGGAGCCGGTAGTAGTAGTACCAGTAGTCCGATCCTGAGTCTGAGCCTTCAAACCCGCATTTATCCTTTGACCAGTCCAGTCCAGTCCTCGAAGCCCTCAATACCACGAGGGGGCTCTTGAACTCAACGCCAAATCAATTCAAAACAAACCAAACTCACATATACGGCCCCGGCAACCCATTATACGCCGCGAACTCCAACGCCGTGTCCTCCGTCAAGACGGGCCCTCCCACGACCGCCGCCGCCCGAGCACACTTGTCGCGCGCAACTTCCTCGATGGTTCCCTGGATCTCATGACCGGGGACGTCTTTGCTGTCTAAAATCAAATCGACAAAAGTGCCATCACCGTTATCGCTGGGCACGCGCACATCCGCCAGGATCGCGCGCACTTCGGCGAGTTTGTTTGGGTTCCCGGTGATGAAGTTGAGCGTGGTAGGGCGCTGCGAGGAAGCCATATTTTCGCCGACGTGGAAGGAGTAATCTCTCTCTCTCTCTTTTCTTTCTTCTTTCTGTCCTTTCGTACTTTTGCTGTCTGCGGAAATCGATCGCTCTTTTCTCTGTTTCTCCCGAACAAAATTATGATCGTTGGTTGTCAACCAATTCAGTTTGGGGTGCTATAACAAAATAAATATAAACTTGAATAAATCCATCACAAGTGGGTCCGAGTTGATCAAAGGAACAACTTGAACTCGACTGTACAACCACATGAGTCACCATGCTCATGCGAACCGACTTTATCCCGCGAATATTCAAAGGTGGTCCATGGAGTAAACTCATACGGGTTGTATGCAATCGATTCCACCAATAAGCCATGGTCAAAACTTGTGCCTAAACATACGCTGCGAGCAATAGTACCGCCATATCCCCAGCACCATACTGTTCTATCAGAACCAACCTCGCTATACCCTCGCTATGCAATGTCAGACCTGCCAAAACCAATGCATCACTCTGAAAGGCTCCCCTGACTGATTCCATGCAATTCCGCCAGCACTCAAAAACCAAACTGACTGACCACCACTGATCCCACACACTCACACACCTATTTCAGCTTCAGCAATTCAAAATCTCGATATTTCTCAAGGTATCGTTCTCCTCGGCGGTAGGCTTTCAGTAACTTCTCCGGACTAGCGCAACGGAAAGAAGCCGAACCCGAGAGGGCAAGTTTCTTGAGAGCAGGGCTGGGATTGAACATCGGGTCGAAAACGACCAGATTGACAGATCCATCCAGCCGGCTCTCCACCCCGACAATGGTCATAGAATGGCCATGGTGCTGAAAGTATATGGGTGGCTTGCTGGTGATGACCACTTTCTCCGCTCTGTCCTTGGTTTGATCATCATCAAAGTACTCGCACACTGCACAGAGCATCGTCTCGTAGGCTTGGGCATCTTTTGTGGTAGCATATGCCGTCGCTTCACATGGCACGTCCAAACTCATAAACAATGCCTGTGCTTCGGGGGTCCCAATGTATTTCCTCGTCAGTCTGATTCCGCCCGTTTCCACTCGTCCACTCGAATTAAAACCCTTGTCCCAAGCACGTTCGATCATGTCTTGAAGCTTCAGGATCGAAGGGAGACGCCGCCCTGGAAAATGTTCCGCGCCAGGAGCATTGCCATCGCGAATGTAAGAAATGAGCATTTGGATGTTACGATAGCCACAAAATCCTCCCTCCTTGGGCAACTTGCATACATAGGTCACTGCAGGGCTGCAGTAGAATGCTCGTTCGACGCCCCTGTCCCAATCAGACAGTCGCGCAAGAATGGGAACAAGGTCCGGGGTTTCGTTGGCAACGCTTTCGAATCTGATGATGGAGCCTCCTGGTCCGGTTCTGTTAGTGACTGTGACCTTGGCACCCTCTTCAAGCATTCGGCGAAGCCAATTCGGCATTTCGTGTTCGTGGGCATACGGGCCCAGTTCCGATCGCTACAACACGTCAGATGTCATTTGGGCAAACCCTAGTTTGCAAACATACCCCTAAACGTTTCGTCTTGCCCTGCTTTGCTGATACGGCTTTGTAAGGAGACTTTCGCTTTGGTGACGCAGGAGTACCCAAGAAAATCTCCCTAAGAGAAGGAACTCTCCGCTTGTTGCTACGAGGAGAGGCACTGGCTTGCAAGTGGTCATGGTTCCGAAGCGAACTAGAAATACTGGTGGAAAAAGAGTTGGAAATGTCCTCTACCGGATGTCGAGCAGATGGTGCAAGGATCGCCTGCTCCAGGTTGGACGGCAACTCCGCCTCGTCCATAGACAGATTCTCTTGAGCATGCATGTCGGCATGGGCGTCAAGCTCGAGGAAATGGACACGTTCACCACAAACACATCCCACCCAAGGCTCTTCGTCGGCTTCAAGTTCTGTAGAGGGAGAGGGACTAGGAGCATGATTCCTCGCAGTTTCCTCCCTTGCCACGCCATTACAGGCAGGAAGACTCGGGCGATCAGACAAGGCAAGTTCGGGAGGGAGGCCATTTTCTTTGAATGCCAGTACCTGTGCCAGCTCGAAGTCGTCTAGGTCAGTGGTGCCTGAATGAGAAGAAGCTTCCGAAGACCGCTGATCCTCCTCCTGCCGTCGCTGGTCAGCATGGGATTTCCGGACATGTCGGTCGAGGACGCCGAAGTCATGGCTGCCGTAACGGCAAAAGGGGCATCGTAGCAATTCTTTATGCGAAGAAGACGACATAATGATAGCAAGAGGGATTGCGAAAGGCCGCGAAGCTGGATCACCGCATTTTGAGTGTAATAAGAATGGGCCGCGGGCAAACAACACGTTTTCCCCCAGTAAATGGTAATTCGCTGAACTTCAGTTTTTCACAGGCCTTCCAGGAGGACTTCACAACAGCCAAACGGAGGTCATGGAGCAGTATAGCACTCGCCAACTTGAAACTGCCCAGTCTGATATGGTGATGTTTTGGGTCAAGGATGATGATGGAAGTTGGCGCTGGAGGCGATACCGCCCCATGTTCCGCGCACTGGGAAGAATACCTCTGTCATTACACGTAAGAGTGTGGCGGATGATTTATTTTGCCGCAGAAATATTTGTAATGTCATGCTGCGTAAAGTTTGTTACAATACGGATGACACCATCCCTCCACACGATTCAATTCGCTGGCGGCGGCCTCATGCGTCTCACCGCCACCGAATCGGGCTGCGAGATCATCGAGGACCCCTCGTCGAATTTTTATTCTGCCGGCGTCGAGCTGCGTTGGAAGCATGCCCACCGCTGCAGTGCCGAGATTCCTTCGTGAACTGCCACTTGTAGTGCCAGTGTCAGGTCATATATGCGCGACTAGTATAACTGGGGACGGTCACAGTCACCTACATCTGATAGCGTTTCCACGCGGTCACTCCTTTTGTCCTCCCGAGTCTCCTTGCTACATATATATCTCTAGACACGTTGCATAGAACTATGCTACATCGCACACGACACACGACTTTATGACTCTCACCATGACCACGAGCACACTCCACAACGGTGTTCATCCCCAGTCTCCGGTAACCAATGGCACCACCACGCCCGCAAAACGCCCAATCAATGTTCTAAAGTTTGGAGGAACGAGTGTGGGCAAGTTCCCTTTGGATATTGTGAACGTTGTCAAGACAAGCGCTCAGGAGAATGATGTGGCTATTGTTTGCTCAGCCGTATGTGCATGAGTCAGGCCCTTCACCGCCTTGCACCCAATGCTAACCCTCAACCTTCTCAGAGATCGAGCAGCACAAAGGCTGCCGGAACAACCAATCGATTATTGCGAGCTGCTACGGAAGCTGAAAACCACCGCGAGTTTAAACCGCTGATTGAAGCCGTCCGGATCGACCATATCGAAACCGCCGAATCTTATATACAAACGCAGAAAATATGCGCAAGGCTCAAAGCAGAAATCGAGGAGGAGTGCGCATTGGTCATTCGGATATTGGAGGCTGCGCAAACCTTGGGCGAGACCAGCCCCAGATCTAGAGACAAGGTGATGAGCGCAGGCGAAAAGCTCAGCTGTCGGTTCATGGCAGCCTTATTAGAGGACCGAGGAATCGATGCTGAATACGTCGACCTTGCGGACATCATTGATTTCAAGGTTGGCCACAGTCTGGATCAGCGGTTCTACGACAACGTTGCCGATAGACTGGGCAAAAGGCTGCACGACGTCGCAGGCAAGGTCCCTGTGATTACAGGCTACTTTGGATCCATTCCTCGCGGTCTGCTTATGACTGTCGGCCGGGGCTACACCGATCTGTGCGCTGCATTGGTTGCGGTTGGAGTCAAAGCGAAGGAGTTGCAGATTTGGAAGGAGGTCGACGGCATTTTCACCGCGGATCCACGCAAAGTGCCTACCGCCAGGCTCATTCCGCAAATCAGCCCGGCAGAGGCTGCAGAACTCACCTTCTATGGCTCTGAGGTCATCCATCCTTCCACCATGGACCAGGTCATCCGGGCACGGATACCGATTAGAATCAAAAACGTCATGAAGCCCAGAGGAGGGGGGACCATCATTTACCCTGAACCTTCGGAGCTGGACTCTGCGTTGTCTGGGCACGATCCCAAGCTGTTCCGCTCGCGCAGTGCGACTTACCTAAGCGAGCGGAAGATGCCCAAGCGTCCCACGGCGGTCACCATGAAACACAGGATCCTCGTTTTGAACATCCACTCCAACAAGCGGTCACTGTCCCATGGGTTCTTTGCGGGCATATTCGCCACATTGGACAAGTGGCGGCTATCAGTCGACGTCATCTCCACCAGCGAGGTCAATATGTCCATGGCGCTCCATTCTGAAGCACCACTGTACACGGGAGGCGGTGATGATGAATACCAGATTGTGGACCAAGATCTGCGCGGTGCAATTGAGGAGCTGAAAAGCTTTGGTACCGTTGATATCATCCCGGACATGGCGATTGTCAGCCTGGTGGGGAAGCAGATGAAGAACATGGTGGGCGTCGCTGGAAGGATGTTCTCCACGTTAGGGGAGAACAATGTGAACATCGAGATGATCTCCCAAGGTAAGGGCAACATGGTGGCCTGAGAGAATGAGAACAGACTGACCGGTTGAGCAGGAGCCAGCGAGATTAACATCTCGTGCGTGATTGACGAACGTGACGCGGACCGGGCGTTGAACATCTTGCATACGAATCTCTTCACTTTCCTCGAGACGTGATTGGGGTGGACATATTTGTGAGCGACCTTTCAGCGACCTTTTCTTCCGGCATATTATGGAGTTGTGCATTTTAGACACGTGGTGTACGGAGGAGTCTTTTGGACATACACCTATCGGTGCAGCAAATATCTGAAGACATTTGCGGGACATAAAATTGGACGGGCGGGAAGTTGGATTGACAGCAGTGACTATTTACGCTTGGTTCCCCAGAGCCGTGGGAGTATGATGTCGATGGCGGTTTAGACAAGATGATTGAGATGTTCGAAATGTGGTATGATTTTAGGCATAGCCACCGCAATGACAAGATGTCAAAGTTGAATCCAGCTGAATGCAGAGTAGTGATGCATCCACCCGACGGCGGGCTAGCCAGTGACAGATTACGGTCGACATGATGGATCAGCAGCCGCTGTCTCCGCAAGAGACGGCAAGTAAGATGAACTCGAGGCAAGATCTTACGGTGTTAATTTCACAGCAGAAACTTCGGAAATAGATTGGAGGCGTCCAAAGTCGAGAGTTGTACGTAAGGTCCCTGCAGGTGTGCTTCAATTGTGCAGGCTGAGCGAGCAGCACGTGCAACACTTATTTGCAGGACTCGGAGTATACAATTACAACCAGCACTGCAGTGGCAGACACGGGATCTTTTGGCGTAGGGCGGTCGGGAACAACTGTTTATCCGCTCCAGCGCAACGCGTCCGCTGGCCTGCCCGGGCAAGTCGTGCGTTCAGTGTCGAGTTCCATTTGCAACTTCAATGTAATACAGGCACTGCAGTGTTGCGAAAGAGAGCTGAACCAGATGGTCGAGGCCAGCAATGCCGATGCAAGGGCAGAAGGATGAAGCGGATTGGGCGGAAGGCCACCATCGACACCCAATAGCAGTAATGCCATTGATGAAGGCCCGCAGCATATCTGACACAAGCCAGGAACGGGCGGGCCAGGCATGAAAAGTCGACAAAAAGAGACGAAGCAGCATTCCAGGTCGATCGAGATGTTCGCAATTGATTGGATGTGGCTGCACGACAGCGAGCAGCTCAGGGCCTCAGGCTGAAATGCCGGAGCAGAGGACCAACCAGTGCCAGGTACCTAGGTATTTTCTGTGCGCTTGGCGGGCGTCCGTAGCGCCAAACTTTAGTCAGAAACGGCCCACCACCGCAAGTTGGAACTTGACAGCATTGGCCGTGCTGTTGGGAACGCGTGGTCACGGGATATCGGGTCGCTCGTCGGCTGCATTGACACGCTGCGCGTCCACCGGTCGCCAGCGTCGCAGTAGTATTCACTCTACAATTGCTACCATCATAGCACGATTAGCAGCAGTGTTATCGTACGGTTAGCTACCTAGGTAGGGAGTGAATAATGCTAGTAGTACTGATGGCAGCAGGCCGGCAGAGCTGAGGCGTCGTACTACTGCGAGTAGCAGTTGAATGGCAGCCAAATCGCAAATGCTAGAGCCTGAGTACCACTGGCACGGCACTGCATCGCGTCACCATTCCTTCTCTGCCCACAATTCCACTGCGAGTCTCCTGCTAAAACCGGCGACTACTGCACAGTGCGCTGCAGTGTGAGCGCCTGCGACCAAAGAGACTTTTCCTACTCGTCGCTCCTCTTTAAACCTGCATTTCGCCCACCCACACAGGCACTGGCACACTCTCCTCCACGCCCACCATCTCACGGCGCTGCATCACCCTGCCACTGCAGTGTCCAACGCCCACCTCGTGTACCTGTTACTTTCCAACCCATCCAAGTAAACAGTAAACAACACCTTCTCACCTCTATCTTCTATATTCCATGGCTCACCTTTCTCAATAGCCTGCGTCCGCCAATTCGAACGGTTACCCTCTATTCCAATCGACGGTTCAGCATCTCATACCTCGCCGGCCTGCGCATACCCATCCGCCCCTCGATACGGTCCACCATCGTCTGGATCCCACCTCCGTCTTCCCGCACAGACACGTCCATATTTTCTCCTAGTTTCGACACTGTTCACCACTGACATCCATCAAATCTCTCCTTGCCTTGGGCCAGCTCCAGACTGCTCTAAGATTCAATCTGCAGTCAGTGGCTGTGGGATCCATTACGCCGCACCCGCCGATCCAGCCTGAACGGCACACTTGCTTCCAACCCTCAAATTTGGTTCATGGGCTCTACCATTCTCGTTTTCACGCGACTTCTTTGATAAAACCGTTTTCTTCGGTATCTCTGAACACTCTGCACTCGTCGTCGCCATGGCTTCGACGCGTCAACACCAGTTTGTTCAGATCTACCAAGATCCAATGCCGCTCCCGTCCAACATGTCTCCCACCCATAAGCCGCGGCCGCAACTACAACCCTCAGCAATGCCTCTACAGCCGCTACGAAACCCTCCAGCTCACCCCGAAGTCATCTTGAACGCTCCAATGCCTCCACAACACCAGATTTCTCCCTTGAAGAGCCATCCCCTATCGCCACCAAAGCCCAATTATGGCAATCTCAATTACATTCCTATCCCTCCGCCTCCCTTACCTGCAAATATGTACACCGATTCTCCAGCAAAGAGGCCAGCCATGCCCACCAACCAACAATATCGACACGCTCAAATGATGCAGCAACAACCGCTCTTCACCACCTTCAATAGCAACTTCGATGCCTTTGAACAAGAGAACTATGCGGTCCCCAGCATGCCGGACAACTTCGTCGACTTCCCGGAGCCCTCGTACATTCGCAAGCAGCCGCTCAAGAGATCGTACTCGGACGCGCAAGTGTGCAATGACAGGCCATTGAAGAAGGCCCGTCAGGATCAAGATGCGGTTACACATCTTCCAGAGCCTCACGAGATGCCGCCAATTGAGGATGATGGCAACAAGCCTGCATACAGCTACGCTCAGATGATTGGGATGGCCATCTTGCGAGCTCCGAACCGCCGCCTCACCCTCGCACAGATTTACGAGTGGATTTCCAACACCTTCGCATACTACCGAGAAGACACCAAGCAGAGCTGGCACAACAGCATCCGGCACAACTTGTCGTTGCACAAGGCATTCAAGAAACAAGAAAGACCTAAAGGCGACGCCGGCAAGGGGAGCTACTGGGTCATTGAGCCCGGAATGGAGGCACAGTTCATCAAGGACAAAAACCGGCGTGGTACCAATATGCCACACATGACCATCAACGCAGGGGTGATGCGCCCAGAGGCTCCTAAGGCAGTCCATCCCCAGCCGCTATCCGATGCGTTGGTCCCCAACCCTTTTATCGTCCAGTCAACTGAGCCTCCCCGGCCACAGACAGCTCCGGCCCTCCCAGAGTTGTCTTCAGATGCGACATTGCCCGCTTCAGACCCTGCCCTCAACGAACAAGAGACCGCGGAGCCCGAGGAGCATGCGCTTCCTGCCCAACCCAAGTCATCACCTCCCGATGCGATCAACTCGTCGCCGCCGGTGGTTGCCCCGACCCATCATCGCCATATTTCTTCGCCTACCGCACGAATGCAACGACCAGCGTCAACTCACCGGCAAAAGCGGTCTTTGTCCAAGATGGATGATAGTGGCTATTTCTCTTCCATTGAGTCTTCTGTTCTCCGTCCGAACAAGAACGCTGTTGTCCTCACTTCGGAATTGGACATTGAACCAATGAGAAGAAATCGAGGTCGTGCCGAGGAAGAAATTGCTCGCATCAGAGGTTCTTCCCTCGATTTGACACCCAGCCGGGCAAGATTCCGCAATGCCAACACAGAGACTGCTGCGCACACTTCGTCGCCCGTTCGGGTCAGTCCGGCCACCCGAAGAAATCCTGTGACGCCTCCGGTAGTCTTCAAAAAGCCAATGCGCCCACCACCTTCCATCTCCCCCAACACGCAACTTCATCTCCACCGGAAAGCGATGCGTGACTTTGCCAACTCGCCGATCAAGAGCTTCGGACTACTGCAGGGCGAAGCGGAAACTTACAGTCCTCTTAAGTGGTCGACGTTGGCCTCTTCGGTTCCCGAGGAGTTTGAAATCTTCTCGGATCCCGCCATTGGTCTAACTCCTGCCACTCCGGCGTTTGCCTCGTCTCCTCTGAAAATGTCGGCTGGTAGGCCCACATTAGGACGTGCAACCACAACTGCAGGTGTACTCAGTGACATGATGGGGACATCCCACAAGCTGAATACAAAGACACCGACCCGGACATCCCTACTTAAAGCTGGCGTGCGGGCCTCATTTACTGGATCCCCATTGAAAGGATCCATGACCAACACCACGATGACCGATGAACAGAATGACCTATTTGATTTCAATTCCTTTGAAAATGACGCTTCTGATAATGAAGAGGGCGTTGATATTCTCAAGGGCTTTGAGAAGATCGGCGGTCCTCCAACCCAAGCTACTGGCCCAGCGCCTGCTGGGCATATCCGTCGCCCTTCGTTGGGTGGACGCAGTTTTACTTCACGTTTTTGACCACGTATTTGGTATACGAGTGCCACATTGGCACTGCTTTTGGCCATTGCTGCTTTGTCTTGGTTACAAGAAGACGACTTGTTTAATGATCTTCTGTGAGCAGATCATGCCAGGCATTGGAAATCCGAGACGATTGGCGCTCACCAGGCCTTAGGTTTTCCTTTGCCAGCAACCTATCCTTCTTGATTCATTCCGCCAGCAACAACGACTGGCTTATGATGAGAAGTGCTAATGATTCTCTTATCTTTGGGCTTAGCTCTGTTTGGCGACGGCTTTGGTTTCAAAGCTTTTATGACGACGATATGGGACTGTATGACTGATATTAATGGCAGCCGTTATTACTGGAGAGGAACATTGCTCCTGGGGGATTAGATAGTTTGTGCAGCAATGCATTGATTGTGCCCCGACTCGTACCCCGTTCTAAGCTAAGTTTAAGATGTCCAGGTTGGAAACCTCATGCCTGATTATGCGGGTACATTATCGTTATTCTTACATGAGAATGAATATTGGTTTCCACCATGGCCAAGTGTGAATCTAGATGCCACGAGGTTAAGTTGAGGTCCGTAGAGATGCGACGAGGCTGCGATAGTGAACACGTGACCAGCCAAGTGCGACCAATTTTGTCGCGTTCAATTGAACCCCGAAGTTTGGTTGCTTCCAACGATCCAACGGCCACAACTCTCCGCCTGGACATTTGATCGACCACCCTTGGACTGTCTGCGAGCTTCAGTACAAACCGTAACCGAAAGCGAGCGTTCAGTACCTCCGTTGCTGGTTGGGAGAGCACCCGCCGCTGTCGGGCACTGTCTTGAAGATGTCCACCCCACGTTGTGTTCGCATAGCTATTGAAGCATGCCGGCCTTGCAGGGTATGGCAGCCTTCTTGCTCAAGCCCAGCAACAGATTTTGTTACGCTGTGATCTTCTCCAATGAGTCGGTGCTAACGTGTTTTTGTTTGCAGACATCCACGCTTTCGTTGCGGACCCGGCTGTCGCAGCCTCCCAGTCAGTGTACCAGAGGGATTTCTTCGAGTGTGCCCAAATGTCTTCCGCAGCACGACATCACAGCGGGGTTCCCCATGCCTGAACTCGGGTCAAAGAAAATCCCAGATCTGTCGGAGACCGAGAAGGAAGAGACGCCCTCGACGGCACAAGCTCCCAGTCCCTCGAAAGAGACACCACGGCCGAATGTCACGGCTGCTAAACAATCACAACCACAATCACAATCACACAAGGCTACTAAGTCTCCAGAGGGGAAAGTAGCCACGATGGTTTCCCAATCTTTACAATCAGCTTCGCAGGCGGCGGAAGCCGCGGCAACGGACGCAGAAGCCTCGTCGACGCCGAACGTTCCCCCGAACGTGCTCGCCGCCTACCGTACCCCAATGCGTCACCCGCTAACGCACGGCATCCCCGTGGCTGAGCTTCAGCTGCGCAGCTATAGCGTACGTAATCTGGAATTCTATGCCGACTTCGCCGTCCGGGCTGCATACTACTTGGGTCTACCGTGTACTGGACCCGCGCCGCTACCGCGCAAGAGAGAGAGATGGACGGTTCTGAAATCCAACTTTGCACACAAAAAGGCCCAGGAAAATTTTGAAAGAATAACGATGAAACGTCTGGTCACTGTGTACGACGGTCAGCCGGAAGTGGTGGAGATTTGGTTGGCATTCCTGCGCAAATGGCAGTTCTACGGGGTGGGCATGAAGGCCAATGTGTGGCAGTGGGAGCAAGTCGGTATGTTTACGCCTATTCGCGATCAAGTCTCTTTTCTGTTTGCCGTGGATGTTGCTTTGCTCCCGGCATTCGGAAATGCCTTGTCTGTCCATTGAGTACTAATCATCTTCATGTGCACTTTTAGACGTGGCGGGCAAAATGGACCGCGACTTTGCTGCGCTCGAGAAACATCTCGACGAGAAATTGCGTCTGTTTGGCTTCAACAAATCGTCCGCGGACAAGAACGATCTCCTCCGCCTTATGGCCAAGCAAGGTCATCGACAGGTTGGCGTTGGTATGTCTGAGGTTAGAGAGAAGTCGAGAACCACAAGCGACCCTTTTTAAGGGAATTCCCTTCTGGCTAAGCGATTGCAGCCGCACAGGCTACATTTTGCAGAGGTCGAGACAGGCATGATGTTCCGAGCGCTTCGAATATGTCCGGCCTCGAAAGCCAGCTTCGTCTCCTTCATCGAGCGAATCACCGCCGATTGAGACGGCAACTTTTGCCGTGCTGGATGAGCAATCTTCCGCTGAATCGCCTCCGGTCTGCGGCTCTCTGGCTTGCTTGCCATACCGATCTCGATTGTGTTGGTTCGGACTAAGTGTCGAAAAGATAGGGCAAGCACTTGCTACTTCCTGGTGGCTTTGCATTCAAAGCTGTGGTTCGGCAGTCTTTCTCACACGATCCACTGGCCAGCCCTGGTTTGTAATGCTATAAACACCATCAGGGCAACACAGGCTTGAGCAGTATGAAAGGATGCGAGGTTGGGTAGAGCAAAGTCTGTCCTAGAGTGTGCGGCGTTGATATCAGGATCGATTGGAAAATTATTAGCATTGTCAACCCGTTTGACGGCATTGTAAGGTATGGGCAATAAGTCGCTATGACAAGTCTCAACATGGGAGGCACAACAGGGGCAAAATCCTTATTGAACGTGCATTGGCTGGGACTGAACGTCGAAGGTCATGCACCTCAGGCTGTAGTATAAGTTTATAACTGCCAGGGGTATATCGTTGAACCAAATCAGGGGTGCGCGAGTCATTACTCCTGTCAAATTATTCCGGTTGAAACACGAAGTTTGTGGTGGATCGCGATTGTGACTGTACAACTACATGTAAATAATATGCCCGCCGCAGTTCAGGCTTAAAGAACGCTCCACACTGCACGCAAGGCTCTATACTCACCTTTGAGTTGTTCGCGACCACCCGGGTTTGGCCTTTCTCTTCCGTTTCCCTCACATAGAGCCTGTATTGCCACTGCCATAATGATTGAGGTGCAAGATCTCATTGTCTCACGGTGAGGAACCCAAATCTGGCCGAGTGCTTTCTTTCAAAGACCATTCGGCTCGTGGCATTTCACTCAAGCGCACAATTGCTAATCCTACCACGGGTTACAGAGGGGGAGATCCCAAAAAGGTGATTGAAAGTCTGCAGAAGAGATACGCGCCTACGGAGATCGTCGACGAAGTCATTGCTTTGTGGAATGACGCCTACCAGAGTCAGTCCGGCCACTTGTCGCAGTTGACAACCTCGACATATTCCTCTTCCTTCGCCCGCAAGATGATCTACGATACTGACACGAACTCGAACGGGATTGCAGCACGGTACAAGGCGACGCAGTTCGGCGCAAAGATCAACGCGGTGCAGAAAGAGATTGGCAAACTGAAGAAGGTTGGTGACAGCAGCACCACAGGCTTTGCGTTCTACGCGGTTTCATTCTCCCCGGTGTTAGAAGCTGACGGGATTTTTGATACGACCAGGCCAAACAAGATGCAGACCACTTGCTGAAAGAGAAGGCCGAACTCGAGAAACAGAAAAAGGCGACCGAAGATGAGGCGACCGAGAAGGAAAAGCTGAGAGACAAAAAGTGCAAATTGATTGGCAACTATGTCCATGAGTCGGTCCCGGTCAATGATAACGAGGTGGGAACATGATCTGAAAACAAAGGCACCGAATGTCACTCACTCACAATTTGTTGCGGCTAGGACTTCAACGAGGTGATCAAGCGCTGGGCCCCCGAGGGCGTTAAGGTCGAGAAGAGGGACTGTCTTTCCCACCACGAAGTCATGACTCGGGCAGATGTCTACGATGGCGAACGGGGCGTCAAGCTGGTCGGACATCGAGGTTATTTTCTGCGGAAATGGGGTGTCCTTCTCAACCAGGCCCTCATCAACTACGGTCTGCATTTCCTGGTGGGCCGAGGCTACGATCCGATTCAACCGCCCTACTTCATGAAGGCTGAATACATGGCCAAGACGGCCCAGCTGGAACAGTTCGACGAAGAGCTGTACAAGGTCGTCGAGGGCGCCGATGCCGAAGACAAGTACCTCATTGCCACTTCGGAGCAGCCCTTGTCCGCCATGTTCGCCGACGAATGGCTGACTGAGAAGGACTTGCCGATGAAGTTCGCAGGCTACAGCTCCTGTTTCAGAAAAGAAGCGGGCTCGCACGGCCGAGATGCTTGGGGCTTGTTCCGGATACACCAGTTCGAAAAGGTATTGGCTCCTCCCCTCTCAAGCAAAACAGTCGTCACATGAACATGTTTACTGACTGGTGCGTTTTTTGCTCTTAGATCGAGCAATTTCTCTTCGTCAAGCCCGAGGAATCGTGGCAAGCTCTCGAAGATATGCGAGAAACGGCAGAGGCGTTCTATCAGTCGCTCGGTTTGCCGTACCGAGTCGTCGTGATCGTTTCAGGGGCATTGAACAACGCCGCAGCAAAGAAATATGATCTGGAAGCCTGGTTCCCTTACCAGGGCGAGTACAAGGAGCTGGTCTCGTGCTCAAACTGTACAGACTACCAGACTCGCGAACTTGAGATCCGGTACGGACAGAAGAAAGGGGCCATTGATGCCAGGAAGTCGTATGTCCACGCTCTGAACGGTACATTGTGCGCCACGGAACGCACACTATGCTGTCTACTGGAGAACTATCAGAAGGAGGACGGATTCGAGGTCCCAGAGGCTTTGAGACCCTACATGCCGCCGGGCACACCGGACATCATCCCTTACACCAAGGAACTGCCCAAGGAGTCGACTTCGGTCAAGGCCAAGCAGCAACCAAAGCCAAAGGCTGATGGTGGTGCTCCTGAAGGTGGGCCGAAGCTCAACATGCCGGCAGCTGAAAATGTCGCTGACAAGATGAAGGACATGAAGGTTTGAAGACATAGAGTGCAGTGAACTACATACGATAAGTACGTAGCAAAAAACACACATGATGAAGCAAACTTTTGGGGTCCTTGGTGAGTAAGCCTGCATCCGTTTTATGGACGAGAGGCTGCTCTTTTCTGCACGAGTAAAGCGCCCAGGTTCAAAGAGAGGTGGCCTTGACCCTTCATGCGTAGGCGAACATCATGATCGAACCCTTATTCCCCTGCCATATTCACTCCAGCAAACGAAGGCGTGGGATGATGAACTTTAGATACATCCTATGCACTACTCGTGTATCCGGCTGTGGTGTTCGGTTGCGCATCTAACGGCAAAGCGCCGCCGTACAGCTTAAAATGCGCTTGGGAGTCGACCGATCCACAATACTAGCAAGTGGGCCGCCAAGATTCACACAGAACGAGGCACGACCAAAATTCAGGTGCGCTTTCCTAATTCGTCGCCATAGTCAAGTTCAAGTTTCGCACCCTTCTCTTCTTCAATTTCAACTTCCGTCCCTTTGAGTTCGACACCTCCGGCCCCTCGAGTTCGACATCTACCGTTTGCATCAGTTCACACGAGGACAGATCGCAAACATGGCTGTCGGCAAGAACAAGCGTCTCAGTAAATCGAAGAAGGGTACGAAGAAGAGGACCCAAGATCCCTTCACCCGGAAGGACTGGTACAGCATCGCGGCCCCTTCGACTTTCAACACGAGAGAGTAAGTTGAGGATGAAGAATCTAGAAGAGAATACAAGGCGCTGATATTTTGAAAAGTGTCGGCAAGACCCTGGTCAACCGCTCGACTGGTTTGAAGTCGGCCAACGATGCACTCAAAGGACGGATCATCGAAGTCAGCTTGGCTGACTTGCAGAACGACGAAGACCACTCTTTCCGCAAGGTCAAACTGAGAGTGGACGAGGTCCAGGGCAAGAAGTGCCTGACCAACTTCCACGGACTCGACTTCACCTCGGACAAGCTGCGCTCGCTTGTGCGCAAGTGGCAGACCTTGATCGAGGCCAACGTTACCGTCAAGACCACTGACGACTACTTGATCCGCCTGTTCGCCATTGCCTTCACCAAGCGCCGCCCCAACCAGATCAAGAAGACCACATACGCCCAATCGTCGCAGATCCGCGCCATTCGCAAGAAGATGACCGACATCATCCAACGTGAGGCCACCTCCGTCACTCTCGCCCAACTCACCGGCAAGCTCATCCCCGAGGTCATTGGCCGCGAGATCGAGAAGACCACCCAGGGCATCTACCCGCTCCAGAACGTCCACATCCGCAAGGTCAAGCTGTTGAAGGCACCCAAGTTCGATCTCGGCGCTCTGCTCGCCCTCCACGGCGAGAGCGGTGAGAACGATGCTGGCCAGAAGGTCGAGAGGGAATTCAAGGAGCCTGCGCCTTTGGAGAGCGTTTAGATTTGATAATGGTTAGGCTTGCTGGTTGATGGGTGTGGTTTGTTATGATGCAAACCTGGACATTCATGGGTGCACAAAACAAAGGTTGAAGGAGAAGTCGATGGCCCCTGCTTCTGAGGAGACACAAGCACTTCCAGAGCAGATCAACTCCGGCGCAGTGGAGGAAGCTCACGGCATGGAGATCGATGTTGGCCAGTCTTCCGCTGGCTGTTTTCTGTGAGATGCCTCATGGCGGTGATCAAAAAAGATACATCATCGGCCTGGGCATGGGTTATGCTAGTTGATCATAATCAAGCCTGGGCCATAGCATAGCATGTTACCAAAACACCCAAATTGAACGTTTGAATGAAAAAGATGTGCTCTCATTGGTGTGCCTATCTCTATCGCCTTTGACTGCGTGGACATTTTCTATGTAATCTACATGTACATGGTAAGGGCTTTAGTGTAGGCTTGTTCTCCCCATCCAAGATTCCCTTGTGCCGCCTATCATAGTACTTTTTCGCCTCCCAGAACATATGCGCATGTCGTTCTTCACAAGAATCGTCGCTTAACTAGACTCGAGGCTTGCAACCGCGGGCTTTGTATTTTAGTTGGCATCAGATACCAGTTGTGGGCTGGACTTTTACCTCATGATCTCGACCTCTCTTTTTCCTTCTCGTCGACGACTCTGCCGATCCACTCGACAACGCCGGCGCGGAATTCCTCAAACTTCTCACTCATGACCCAATGGCCACAATCAAACTCGAGAAGTTCGAACTGGGGGAAGAAGCGGCCGATCAAGGGCAACATCTCGTCGGCGACGTAATGCGACCTTGTGCCTCTGACGACCAAGGTGGGACCCTCGTAGCGAGTCTGGTCGGGATCCTTGAAAGGGAAATCGGCCATGGCCGGCAAGGCCTTTGCAAGGGTATGCAAGGGGATTCTGAACTTGAGTTCAGTTTTCTGGGCGTGACGATGAGGATGGTCGGCTGGGCCGCGTTGGTGTGGGCCTGTGGAGGAAGTAGTTGTTGTGGCGGGCTTCTTGACCAAGTTGGTCAACAAGAACTGGCGGATGGCCAGGTCGGGCTCATACTTGGCCAGGATCTTGTCGGCCTCGCTTTGTTTCGTGATGGGTGGCCGGTGGTCCTCGACCTCGCGCATAGCCTTGACGTACATGCCAAAATCGGATTTGAGGGCCGCGTCGACGGGCGCGTTGTCCACGGGGATCAAGGCCGAGTACTTGTCCGGCGACCGCAGGGCCATTGTCATGGCCACCTTGGCGCCCATTGAATGCCCGATCAGCGTGGGTCGTGAAATGTTGTGCTTTGCCACAAAGTGTTCCACGTCCTCTGCCATCGATGGGTAGTCGTGCACCGGCGAGTGCGGGCTGTCGCCGTGGTTGCGTAGGTCGATCGTGTATACGGGTCGAGAGAGGTCTTTGGCTAGCGCTCTGCAGGTGGTATGGTCGTTAGTTTGGATTGTACTTCTTTATGGCCAGGAGGACAGCATAGTGGGTGGATAGGAGAAGGGATTGGGTAACATGTTTCGTGTCCCGGTTTCATGGTGTGCAGTGGTTCTCTTTTGGTGGCTCCTTACTTACTCAGCGTACGGTTGTTCCTCTGCGATCCGAACAGGCCGTGCATCACGATGATCGCCGGCCCTGCAATGGACGACTTATCCGGCGGATCGTGGCGGTGGAAAGCCAGCTCGACTACATCGCGTCGTATGCTACTGCTCGAGAACGTCCGGCGCGTCACGCTCGAGGACACCGCTTGAAAAGCCCGGATGCGCGGGATGTGCATTTCGGCCGCGACAGAAAGGGAGACACAAAGGATGAGAGAGGCAAGGAGTGAGAAACAGAGGTGAGAATCGGAAGGTTCAATCCCCCAGTATTATTATACAACATCCAAGCCCTCTAGGTAGCCGGGGCGTATGTTGCAAGCTTTTGGGTATACATATAGCACAGACAAAGAAGCTGCTGGTTGGTAAATCGGTAAATTCCACCGCAGTTCAAGTTGCGAGTCAGGCTGCTTGGCGACCAATGACGTCGTCTCTCAGCCTCGCAGTTGCTTAGGTAATAACCTCAGCCTTGTCCTGGACCAACAATACACATGCAGCTGCTAACGTATGGCCAGAACATCCAAACCACGTACCAGGTGTGCAAGCCCTTTTTTATTCTTTTCGCAACTGAATGGCGAAAGACTGGGTGTAACACCGTTCTGGCTTTGTCTTTAACTCGCTCACTGAGGTTCAACTATTCTCCGTTGCAGGGTGGTCGCCGTCGATATGTCGTCGATCCTCTGCTCGATCCACTTTCTGATCACTTGGGACATGCCGGATGGGAACATAGCCGTCGGCCGATATATGACGGATAGGAACGCCTTCATATTTGTCCGGGCTGAACGAGGTCGGATCCCATTCTTCAAATTCTTCCTCCTTCGCCGCCCTCTCCGGACGATCACCTGCCTCTTTCTGCTCGCGCGGTTTTGCCTTCCAGGGTAGAGCCAAGGTCTGCAATCCCAGAGCTTGCTTGACATCCTGGAGGGTCTTTCGGGATCTCTCCCGCGCCTTGTAAGCACCCTGGAAGACTTCGTCGTGCAGCGTATAGTTATTGGGCTGCATCAACTCCAGGAAGTTGTCACGGATGCCATCGAGAGCGGTGACGATCTCTGCCGCCACCTTTTCCTTGAATGCACGCATGCTCACATTCCCTATATCCTTGGCAATATGTACCGAAGGCTGCTGTGATTGCGTGACATGTTTCAGTATTTCTATCAGGTTAGACACTCCGGGCCGGCGTTCCGGATCGAAGGAAATGCCGGGTTCGGAGTCGGTCACGGCTCCTCTGATTTTGGCATGGATTTCCTCCTCGCTGTCGGTAATGAGGATGCGTGATTTGGGGTCAGGATCCGACTTGGACATCTTTTGGGTCGGTCGTTTCAGAGACATGATCCGTTTGGCAGGAGCTGAGTGCATGATGGTGTAAGCTAAAAAATCAAGCCGGAAAATATCCACAGAGCCAGAACCTACATAACACAGGCCAAGGGATTCTGAACACAGCCTGGCCAGAGCCTGATCTTCGAACGCGAGAGTTGAAACTGCGAGCTAAGGCGCGAGTAAACTCAATATGTTGTAGTTGATCTTCCCCTACCGGAACCATGGAGGCACTGGAATCCTGGTGATCAGCGATATTTTGCACGACAGCTCGTCTCCCCCTCAAAGACTTACCGGTACAGCAGAATGTCGGCTGCCTGCAGCACTGGATATGAGAACAGACCAAGTTTAAGCTTGGCCGTAGCCTCATCACTCATTAAACTGGCAGAATCCGGGAGGTCTAGCTTGCTCTACAAATCCAGATCAGTACAGGTCTGGTCGAAATCCCACTGATAGGTCGGGGGAGATCGCACTCACCTTCCACTGTGTCATTCGAGACAAATAGCCGGTCGATGCAATGGTGCTGAGAATCCACATCAACTCCGCATGGCACCATACCTAGTTTAAACTCCTGTGAGGGATTGCGCATGAAGAAGACCGATCACAGAGACAGGTACATACGTCGGACTGGAAAAAGACAGTCGTCTCCTTGGTGTTTTGGATGCCCATTGCCAGGAGCGAGGCAAAGGATTCTTTTCTCAGACGTAATCTCTCTTCAAACGGCATGTCCACACCTGTCAAGGAATGCAAATCCACGACTGAGAAGAATTGTTCGGGCTCATATTTATCGGAAAACTGCGGATCGCTGGATTGGTCGTGCAATCGTTTCCATTGTCGCAGAGCTCCCAGATAGTTTCCCAGATGTGGCACACCCGTAGGCTGAATCCCGGAAAAGACTCGTCGTGTCTTGTGTACCGGCACCCGCTCATTGACTGACATCTTCTCCTCGCGCCAGCCTTCGTCGTCGTCCTGTTCTTGACGCCATGATTCGTTCGCACGGCGAAGGCTGTGGCTAAACCCCCGTTTCTGGATTTTATGCGATGCAAAGGACCTCAACAACACGCGATGGTATCTTGAGGGCATCGCATCGAACTTGAAAATGAGTGTACACGTACACAACGTACGCAATAGCGTCTATTATAATAAACAGGGACTATTAAAGCAACGGTTCTAAGAAGATGCTCGCATGGATCGAGTGTTGAAAGGTGAAGTGGAACTGTCCGCAAAATGTCAAAAGACCGAAAATACTTGCCAAGTCATGTCATTTATAGCGCGGCAACTATCGGAAAAGGACTGTCAGACCACGCATGTCCCAGCCTTTGCCGAAAGGAAACTCCCTTCCTTGAAGTGGAAAAACGAAATTCATTCTTTGGAACATCGACAAGCAGCTAACTTCAAGTCTACCTTGGAAATCACCGATACAATTTGGCTGCCTATAAGCTAGCTATAGCCGATGCCGGGACCCGAAATGGTGGCTCTGATACACTGGCCTTACAACCGGCTGGATATGGGCTGGATCTGCTCAGCCTTGCCCAAAGCACCTAGGTGCCAGGCCTCCTTTAGCAGGTCTGCAGCCTTCTCCCCTATTCCATACCTGCAATGCAGCCAGTCAGTACAGTACGACATGAGGGACGCCAATATAGACTTACGCAGGCATTTGGGTGTGACCGCCATGTAAAGTCGGCATCACACTGCAGTCGGCCACTCGGAGGCCCTGGACTCCTCTCACCCGGAGCTTTTCGTCGAGGACGGCCAATTTATCATCGGACCGTCCCATTTTACACGTCCCAGCAGCGTGATAACACGTCGTTGCGTGCTGTTTGACATATGGAACCCACTCTTCCCGGGTGTTGGCAGCATGATGTGTCAGACCTTGACCCAGGTTAGTTAAATTTCAGGTGGTGGTTGTTGTGGCCTCAAGGGACACTTACGTGGAGGCCATGACCCTTTAACGATATCTTTCGTCCCGGCTCCTTGCATCACAATCTCATTGCCGAGCCTGCAGCCCTCGCTCAGGACCAGCAGGTCAAGCGGATCGGACAGGTAATTGCAATCAATAACAGGGTTCTCCAGTGGGTCTTTTGACTTCAGTGTCACTGTTCCTCTCGAACGTGGGGAAAACAGTTCGGTAATCATTGCAAAGGCATGCTTTTTGTCTGCCAACTGTCAGTTTTCGAAAGGTGAAATTGCCATCAATGGATAGTCCTCACCGATGGGGAAGTCGTCATATTGCTTAGGGCCACCATACAACTTTCGAAGGTATCGAAGGTCAGCGCCTGATCATCTTGTCCACAACACAGCTCGCATGGGTGAATATACATACCTCAGTGGTGAAGAACTCAACATTGGGCTGATTTGGGGTCAATTCCATCGGGTCACGACCGGGCCTCCTTTTCGCATTCCTCCAAAGGGGCTCGTTCTTCAACCGATCATCGAGTCTGGCATAGCCGAACGCGCCAAATGGAAAAGTCGAAAATACACCTTCCTTTTTATCTTTGTACAACATATATGAAGTCATTTCAGAATCTCCATGGTACCTGTTGGCCAAGTCAGCGTTGCGAGTCAAACACTCGAGTCAAAACATCGCATACACCAAGGCGTCGTTGGTCAATCCTTCTTTCTCAGTCTCATAAAAGGCAAAAACGATCTAATCGGTCGCACAGTCAGCCGGTGGGAGCTACTAGGGAAGCAAGCATGTTTATTCGTACCAAGTGGTCGAGCAGATTTTTGCCGACACCAGGAGAGTCAACAAGACACCTGATGCCCAACTGCTCCAATTCGGCCTTGGGACCTATTCCGGAGCGCAGAAGAATGGCCGGGGAACAATATGCTCCTACAAAGAGTCAATCAGAGAGAGGAAAGCAAAAGGAATTATGCGCCTCAGAAGTTACCTGCGGAAATGACAATCTCCTTTCTCGCCTTGACAACTCGTGGGGTCCCAGACTTATCGACCAGAGTCACGCTCGTGGCCTGTAGTTGACCATTTCGACGCTCATAGTTGACCTTGGCCACCGTCGTCTCCACGATGATGTCGATATTGTCTCTGTGACGGGCATTTGTCACAAAGTCGGCCGCAGTGGTTCGGACGCCTTTGTAATCTTTTTGTCGAAAGTCATGTCAGCGCGCAAATCCCTCAGCTAACAGAAGAAGCCTTTTTGTTTCTTACGAGTTCGAGGAACATGGCCGCAACCATGGGCAACGGTGCCAGTGCTGAACATGTCATGGTTCAACGGCAGTCCTTTGGATTGCATGGACTCGAGGAGCAGCTGTGATATGGGTGCCAGGTCGTGGGGTTCGGTATGGAGCGGTCCATTGTAGCCATGGGCTTTTTCGTCGGCTTGAAACCACGGCTTTTTGTGGAATGTCTCGGACTAACGACGTTCAGTGGTTAGCACAACCAAAACGCCGCACACTCCAATACTCGTGGTTGGTTAACGACACTCACCTTGCGCATATAGGCAAACATATCCTCGCCGGACCATCCTGGCAGACTAGAAGAGACGTCCGTCAGCGACCCATGCACACTTTCATTCGAACCCCTCGGGACCCGATCAAACGATGTCGGCAGCTCATGCATGGACTGTGTAGGTACTTACTTCCAATCATCAAAGTCCTGTTTACAACCACGAATGCACAGGGTGCCATTGACACCACTAGAGCCGCCTAAAAACTTGCCTCGACTGAGCTTGACGCGTCTGCCGTCGACGCCACCCATCGGCTCCGTGACCAGGTTCCAGTCGGTCTCCGAGTCAAAGTTCTTGGACCACCCGCCGACCATGTGGACGTTCTCGAGGTCTTTGTTGTGCGGTCCGGCCTCGACCAGCAGGATTCGCGCATTGGTGTCTTCGGCCAATCGACCTGCTACGACACATCCGGAGGTCCCTGCGCCGCTGTTTGCCAACAAGAATCAGAATCAGCTCTCTGCTTTCTTCTCAAACCCAACTACGCAGAAAGAAAGGGGTCGTCCTCCAGAACCAAAAGATGCTGGCTAGGTACTTACCAGATGATGAAGTCGTATTCATCCTGCAGAGCCAGTCGACCTGAAGACATGATTAGTGAAGTAACAACGGCAGCAGCACCGTTCTATTCTCTTCTCCTCCCAGAGAACACCGACACCTCAATGGATGGATGGCTGAATGGATGATTGGGTTGTCTGGATTGGTCTCGGTCCTGAAACAACAGAAGAGATTGAGATTGATGGAGATATTGTCTCTGGTAATTAGGGGATATTGTCCGAGGTTCAGTATGTACCAGGAAGGTAGGTCCTAGTATTTATTGGAGCGGCCTGTTTCCGATACTTCTCTATATCCACAGCGGTATATATACTGTACGATAACATGGACGTCTCTCAGCTTCCTCCTTGTCGGCACCGCCGACTCAGCTACTAGCAGTGGCTGACTACAACTTACTAACTTTTAAGTCTACTACTCACTACCCGCAAACCGGTCTCGAAGGAGATGGAGCTGACCGAGGGGAGGTGTCGTACCAGGGCCCTTTCCCTCCTCCCCCCAGTAGTGGTGTGGCACCCCCCGGCTGGGGATGCCAGTAGTGGGTGCGCATCTCGCCCGCGCGCACCGCACACTTTCCGAGGCTCTCGACCTCTCAGCAGCTCTTCACTGTTTACAGACCCGGATAAGGGCCCAAAAGATTGGAGGTTATTGGGCCACGGCCGCCACAGAGGGTTCCCTAGGCTGAGGTGGCCCTATATGCAACGTTGTACCCCCGCAAAGAGTCTCCCCGGACCCGGGACCCGGGGCAAAAGTGCGGAATCATTTCCTAGTACAACTAACCACATTGTACAATTGTACCGCACGGCACCCGGAGCGATTGTAACGTCGTCTACCTACATAGTGTGCCTAGGTACCGTAGTTTCGGTCCTGTCCCTCTTTCATCATTCAAGTCGTCGATACCATTTTTGAGGACCTCAAAAGATGGCACGTACTGTATGTATGCCAATGATTAACCGGCCCGGGATGCTGGTACAATACTTTACTAGTAGGTACTACTACCGTGGCACCAGTAGGGATACGGGAAATAGATAGCTCGAATGATGTTTCGACCAGACATGTCTAGAAGTTAGCCCAAGCGAGTCCGTCGACACGACTCAAGAGTCCATATTTTTGCAAACATGATGGAGACAAATAAACTTGGCGAACCGTAGACGAGAACAAGATTGGAAGCATCTGAATATGCTGACTTGATTTGCCGCACTGTTACAGTTTAGAGCATAAGGTATATAGGATGGGGTGATTTGCGAGGCCTGAGACGACCGGCACGACTCGACACACTGGCATCAGGACAGGACAGGACAGTGCCAGTCCAATCCGATCCGATCCAATTCGAATCCACTCCAACCCATATCCAGATCCAATCTCCAAGATACAATACTAGTATATGTATCCCGCATTATCTCCGTGACAAGAATGAAAAAACTGTCTATCCCTTGGACCTATCCATCGCACGCATATCCCAGCATATCCTGAAAGCCAGCGAAACATGAAACATCAGACATAGACATATCTCCAGTGGGATGAGATGCGATACGTTGCCCCCTCCGTGCGGCCAACACCCAAAACAGATATCCACATGTTCAATATTGAACGGCATCAGCGACAAGGCTTGTACATGACCCAGACATACTATGAGTGTGCGGCCATATGTTCTTTCTTCATGACATCATCTTTCCGTCTCTTCAGGTTGTCGTTTTGATGTCTTGCTTGCTTTCTTTCTTTTTCTCAGTCATTTCCCTTTGGCTTGACTTCGTTCTGTTTCCGAACTGGTTGCTGGTGTCTCGATCATCGAGTTGTTCTTCTCGAAATTTCCGGTCTGTCCCTGGTATCACATCCGCATTAATCGACCCATGACCAAACATGTGCCTAAGATAAGTCATTTGCAGAGAAAGGCGCAGGTGCCGGCCATGTCGCATTGGTATGGCAATGCCATGATACAAGGCCGTTTGCCGTCTCACCCCGTTTTGTTGTTTTCCAGGCTTCAGCTTCACATGACCGCACACTTGCCGCCACCAGCAGGCTTATCGGGTTCTTGGGACTTTTCAATCTCGGCAATCATCATCTCAAAGGCCTTTGCGACATTGATGTTGTTTCTGGCACTCGTCTCGATCCAACCGCAGTGAAGTTCCTCGCCGAGCTTCTGGCCTTCCTCCGGCGAGACTTTGCGTTGCTTTTTGGCGTCCACGTCGCTTTTGTTGCCGACGATCATGATGGGGACGGAATCTGCGCCCTGAACAGAGTACCAAAGGGGTTAGCGGGCGACGTCGACTCGGAGAAAAGAGAATATTGCGCTGTTGTGGTCCCGGGGAACTTGAACGTACAAGATGATTCAACAACTTATCCCTGATAATCCTAACCATTTCAAACGACTGCCTCGACGCGACCGAATACACAATCAAGTAGCCGTGGATGCCAATATATAGCTTCGAGTTCATCAGACTGTATTCATCCTATTCCCATGAAAATATCGTCAGCTCCGAGTCGCTCTCCCAACCGCTTCAGCTTCTTTTGTGACCAATCGATTTATCTTTCTTTCTCGGTGTATGGAATCCCTCACCTGTCCTGCGGTATCAATGATTTCAGTCAGATACGTCTGACCCTTGTAGACGATCTCATGGCTAAACGTGTTCTCGATGGTAGGATAGTAGCTCTCGACGAAATGGCCTTCGCAATATTGCACCGTGAGGGACGATTTGCCTAGATACAAATAGGGCAATGTCAGCTTCCACTTTCCAACGCACTGCAGTCTGATCCGCACTGAGAAGTCCGTCCTCAGTGCATTACGGTTACGTCTCTGCTCTCCGTCTTTAAGCCCAGCCAACCTGTCGGCCCAAAGACCAAATGTCCAAGCACATTAAACAGTTCCAAGGGATGAAAACACCCACCAACCGAACGACTGCCCAGGATGGCAATCTTCCGCTGCTTGACCGTAGGAGCCATGCTTGGGAAATGTATGTATCACTTAAAGTGTTTCTGGGTCCGCGAGTCCCGGTCGGTCGCGGTCCGGTGGCAGCGCAGCGCAGTTCAGCGCAGTTGTTCTCGGAGCGCAGGCAAGTGGAACGGAAGGAATTAGATGCTGTTACTGTTTTAACTTTCAGGGCTCTGTCGCGTCGTCGTCGTCGCCGTTCAGGGAACCGAGCCGAGGCCGTCAAAGGGAAAGCAGAGTAGTAGCCGTACAGGAGCAGTTGTTGTAGATGGTGATGGTGATTTTTCACCTGTTGGTTTCAAGTTTGGCGGGGAGGTTCAAGGTCAAGTTCAAGTTTCTTTGGCATGTGGTCTTCCCTCCCGGCCGAAATGGAGGGAGCAAGGATGGAATCGCTGATGTAAATGACGGACTGACAGCGACTAGCAATACAGTAAGGATACTACTGTACCCAGCAGTAGCAGTAGAGCAGAATAGCAGGTACCAAAAGCGACGAGAGAAATTAATAGTGGCATTTGGCGGTCGAATGGGTATCACGAATGTCTGGAAAAGTCACTAGAACGCAAACCCACGGGCCACTGGCCGTCTAAAGCCTTGCCATGTTCCCGGACGCGTGTTGGTGCCAGTGACGCTCATGGTATTGCTCGCAGCTGTCTTCTAGAACCGAAGCAGAAAGTTGTATGTAACGAGAATTGAGGCGACTGGTCGGATCTGGGGTCAAGGGAGACTACTGCGTATAGTGCTCTAACAACGATACTTTACCCAGGTACGGTAGTATTCATGTTAACAATAAGGTGATCTGGCAAGCAGTTCGAGTTGTGTCCCATCTTTGGGAACAGCGCAGCGGAGGTGCAGCGTATAAGAGTCGTAGGCCACCGCTGCATTCAGTATATATACGAGTTTGTGTCCAATCCAAGTGCCCTTGGAACACTGGCATTGGATATGAGTCAATCACGTCTCCCTGATCCTTACGCGCAGCTCCATCCTGAACGGAGTTAATTGGTGAGAGGCACTCTAGACTACTAGGTACCGACATAGGTACTGTAGGTATGCATGTTAAGGTAGGTACGGATGGCCCTTCTAGTCCCGAATACCGCTGTCCTGGCGATGAGACCACTGGCACTGACCGATTGCCCGGTATCTCGTACCAGGTATAAAGACCTGTGAACAGCTCAAATCATTCGATTGTATCCCATCTAGCAACTATGTCAAGGGTATCGTGCCTGTTTGTATGCAATCCCATCCAACCTCGACATGTCCAACCTTCATTGACCCAAGACGCCATGCCATAATTCAATCATTGCCGCGTGGCCATTGTCTTTTCCTTCATGTCATCTCGTCATGCTTGATAGTCTCGAGAACCATGGTGAACCGGTTGGTAAATCCTGATGGAGATCCTCCATCTTTGGCCAGAGCAGCCTCAACCGTCTGCAAGTGCTGGAGAAAAGTATCGGCCTGGGTAAATAGCTCGCTCAACCCCTTCCCTGTAATGGTTTGTGAAATCCGCTGGCGAGCCTTCGTATTGAGACATAAGGTGCAGAGCAGTGCTGCGATATATCCAAAAGCGACCAACACATGCGTCTGCTGCATAGTCATGGCCTGCCATTCACCCGTTAGCGGATCATGTCCCTTATGCATCATCCAACCCAGCGTTAGGTACTTACCTCGGATGTTTGGTCAACGTGGCTGTTGAAGATATCGACCAACCGATCAACCAGGCTTTTGCCAGACGTGTCCTCGCACAGCATCTGCTCCCGCGCCGTATCAGCACCTTCGGTAAGATTCAACAGACAACCCAACGCAAGAATCACCGAATCAAGCTGGGCAGCATCGTATTCTTCCTCTCTAGCAGCAAGCCCGGCCAAAGTCGAGAAGCGGTCCTCAACCGCAGCGAACACTGTGGTTATTAGTTGCTGCGTCGTGAATGCTTGACAGACTTTGGGTTCGTCATTGCTGAGCGTCACAACAAGGCGGAGGCATGACTGTTCCAGAAGCGGCTGGCTCTGGCGAGTCCGTCTAAGAATACTTGCCATAGCATCCCCAAGTTCGGCAATACGCGCGCTCGACAGACCCGATTCGAGCGACTGGTGATTCGAGCTGGCGATTTCCAAGATCGATAAAGATTGCTGGACGGTCTCGGATCGAGCTTCTACTTCTTTGTGCCTTTGCAGCTCTGCCTCACTCTTCACCAGGGTGCGAACAACCGCGTCAAGGAGTGCACGGGGAAGTTGAGGAATAGCTTCCTGTTGCCTGACCAGACTTCGGAGAAGACTGTCCAGCGACCGAACAAAGATAGCCTGGACCGAGCTAGATCGCTCCTCGTTTTCGGCCAGCTTCTGATCGAAGTCTACCACATCCCTCACAAGTGACTTGGACAGGTTCTGGCTTCTGTCCCGTGCAACGTGAGACAGCGACCTGCTTTCCGAAATGAGACGCAAAGGCAGTCGAGCAAGCGCATTCCAGATCAGCAAGCAACTCTTGGGAGATGAGGACTCGGCAGACGACATTTTCTGCAGTATTAGGGCCATCAGCGTCGCGCTCACGTCGTCTAGCTTGTCCCTTGCGCAGTCGAGAAAGCGAACAAAGATGCCCGAATCTTGAAAATGGCGGCAAAATGTCGAATCCACCAGTTTACTGTTGAGTTGCATGAGCGCCTGTATACGCAATGACTTCGAGTCCGCCTCAATGTCCTCCACAATCGTCTGTAGATCAAGGTCGAACTTGGTGATGGCGCCGCCGCGCCGCAATTCATGTATACTTTTGATTTGGGCGAAATCGTCATCGTCACTATCCTCATTAACAAAATCCATCTGAGATCCGAGATCAGTAAATGAGCGTTGAGAAAAGTAGTCTTGCTGCGATGAGGGCTGGCTGAGGGATGTTGCGTGGCTTTCCAAGCTGTCGACCATGTCGCTCAAATATGACCGTTGCCTCGCGTAAGTCGCCCGCGGACGGCCCAGCGGTGCAATATTGGGCTTTCCCAGGGGCGCCGTCTCAGCCCGTACCAATGGAGGAACTGCACCCGCTCTGCCGGGAGAGCTTGTGCCACTAACCGGCTGACTGGAGGCTTGTTTAGGCGTACGCTTGGACTGGAGGGAGCTCTTAGAGGCCGATTTGGCCGGAGTCCGAGAGGTAGGGGCGTCCAACCTATCTACCAGCCGTTTGCGTGTCCGTACAGACGGGTAACTTGTCTGGTCCACATCTGCCATTTCCTCGTCATCCGACGATATCTGCAAGTCTTGAGGATGTGCATCCGAGGTCAATCTGAGAGCGGTCATCTGAAGGTCAGATGGGCTTGGTGAATCAATGCTGCCATCTTCCGAAGCAAGTCGCCTTCTCTTTGGAGTGCTTTGACGTGATACCAAGTTCGTGCTCAAGTCATCCGAAACTTGTGCTGAGGAATCACTCCCAACACGTAAGCCCTTATTGGCGGCTTTCTTTGACATGGCCAATGACCCTGAGGGCGCTCCTCGTGTAGTTAGTGGCTTCCCTGGTGTTGGCGCGGACGCTTTGACAGTTGGCTTCATCTTAGAAATCTGACTCTTTGGTTTCGGTGCCGGACTTGCTTCCAGCGGTATCGCCTGCCCTCTGAGCACCTCGTCGGCTTCGCCCTGTTTTCGCGCCACCCTATTATGATCACCTGACTGAGTCCTGAACAATGATCCTTTGTCAAGCGTCTTCAAACTGGTGCCAACCGTTGGAATTGTCATTGTAGATCCAGCCTTCCGTTTCTTCAACGGTCGTTTCGCCCCTTGAGGCCTCGAGGAGTCGTCATCAGAGGTCTGGATCTCGAAGAGGGCCGAGGGCGACTTTTCTCGCGATGATGAACGCGCTGAGGTATTTGTACTAGTCGTGACAACGTTGCTCTTCTCCTCGAAACCCCCCAAAATGTATCTTGTCGTGCTGGTAGCCACGGTATCCCGTTTCACTCGCGGTGTCAGGGCATGACTAGAGCGCGGTTGAGGTTGGCCCAAGGAACTGAGGGTGGACGACGCGGTTGTAGATTGGCTCGACTCATTGCCAATGCCGAAGATATCATGAACGAGTATCTTCCTGTTTGCTTTGCCATAGGTGTTCAGTTTTCGACGCGCGCCTGGAAACTCCATGGTTGTTGATGGTGCAGGACTCCTCTCTTTGGTTCCATGCGCGATCTAGTTAAGGGAGATTCGCAGTGGCATTTTCGTTGGCAGCGGAGACGTAGGAGGAGCCCCGACCCGGAGAAGTCGCGAGGCTGAGAGGGCTCGTCCCGCGCGAGTATTGCAGTTGGATTGTCTTGATACTTATATAGGTTGTTGAAGACCTGGTGACGGTTCGCAGTTTCACCTTAAGTTGGGACCATGCAGTGAATGCGAATGTGAATGATCAATGAATGTTGAGAGTTGGAGAGTCAGTTACACGACCCATAACAACCAGGACGATGGCTCATGCAGGGTGATGTCAAGCATAAGACGCTCGGCGCGGCGGTAAACAAAGACCTTTTTTGCTTAACCAGGACGTTCGCTCACCCGCCTAACTAACCGCGTCCGGTTAGGGGCTCTTTAGGCACTTCTCCAGCGCCATTAGGCGGTGGTTGCGATTAAGGGACTGCTTAAAAGCCTGCTTTAGCGCCTGCCATTTGGTGGGCAATGGTCAATTGGGTCGGGGCCATGGATGGGTCTTTATCTCTGCTCAAGTTCTTTTCGCAGTCCCCTCCTACTACTGCTAGTACTACATCGTGATACATCTTCCCTAGAGCTCTTTCGAAAGCAAGCTACACATACGCTACGAGCGAACACAGTCACTGCTGCTTTGCTATCTGCCGAACCATCTCATATCTCACCACTGCCAGGGTCAACGCTTGGACATTCCAAGAGCCCGTTCTAGAGGGCACGCGAGCACTTGAGCCTTTGTCTGCTCCTGGAGGACCATTTCCTCTCACCATGACATCGACTCCGCGAGAAGATGGGGTACAATCGCCCGCCGTGGGCGTCGGGCCAGCCTACCGGCCTGCGGAGGAGAAGCCCACGGCGACGGTTTCGAGAGATGTACCGCACGAGAACGTGCATGTTCTCCCTCAAACACCACAACTGATAGCCTTATTGACGTGGGTTTACAAGATCTCCAGAAAGCCATACAGTATGTCGATTAGCTAACATGTGTGGTCTCAAAGTATGATCCGCGACAAAGACACTCAACGAGCCGACTTCATCTTCTACTCGAACCGTATCATCCGGCTGCTTGTCGAAGAAGGCCTGAACCACCTCCCGGTGGTGGCACATACCGTGACGTCGCCAGTGGGCAAGGACTATGTGGGTGTGAAATTCGAGGGCAAGATCTGTGGCGTTTCCATCATGCGGGCGGGGGAATCTATGGAGGAAGGGTTGCGCGAATGCTGCCGGTCGGTGCGCATAGGCAAGATCTTGATCCAGCGCAACGAAGACACCAGCCTGCCCAAGCTGTTCTACGAGAAACTGCCTCCCGATATCAGCAATAGATGGGTCCTCCTACTCGATCCCATGCTTGCGACAGGTGGCAGCGCAATCATGGCCGTCGAGGTTCTAAAGAATCACGGCGTGCCCGAGGATCGAATCTTGTTCTTGAACTTGATCGCAAGCCCGGAAGGTATCAGGAACTTTGCGAAGAAGGTGCCAAAAGTGCGCGTCATTACGGCTTTTATCGACCAAGGGCTGAATGACCAGAAGTAAGTCCATGGAATCTTGCTCTGTTTGCTTTTGTGGTGGGGATAACAAGCTGACTCGTCTAGTTATATTGTCCCTGGTCTGGGCGATTTCGGCGATCGCTACTACACGCTTTAATTCCAATGGATTGACGAAACATTGAAGGCTACTGCTGGAGCGATAATTCCGACAATTATACCTGGATCGAAGATATGAGTGGCGCTTGAACCGGCTGCTCTTGAGCAAATGCCGCATAAGAACGAGCAGGAAATACTGCTATCTGATGGCCCCCGTCTACAGCTCACATTCGGCGTCCACCCAGTTCACACAAGACTCGACGCGGGGCCTAAACAGGGGTCGGCTTTCGGCACTGATTGTGAAAAACAGTCTTAAAACGGTGGCATACTACTGTGTTAGTAATGCCACTATTCCCATCGCCAACAATCACAGCACAATCATGGTTACGGACCTACCCAGGGAGAAAGCGACGAATGGGCAACAAGCCACCGTACATACGTTCGCGCGGAGCACATCAAATCCAAGCTGCGGGACTCGCATAGACCTAACACAACGAGTTTCGATTTCTGAACTGCAGTGGCTGTGTTGAATGCAACAAGTCCGGCTCTGTGTCTCTTTTTCAATGGACACCACTCTGCTCCAGAGTTGAGAAAATATACCTATCATGTCTTCAAGTTTGGCCTAGCGTAGCCTTGCCAGATCATAACATTGCCATACTCATAGCAATTGTACAATGCAGATGGCTGCTTTTCTCTTGTTTTCTTTTCTTCCCTGGCTCTCGATGCGATAAACCACCCATTCATCATGATTCACTTCCATTTTTTCGCCGTTTGTTTCCATTCTCTCTCCTAGTCCACGTTCCATATCCCTGTTCGCCTTGTCTATATGTAACACTTCAAATTTCAGGACTCCAACTCAAGGTCCTAGTATCCCAACACCGCACTCGCCAATCAGTAGCCCAATTCGCTACCTATCCATCCGCGGGTTTGTCTACCCGGGGCCGTGGTCGTTGGTTCAGCTCAAGCACGTTGCGTAGACGTCCCACGGTCAGTCGTTTTTCCCAGGCGGCTAACTGTTTTGCTTCTGGACGGCTTTTGTTGCTAGAGAATCTTCATCCCTTTAAACCAAGGCCTTGGGACTAAACCAGAAGCAAAGTGGCAACCTTTTCAACGCCGCGGTATCAGGCCGGGTTTGACTTCTTTGCAATCAATAAAGGATGCGGGTAATGATGCGCTCCTTGAGGGACTCGAGCTCGCGGTACAGCTGGGCAATTTCCTCCTCGCGGACATTGGAGATATCGGCCATGAGATAGGCGACGTCGCCGCGCGAGTCGGTCATCTGCTTGTCGACATTGTGGTCGCCGAGGATTTCGTTGACGCGTCTCAGCACACCAGGGACGTTCTGATGGATGAAGATGACCCGGGCATGGTTGGGTTCGTCCATGGTCAGACTGCGCAGGGTGACCTCGGGCATATTGACGGCGCCGACGGTGACGCCCTCGTTGACATAGCGCACCAGGGCCTCGGCGACCTCGACGCCAATGGCGGACTGGGCCTCCTCGGTGGAACCACCAATGTGAGGTGTGAGAATCAGGTTCTTCAAACTACGTAGGTCTTCGGCCCAGGAGTTCAAATCGTTGTTGAAGTAGTCGCCGTTACCGGCCGGTTCGGCAGGGTAGACGTCGAGGGCGGCGCCGGCGATCTTGCCCGAGCGCATGGCGTCGATCAAGGCGGGGATGTCGACAACGGACCCGCGCGACGCGTTGATCAGGTAACTGCCCTGTTTCATCGTCTCGAGCTGGTGCGTCGAAATCATGTTCATCGTCTCCGGCAGCTCGGGGACATGGCACGTCACAAAGTCTGCTGTGGCTAGCAGCTGGTCCAGCGTCGGGATCTGGCGAGCGTTGCCCATGCCCATCAGATTCACAATGTCATAGTAGATGACATCCATGCCCATCGACTCGGCCAACACCGACAGCTGAGATCCAATGTGTCCGTACCCGATGATGCCCAGCGTCTTGCCTCGCACCTCCCAGCACTTGGCCGACACTTTGTTCCATGTCCCGCGGTGCATTTCGTTGCTGCGGTCGCCCAGTTGCCGCGCCAGTGCGATGATCTCGCAGATGACCAGTTCCGCCACGCTGCGCGAGTTGGAGAATGGTGAGTTGAACACGCAGATGCCGTGCGACGCCGCGTACGCCAGGTCCACTTGGTTCGTGCCGATGCAGAAACATCCGATCACAATCAGGTTCTTGGCCGCCGCCAGCACTCGCGACGTCAACTTGGTCTTGCTACGGATGCCGATAACGTGGACGTCCCTGCGAAAGAGATACGGTTAGAAAGTGTATTGAAGGTTTGTGTGAGACCGAGGATGAGCAGCATTTCGCTTTATCATGAGAAATGCTCGTAAGCTACCGTAGAAGACAAGCGAAACACTCATCGTAGGAAACGTAAAACATCATGGTAGAAACCACAGGGGGGCATATTTACTTAATCTTCTCAATCAATTGATCCTCCGGCAAAGACGACTTCATAAACTCGACCTGGTATCCCTGCCGCTGTAGAATCTCTCTGCCGGTCTGGTTGACGTTCTCCAGCAACAATATCTTGATATCTTGTTCTCGGAACGGCTTCAACGGCTTGGGGACGGCGCCGGTCGTGGTGCGTCGCAGGTTAGGCGAGGTGCCCTCGACGCCCATGGACATTTTGCGGTGGTGGAAAGTATCGTGGGGTGAGGTGGACATGGAGAGGCTGCGCGAGACTTCGCGGCGAAGAGAGTTCGAGGTGGCATTGCTGTCGCCATTGGGGTTTGATCTCTGAGGGATCGTGATGTTTCCGGTGGGCGTGGAGGCAGGCATGGTGTCGACAAGTCTTTAGTAGAAGTGGTTGGAGGTGGACAGACGGTTGTGTTGGAGTGATAAACACTAGGGATTGTGTATAAGACAAGCCTTGTGTTTCAAGCACTATAAGGACTTCAAGCTCTGTAGGGCTGTGATTCAGTCCTCAATGATTGCAACAGGAGAACGGAGAACGGTTTTCAGTAAGACAGCACATTGAAACTTTGAAGCAGATTGATGAGTCTCCGGTGCACGGCGCATCGATGACTCGGACTCGCGGGGCTCTGATGAGAGTGGATTCTGCGGCCCTATACAACGTATTGGCGATGCCCGAATCGGACATTCAATTAATTTTTTTCCCGCGAGTGATTTCTGCACGTTATTTTATTGCGTGTTGCAGGTGGTGACGTGACTCAGCCTCGTCCACTCTTTTACAGCGTCGCGATTGGCTACCAGTGGTGTCTGCATTCAAGGCGTACACTGGCAGTAAATTACATGTATGACATTCAAGGTTGTTTATCAGGAACCTACCTAGGTGGTACCACTGCATAGCTGTGATACCTCAAGATACTCGGCAGTACTAGGTATTTCAGCTCTAGAAGAAACGGAAAGGCAACTAAGGCAGACACTGTATTTCCTCGTTGCCTTTCTTGCCGTCTTCATCTTCTACCCCATTGGCAGTGCTCTGCATTGACAGATCTGTGCTGCAACTACTAGTAGTATTGTAAGTCGCAATTTGAAGTGCTGGGCTGCGGGCGCATCTAGATCTCCATGTGATGATCTCCCGAATCCTTGTCTTGTTCCTCTTTGCGCCGCCGCCGTTGTTCCATTTTCTCATATTCCTCAGGAGGCACCCCGTCTCGATTAAGCCAACAGAGGATCCTCCAGATCCCCACGAATAACTCTTTCCGTTGCTGGATGTCGAAAAGATCGTACCATCGACTTCGGCTCAAATACAGGATATGCTCCTGCTTGGTCGCCTCATCTGCGGTGTCCTTGGATCGTGTTTCGCTGCGTTGTTCCTGTGTCTTGCCACTCTCCAGCCAAGCCAGATAGTTGTCGTGCACACTCAGCCTTAATATGCACACGTGGTGGTTGACCGCCGAAAGCATGTAGATGTCGTCCCAGCCACTTCCACCTTTCTGAGGGTCCTGGATGCCGATTCTCTTATAGATGATCTTTTCGTCCCAGGTCGGGCCGTTAGGCCTGATCTTGGTCCATTCCTGATACCATTTTCGTCGGATTGGTTGCGTGTACACCACCCTTTTTCCGTCCCTGTATTCGGCCTTGTTGTTGGAAGATGAGGAAGAAATGCCATTCTCGCCACTTTTCTTTTTCTTCTTGGGCCGCTCAAGGCTTGCGGACGAGACCGGCTGAGACTGAGACATCAGGTCTTCCGGTTTGAGATTGTTCAAGTCGGCCGAGGCAGCCGCTTCCGACTTTATTCGTTCTTCTTCTTCCTTTCTCCTTTTTTCCATCTGCAGCTCTCTCTCTTGCGGACTCCAAGTCGGGTCGTCATCCTCAAACACCTCATGCGGTAGATGCCCCCATTTGGGCTCGCCGCCACCCCAGCGAGCCTTGACCGCCCACCACTGGTGCTCACCCGGTTCTTTCGACAGCTCTCTCCCTTCACGCGCCCGCTGTTGTGCAAGCATCAACATACCTGCAACCTCCCTGAACAGGTCATACTTCTCGCCTACAAAGTCGCTGGTCGGACCGAGCAGACCGTCCCTCGACTTGAATCTGACCTCGTTCCTGCTATGGACTGCTATTAGTGGTCCTTCGACCATTCTTGCTCTGGCCAGCTTCACCTCGCCCGGTATTCTGGCGATGCAGAAGCTATAGTAGGTAGAAGGTAGATTGATGTTCCGGATTCGGAGCCTCTCCTTCGGGCTGACTTCGTAGTCTCGGCAGTTGAACTTGTGGCTGGCCATCTTTAACAGGTTTCTGACAGCCGCCACCCTTGTTCCAGGGTTCATTTGTTCGCCGTTTCCGAATCGATGGCCCTTGTATACTTGCTTCATCTTGGGTCGCGTGGGCAGCGCCACCGCGTCCACATTTGGGATTCCGGCAGACTCTGGGGTAATTGCACTGTTTCCATTGACTGAGGCATTCTGTGACGGTTGTGCTGAAGCTTGAACTTCCATCCGTTCGTGCCTATTGGGTTGCTCGGCCGGTTGCCGAGACTGTGGAAGAGGGGGTTTCGAGCCCCCATGTTCGGCTTCATTTGCCTCGACCTCGTAATAGTGGTCCTTGCTGTCATCCCAGTACCGACTCATATCTTCCAAGCTCGCGAAGAAGTTCCTCGAATATGCTATACGGGGCTTCTTCCTGCCTTCTAGTGGAGGCATTCGAAGAATTTCCCGATATGCGTCTTCATTGTCCACCTCTAGTTCTGCTAGCATAGCATTCAAATCGGCGTCATACAGAAATGGTGGAGACTCGAAGTGCCTATCAGGGACGAGTTCTGCCGGAGGGACGTCCTTGTCAAGATTGATATTGAGCTGGGCAAGATGAGAGTCTTGCAGGTCGGTAGGTCTGCGGATTGACACCAGGTCCCTACACAGGGACGTGATGTGTTCATGGCTCAACGGCTCATTACTCCGCGATGGATTATGGTCGGGGAATTCGAGAGGTATGGGTCTTGCCGGAGGATTCCGCTCCTGGTCACTAATAGAGACTCCTCCCGGTGCTGTGACAGGTTAGACTGGGTTGACTTTGTATAAAAGGCCAAAAGGATTATTGTGAGGGTTGTCCGGCGTATGTGAAAGCGGTAGGGAAGTTGCATTGCGTCTCACCGGCCGACTGGCAGTAAATACTTGAGTGAGGGACCACCCCAAGAGCATCTCATCAGGAATAGAGCATGAGGAGCTGACTTGAAGCATTCGGTTTGCAAAATGACTGGAATGGTTGTAGAGACCGGTGGTCGGCAGACATAGGCTCAGCCCGCTGGCGATATGGACATTTCCCCGTATCCCAGCGTAGTAATGGTATATGCTCAGTTGCCCTCCGGCAGGGGGGAGGTCTCATTGATGTAGCAACGACATGGCACACAACTGGTGCTGCGACAAGAAGAAAATAAAGGCAGTACTTACCAACCGCACCCCAAAGGTTCCCAGAAAACATGACAGCCGGAGATCCTAAAATCCTGGAACAGAATCGTTGACATGCGTATCTCCACCGCGCGAGTGACGAACGGGTGTGTCAGGCGTTGGTTGTTGACTGCAGTGTCGCACACAAGATCTCTTCAGCCTTGCCCCTGCCACAGCAATGCTGATGCCGATGCAGCTATTATTGAATTCGAGGTCTCTACCGGGCCAGCATCCCCACCGCTGCGTCGGTACCGGTTCCCAATGGAACTGGTTTCAGGCGCGTGAACACCCTCAGCAACACTGGAACAAAGTAGGACCGCACGAAGAAATAATTTGGCTTTGAATGCACAGTGTAGTTTCCAAGTCCCGCATAGACACTCTCAGTTGACAGCATGCCAAGTCAGTATGGGACTTGACAAAGCATGAAGATCTGTGCTACGAGGCTACCGCAAAACAGTGCTTAGGTATGTGAATGCACTGCAGGTGATTCTGCCGTGTCAGAGAGCGTATGGATTTGCAGACAAAGAACCACCACTGCCGGTGTCACACCGCAGTCCGGCAGGCGACAAGGGAAAGGTGGGAATCTCTGGGCTATAGCACCAGGCGCGTGTCAGGCTGGCTGCAAGTCTTCCACCGGGGGGCGTCAGGGGAATGCAGTGCCTATCATGCACCTTGTGGCGGCGGCGGCGTCAAGAACTTGAACGGCACATGCAGGATGGTGGGACGAAGTCGAGCAGCAGTCTCGGGATTTGCGGCGGGTTGAGGTCGAGGGACATGCAACACCACCCACCGGCGTGTGCTGGGCAGGAATTTAGCCGCAGAATCGATGAGCGGAGTCAGGACTGCTACTTTTGACGTTCACGTTGAGCTGTGCATTATACCGCCCTAGACTACTATACTAGTATTCCAGTAGTAGTAGAGGGTCGGAAATTGGTCAGAGGGTTCAAGTTGATTGGGATTCATTATCCGCCAACAGAATCTTCCTAGGTACGAATGCACATCGGCTGCGGCACGCGGACACACACCGGGCACACAAAACACACGACTTGCTGCAGGGCTACAAGGGCATCACTGGATCATCACTCTCTACCATCAATGGCCGGTCCCAGTCTTCCTGGATCCAAGCCAGCACATCATTCCTTTTTGTGGTGGTCGACTGCATCCGCACAAGGTTCAGTTTGCTTACAATTGCCACAGTACGTAACTTGAAGGTCACGATCGCCCAGGACAATAGAGCACATGGAGGGCCAAGCGCACAATCAGCTCGAGATCGATCGCAGTCTCGAGCCAGACACATGGGCAGCGTGCATTCGAGTTTCCATTGTTTTATCATTGCGCCTAATGCAACTGCAACTGCAACCTCCTCGGGACGAGGTCTCTGCACACCATCAAGGTCGAACCCATCGTCGCCCTGTTTGCAGCAACATGCCCCAACGGTGAACGTAATCGTGGGAGGGACTGTCGTCGAGGTCGTCCTCAGACGTGCCTGTCGACTACGCTCCTGTCGTAAAACCACTTGAAGAACACAGGAATGTTGGACGTGTCTACTCCTGCTTAGGCTCCTCCTCTCCAGCCAGAGCTTGTCTCTTGCTCTGGATACGCTCTTGTCGGCGCTCACGGGCGGCCTTGGTCTTCGCACGTTTGGCATCCATTTCTTCCTTGAGGATGCGCTCACGCTGCTTCTCGGCCTTGGCTCGGTGAATCTGGGGCTGTTAGTCCGGGCACTGAACACAGAGGTGTACAGCAAACATACGTGTTCAACCAAAGCACGCTTGTGCTTGAAGGTGTTACCCTTGCTCAGTTGGTAGAGCTCGTGGTACAGGTGCTTGTCAATCTTTCCAGCAGCTCGGTACTTGACCAAGAGGCGGCGGAGGACACGGAGACGTCTCATCCATAGAACTTGGCTGTAGAAGCATCCATCAGCATTATGCCCCCCACAACCGCCATCAAATTTCTGATCGTGGGAGATGTATCGTACCTAGGCATTCTGGCGTCCTTTGTACCCTTTCTCTTACCGAAGCCTCGGTGTCGGCCAATTCTTCTCGCAGCGTTCAACTCTCTGGCACGGGATCTGGAGTGCATGGCGACCGGCTTGCGGATAATAAGTCCATCGCTGACCAGCTTTCGGATGGTCTGACGGGAGTTGGCATTGGAGATTTCGTTGACCTCGTTGGGATCGAGCCAGATCTTGCGCTTGCCACAGCCGATGACGGACGCCGCGAGGCGCTTCTGGGTACGGAGGTTCGTCCTAATGTTGAATCAATCAGTTTCGTTTCGATCAAGACATTTCGGCTTCAAACGGCAAAACGTCATGGACTTCTGCCGCCATCACATCGAGTGCAGTTGTTGAGAATCGGAGCTGGTTGCGAGCGTGTATGCGTGCCACGGACTGACTTACATCTTGCTGCGATGACTGGATGAGTCGAGGGCTTGTCGTTGATGAAGTTCAAACCTCGAAGGAGTTCGATTGAGGGGAGTACGACTCTCAAACTGGCGAGTAAATCAAAATCCTACAGAGTGCGCTGAGCTAGCCTTGGCATGTTGGCGCTAGTCCCGTTGCGGCGTCGCCATCTCCTATACTAAAAGTGCGACTAAAACTTGAGGTCCGCGTACCGCAACTTGAACCTCACCTCTACAATTATCTGTATCCTGAGCCTGGGGCGACACCACATCACTTTTTGAACAGTTTACAACTGCCTCAGCTTGGCACCAGGTCGATCAGCCACAAAGGCACTTCACGACCGTTTAAGGGAGCTTGGTTCCTTTTGACATGGTTACTGTGCATTACACTGAAGATCTATTGCACCCAGATGCTGCACTTTTCAACCCGCGTTGCTACAAGCACCTTATGCTTTGGACTGAACCCGAATCCATGTCATGATCATCGTATTCCGATACTAACCACACAGTTGCCTATTTTCAAGCTTTCGACCGCATCGCTGAAAACCTTGTACTCCTAACTATGACTGTAAACCGCTTTCCGAAGGTATAAGTATCTGCCATCTCTGCCTCTCTCCAACCCCAACTTGAAAGCACAGGTCTCAAAACTTCGAGCTACTTCATCGCTTCATATCCTTCTCAATCCGCACCAACCGCGATCATCCAAATGCTACCTATCTACGCCTGAGCAGAGATGTCTAGAGACAGCACCTCCTGGGATTGTCTCCCTCCCGAGATTCGAAACGAGATCATTGGTCTCCTGCCAGTTCTCGGCGGGAGGTGCAGCCAACTTGCGCCTGTTTCCCGAGAATGGCAATCGGTTATCGAGCCGGTCAACTTTGCCGAGATCAGCCTGACGGTACCGCGCCTCGCTAACCCGAACTCTCAAACTATCATGTCCCGACGGAAAGCCAGATTCGCTATATCTGGTTTCGCGTGGAACTGAAGCAGTACGATTGCAGCCAATGCGCTAACACTGACCCCGACCGTTGGGGCTTGGACAATATCGACAACCAATTCATCGCGGATGCATTTGAAAGCTTATTCACGACACTCAGCACATGGGAGCCTCGCGGTGACTTGGTCCTCGACATCAGTGTTTACTCGCCCAGTGATAACCAGCACTGGTTCAAGCACCTCACCTTCTGCTCAGACACCGATCTAGGCGAGTTCTCGTCTCCTTGTGGTCACGAACAAGCAAGGGCCCTGATAGATGATCCGGCTCATGGCTGGGTTGCTGGGCAGCAGGTCCTTGCTCCTAAGAAGTTTGCCATCGAACAGACATTCGACGAGATCATGGGTGAGGGGCCTTTCGACAACGAGGAACCCGAGATGCAGTGGTGGCGGCGTCTCCCCTTCGTACCAGTCGTCGGGATTGTGCTGCTCCGCCAGCAGACACGTCGACGATGGAAGCCGGTTGCTCTTGCCAACATGCTCTCACGGTTTCCTAACATGAAGGAGCTTTGTTACGAACCATGGATGGAGTGGGGTGAGATTTCCTGGCAAACCGATCAACGCAAGTGCTTGCTTGACCCCTTTCAATTCAGTCGATGCAGTCGCTGACCAACCAGGATAGGCACCCAGACGCTGATCGAATCTTTTCCCAGGACAAAATTGTGCAAGCTGACGATATTCTGGAACTTCAACGAGACATATCCAGGAATATATTCCGAGGGGCTCGCTACCAGGGAGCCGAGCCCGGCCGTGAGCCGGGAACTTGCTTGCGCCAGCATGCGACTCACAACGCTGTCCGCCTCTTTCATGGCCGATGCCAGACACTTCTTCGCAGCGCGTCAAGATTCATGGGCGTGGGATAAGCTCACTTCTCTGGCGCTGACTTCGAGGGTCCTCACTGACGATGCGGACACCTCGGAAATCAACAACATGCTTCAAGACGCCGCTATGGCGGCACTCAAGATGCCCAGACTTGACACGATGGAGCTGTGGAACGGCAGACGGGGTGTGGCGATGCTCTTTCGCTACGAGAGGGCTCGAGATGGGCAGTCGGCCACCATCACGGTACGGGGGACGTGGGAGCTTGCTCTCGGGATTGCGACCACCCAAGCTTGGAATGTGGTCGCTCACCGGCATTGCCATGGCAAGGTCGTTGTACAAACCTCTTCAATCGATCCAGATGTGATCCGATGCCACGGCGATGCGATCCAGCAGCTGGGACTTTTGACTGAGGTCGCCAGGCCTGTGTCGGTGCGGCAAATCCTCACCGAACATGAGTTTCGGACGTGAGATTATCGCCGTCACCACCAGCACCACCACCATCGTCGTCGTCATCGTGGTCGTTATTTTGCAGAGGATTGGTGCAATGGTTGAGTTTTGCTTTCAATCTGCAATAACAGTAGAAGCATTGCAGTTGCGCATGCCATAATAGCCAGTAGCGTCTCCAGGGACTGGTAGGTAGTAGTACTATTTCTTATACCTAATCCAGTCCCTCTCCGGGTCCATGTAGGTCTATCCCCCCTATATGTCGGGAGCCCTCCCTATTTCTACTTCCGCTATACCTCGTCCTCTCACCCGTCGCCTCCCCTACTAGTGTCCCTGCCTCCTCCCCTAGAAGCACGCCGTGGTATTACTCTAGACGTGTCCGTTGCTATCAGGAAGGCCGCCCGTCAATCATTGCCTGAGCACCTAGGTCAGATAAGTGCTATACCCTCCTTAGCATCACTTACAGGTACGGTTGAGAAGTTGGCCAAGACGTCCTCGGCAACACCAACAACCAACACACTGGACTGTCTACTGATTCGGACAGCACATACAGGTACAACGTACACACGATATTTACCGCGTGATTCGATGCTGCTGCTTGCAACTGCACGGCATGGATGTGACCGAATAGGACATGACATTGGGACATGGGGACCTACCTTTATGGCTCCGCTGTTCATGTTCCATCGTGTCGTTTTGTCTCGAAAAGCCGTCGGTAGCCTACAAGGATCAGAACATCTTTCCTTTGATCAAGCTGAGGGCAGATCTGAACACCGACAGCCCGAAATCGAGGTCGAAGAACTCGAACTCGAAAAGGTTCATGAATGATTACAAATAGACTTTTATTGTATTTGACATGTCATCGCGAGATTGCCTCAGGAGGATGCGAGAGCCACCTCTTTCTCTAGACGGCTCCTTGTTGGCTAATGTACTGGCCCTGCAAGCCAGCCCCTTCATTCCGAACACAACGCACTACAGGAGGCGAGGTTCGGAGCAAAGGGATCAAGGCAGTCCAGCTTGAGCGCAGTGTCGCTGCAGAACTCGATCGGCCCGCCTTGCAGTGAAGCCAGGAACACATCTAGAAAAGCGCCGTGGCATTCGTATCCTTCAAGTCTCAATCATGATCCATCCAGACGTATATCATTCCCTCATACACAGAAAAAGACAAACCAGCAAGCAGCACATCTAAACCAACCACTGGCCAGTCGAAGAAAGGCCATGAGCGGAAAGGCAGTCGTCACATCTCGCCATCTGCAAGACAATAAAAGAAAATCGTGTCGTAAGTCGTTAAAATTTCGAGGCAGCAATAAACGCATGCTTATTGAGTTCGTTAGTCTTTGATCTCTTTTTGGCTGTAGCCGTTCGTAATATCGTAATCGCTTTTCGGATCTGTCGTGACTTCGCGTCATCTCGGAATCAGAGCTTATCATTCGTTCTGCAAGCCATTTATCCAGTTGTCATGCCCGGGCATACGCGTCCGCGAACCGACCCTGTCCCAAAAGAGACAAGTAACGGCAATCAGCGCTGTCCGCCGGATTTGATCGCTTGCATATGTGGAGGTGGATTGAGAGGCATTCCAAATGTCTCTTGTCGTCCCATCTTACGTCGCTTGGAGTCATAACCGTCATAATCTCGACTGCTTGGTCGATCTTGATCGTCGTCCTCTCGTCCGCGTTTGGCAGATGACATGGCCCCCGCATGGCCTCCGCTGGAATATGTCGAATTGCCATACCCATCGGCAGAGCCTCCTTGTGGGGTTCGAGCACGACCCATGATGTTATAAACATTGCTCGACGGAGGTGCCCGGTTCGGCGGAGTATGATAATCCGGCGTCCACTGTGGTTGACCGGAAGGCATGGTTCGTGGCGTGGCGTGACCAGATCCAGCTTGATGGGTCGGAGAACCGGACATTTGTTCAGGAGACAAGTGAGAATGGTCACCTGGTGCGCCGTATGCATAATGTCCACGGTTTGCATTGTAGGCGGAGGCGTTTGCATTCATGTAACCGCCGTCCGTATGATCGCCCTCATGTTGAGAGCTATGATTTTGGCCAGGGTACGTGTCAGTTTTGTGGTCGTGGCCGTCCCCGCCGCCGCTACCGCTCCCCGGTGCTATGGGAGGCCCCATATCACTCTTCCCGTACCCAACGGCTTGCATGTGCTGGCCGTATCGACTCCCATCGGGGTGCTGTGCATAACCAGTTTGAGAACTCGGCGTGGTACTGTAATAATGCTTCGAGTTGTCGTAACTCGACTGCGACTGATAAGGATGCATTCCTTGTCCGGCAGTACCTGGCGGAGTGGTGGCAGGCGTTGTCGGCATGGACCTTGCGTTGATCCCACCGGTGTCGATAGACAAAGGTTGCGTGCCGGCCGGCCCATTTGCCAAGCCCTGGTTGTTCCAGTCGTATGAACTGCCTTGGTTGGTCATACCCATGACACTGGAAGCACTCGTGGGAGGCGTAGGAAAAGTGTGAGCCCTGTCGATGCCGGGGCGTTGCGTATTGGCGTGTTGCGCGACCGAGTGAGGCGTCGGAGGAGCTTGGCCACTGCCAGACATTGTACTATGAAGTGGGAGGGATGGTGTCTGTGAAGGCTGCGAAGACCGTGGCGCATCAATGCTGTCCATACGACGGCGCTCGGTTGCTTGCACAACTGCATTTGTTCTAGGCGCGTTCTCCGGGTTATACAACAGGCCACCAATGTTGTGCACGAACAAAGGATATAGAAGATCGGTAATCTTCTCCTTATTTGCGAATTCCAGCGCACGCTCAAAAGGGATCCTGTACCGCAATCAGCAATGCGACCTTGAAGCATGGAGCAAGTTGGCGACATACCAAACACCTTTGAGATGCATTGGACCGATCTTGACGACGTGTCGCGTCTTCTCTGATTTCAGTATGCCATCACGGCGACCACGAGTCATGCCAGCAACATTTAGGAGCTTTGTCCCGTTGATGAAGTGGTTATCTAGAGCCCACGTAAATATCTGTCCAGGTCAAAGATTGTCGAGTATGGAGCCTACCTTCACGACGAGCCACGCAGACTCCCTTCGCTTCGACTTGAAAGCAAAGACTTCCTTCATCCTCCCACAGTGTCGCTGTCACCCTAGGCTTCATTCCAGGTGGAGCAATCTGGCCAGTCGTGTCGAATGGAATTGGCGGGGCCGGGGGGTATCCCTGAGCAGGAGCAGGCAAACTAGAGGTTTGTGGCACGTAAGTCTGTTGAGGGCTAGGCCCTGGCATCATGGCTGTGGGATAGTCAGCAAATGAGTACAATGGTCGATGATGGATCGTGCTCACCTGGAAGGGACGGCATCTGCGACTGCACCTGCTGCGATACATGGCCAGCAGCAGACTGCGGCGATGTCACTCCATTGGCATAGCCATAATTGCCATACGCCTGTGGAGGGCCGTAATGCGTCGACGCAGGGGGAATAATCGGAGGCTGCTGATATTGCTGGTAGTGACCCAAAGGAGCAGTGCCTGCGGGATGTGAATATGACGGCCCGGAAGACATGTGCGAGGCAGAATGCATGTCCATATACGATTGAGTTTGGTTCATTTTGGTTTGGGCCTGTGGCAAGCGGACAGCTTAACCACTTTTCTTCTTCGCAAGGCTTGATACAAAGAAAGGACACAAGGGCCACCCTCTGAGAGCCTGACGGTGCGCTTCAATTATATCTCTTACTCCAGGACGAGACCCAAGCCTGATGAGACCAATGGCAGACGTATACGGATCGACACCAAATTTATCCCTCCTCTTAATCGAAGTGCGGACGGTAGTCGAACAGATGAGATCAAGTGGGCGTTCCACCGCCGGTGATCGGTCTTCCACAACGCAGAGTTTGAATTCGGGAAACAGCCGCGTCGACTGTTAAAATACAACGATCAAACTCTGATGCCTGTCAACCGTAGCCTTATCGTTCCGTCCGGCCTTTTACAAGCCAGTCAGACGTCGAGCCAGGTATTCCGCCTTTCAATGAAGAAACAGCGTCGCAGGCAGACTGTACAGCTGTACAGACTCGTAGAGGCACCAAGAGTCGCCCTTTTGTCAGAACTGGCGACGGCCCTCAATGGTCAACCTCTATTGAGCGTGCCGCGGGGAAGAAGCCACACAGGAAATCGTCGGTCGGTCACCAACTGCACAATCGAGAGAGACGTTAGCTAACGTTAGCTATGCTTCCAGACAGAGGCAGCTTGATATGCAGGAACATCACGCATTCCATTCTGTGAGACCCGTAGAGCGGCGGGTTGCAAGATATGGAGACCATGGGCGTGGTCTGCCACTTTCTCTGCGGCGTCTCGCCCTGAGTGTTCTCGCAAATGTCCCGCGCAGACATCGGGTGCTGAACTCTGGGTTCTTTCACGTACCGAACAGCTGGAAAGGCTCTTCAATCGACATGAACTCAACAGCGGGAGGACGCGCTATTAGGCCATGACTGACTGGTGACCACAGGACAAGGCGACTATGGATGCACAAAAAGTGTCAATGGAGATCTGGAGGCCAGAGGCAAGTAGTGAGGTTCAGTTTGAAGCAGGATGCAGGAATGCAAGAAGGACGACGGTGCGCAACCTAGCCGAGCGGGAGGAGGGAGGGTGTGCAGGTCGCTGCATTAGAGCAAAAAGGCAGAAGCGGAAGTGGTGCAGCAGAAAAAAGCCAGCGGGCCAGCAGCAGCCAGCAGAGCGCAGAGAGGACCACTCACTGGCACTGCAGGGATTCATCCACCGATTCATCCACCGCAGGCATTGGCACTGGCACCGCAGTCCACCATGACCACTGCCGCTAACCACCTGGATGCTAACCACTGGGATGCTAACCACTGGCCTGCACCGCAGCCACGTCCACAACCAGGACCACGCCCACAACCACCCACGGCCACCGCCGACACCACCAACACCACGATTACTACAACTAGCTACAACTACTAGCCAACAGCTAACCACCCAACCGCTGCTTCTTCTCATCCTCCTCCTGCTGCTCACTACCAGGTACGAAAAACCTACAACCCTTGACGCCCTCGCCCTCGCCCTTCAAGTTCAGCACAATCGCCTCCATGCGGCACGCCATCTACCACCCTACACGCTATGCTGGCATTGCTGGACCATCTGCTGGCCACCCACCGCCCACTGCCCACCGCCCCTCGCTCATTGGAACCCGGGCTCGCTCTTCCTAGACTTGTCCTTCCATATCATGCTCCACCGACCACTGCCGGCCGCCCATGGCGCGCCTCTGTCCACCAGCCCACGCTCCTACGATCCCAGCATGCCGCAAGTTGCGAGTCAGAGATCCACGAGAGGCCCAACAAAGACCCACGGCGGCCGGATACTGACTGCCAATCACAGCCGGGGAGGGCTGGGTGCCTTTTCGCACAACACCACGCACCAGAACGCCTCACTGCACGGCTACTGTTGAACCTGCTCATCAATAAAATACACAGTACCTCGCTACCCTTGCTCTTGCAGGGATGCTGGTTGAACCAACGGACCTCCAGCTCCCTGCCACCGGCATGATGATTGTCGATTCCAGAGGCGGATCGGCCAGTAGATACACCTGAACAATAATGTTCCCATCAAACTCTTACAATCTCCAGCTACGAGGCTAGCGAACCCTTCGTATCTTCTCTGCGGGCACTGTCTCACACCAACGATATTCACCAACGGAAAAATGGAATAATAGAAGGAGCCAACAGTGTGATAGTTCGGAACCTTCAACTCCGGCATGGGTCCTAATCGTGACAATTCGGCCTTGGTCGGCGGACGGCGGGGGTTCTCTACTTAGGGCTGCATGTTCTGCGTGACTTTCACCGTTACGGGAAAGGTTCATCCGCTCAGTCTTGAGGGCCTCTATTACGATTCTTACTGCAGCGGTACAATTGTACTGTTGTTGAAGGGGTGCTGTAAGCCGTGGACGCAACCGGGGAACATACTGTGGCGTCGGCAGGGCACTTCCACCTTGCTGTCCTGTCCCCAATCCCTGCCGTTTTCTCTTCGCTTTGGCGAATTCAGCCTGCAAATAATGACTTTGGGGGTATAGCGCAACGCGTCCAAAGCAGAGAGGAGAACGGACACAAGGACGTCAACCGCGCCGGATGACAATCGGACACACAGACCTCGAGTTTACCGACGCAAATCCACTTCCCCCAGCCTTCGAAAATCCCAGTCAGCATCGGCCCACCATTGGCATGGCGGCCATTGGGTTAGGTTCTACAGTAGGAGCAAAAGCCACAAAGAACAAGCCAACTGGGCCAGACAAACGAAGAACACCACATCCATCAAAACCCCCGTACCGCTCAGTACCGCTCTATCAGTTAGGCCGCTCGGAGACTCATTCACCCTCTATCACGATCAGCCTCCACAGGCCCCAATCCTTCCACAGGCCGCGCTTCCTCCCTTCGCCCACCATCCAACAAGCCTAGGAGACTAGGGAAGCCCTGAGCCCTGACAAAGGTCCACGGTGTTGAAAGGCCCTGTTTGCTCAGGCGTTCCTCCGGCTCACGATTACCTTCCTTCGCAGTATCCCTCGCATTATTATTGCAACTCCAATCTACCAAGGTGTGACATGTTGTTCCGTGGTCATGTCACCAGAAAGAGGTCCCTGGTAGCGCTTTCTCCTCTCAAGGTAACTCAGTCCGTGGGCTTTCAAATCTTCAAGCTTCGGATCGCAGTTCGGCCGGCCCTGGCCCAAAGGCTTGTGCCACACCGCCGGAAGATTCCCAGCTTGCGCTTGGGCCAATATTGATATCGTTTAGTCAACGCGTGCCTACTCAGGACAGGAGCTCATGAAGGCAGGGGAACAGTGTTGGGGTCGCAGTGAACAAGGGCAGTCCTTGCTGCTGGGCCGTGTTCCAATCCTCCTGCTGTCATACATGGTACTGACTTCTTGCTGGTTGTTCGCTTGCATTACAAGCCGTTCATAGTGTTTCTGCCTCAGCGGCAACAAAATATGGGTATTACACGCCGCTCGGTTAGAACAGCTACCGGGCCATGACTTCCTGAAGAAAACCCAGTGTGCTTCAACCGAACGCGGTAGCAAGGCATGGCGGTAATCCAACCAATATTCCAGCACCCGGGACGAATTACGTGCATTGCAAAATGCCCCTTAGACACCTTGACTGCAGGGAGATAGATCCACAAAACCTCGAATTGGTGGTATACAATGCAGGATTGTTTTATCCCCTGTACCGATCAGTCCTGGCCCTCCAGACTCTGTTACAGATATTCTCCGGCCGCACAGACAATGTCAGGTTGATTCAGAGGCACAGCTATGGCCATGGCAGCATCAACTGTCAACTCGTGGCTGGCTAGGGCAAAAGGACATGGCATTGGGCAAAGTTTCAGATCCAAGCCCAGGGCCGCCTATTGTGCATCATGAGCAGCCAGCCGCCAGCCATAAGGGCGAGCGTGCTAACATTCGCATGTGTGATGTTTTCTCGCGCGTAAGGAACAAGACAACGAACAACAACAACAAGCTGTTTGGCGATGCCCGTGGCCGTTGCAGCTGGCTCTCGAAACTCAACTGCTACTACGAAACAGCTTGCAGAACCCGTCCAACTGGGAACAATACAGACAGGACGTAACAGTCGCCGAAGTTGTATCGTTCCCAGCATGAGGTCGTCCGACTACGCTGGAGGGAGTATGGCCACGGAACTCGGGCGATGACTGAGGACGATGAGAGGGAGTAACGAAACGTACTTGTCCAGATGTAATCCCGCCGGTTGACAGTCACTACGCTCTGGAAGAAGGACCAACAGGCAACATGAGTTCTCTGTCAGAGATACGAGAATGTGGATCAAATGTAGTTGTCCGCTCCCTACCTTATGCACTATGCTCGACATCTTCCAACGATCTCCACGGCGACGTGCCCACTAGCATACCAGTATGCAGAATGCAGGGCATTGCCGTGGCTGCAGTGCATCCGCCTGGATTAAGGTCGCATTGCATGTCGAAGCCAAATGATGCACATGGAGACGCGAGATCAAGGGGTTTGCTCAGGCCACAGTCCTACAACATCACAGTACGATACATGACGAACGACCACGCTTGTACCGACACATACCGTGCTGGAGTGGGCAGAGACGCCGATGGAGGCCACGTCCCCACCCCGTCTCTGTCCTCCCGCGTCTATTGCTCGTTGACGGCGGGAGCCAGTGCTCACCCGATGACAGGCAGTCTTGCCCTGTACATGGGCAGCGCGACAGTCTCGTGTAACAAAATACTGGGACCGACCTCGGAATCAGGCAGGTCGCCTATATTTTGGCATGGGCTGCACTGGCTTGTCGTGGCTGAAGGTTGTCATTCGGAGCGACGAAACGCCCCGACGTGGCCAGGTTGAAGGAAGAGAAGTGTTTTGAGAGCTTCCACATTTCTTCGCCACGTTCTCGAGGAGAGTGATTTTGGCCAGACCTGGAGCTCGTGGGGAGTTGTCCGGCTATGCTCACTTCAACCAATCGCCTGTTCTGATCCTTTTTGATCCATCCTAGGCTACACGTTCTCTCCTTTTGTCCAAGGGCGAGAATAGTATGGATTGCTGGAGAGGAGAAGTTCACCTCGTACAAATCCTCCCTCCCTAGCCCTGCCGCCGCCTATCCACCAGAGTGCTGTGTTGTCACCGCATGATTTGTGGAGGAGATCCCGATGACCCACACCCTGGTTGGACTCGCCCAGCCAAAGTTTGAATTCTCCAATCATCCAGCACAAAAGACGGGAGGCGGCGTTACACGGATCGCTAGATCAGCGGGCTTGTCACCGTCTCTTCAACCTGGAACCCTCAAACCGTCGTCGTGTAGTTGGCCACCATCATCATCATGTTCATCATCATCCATTATTCTTTACCGGTCTTTCAGGCGCCGGCTCGTTATCTTTTTCCATGGTGGCCGGTTCTGAGAAGTTGGCCCGCCTGTTCCAGTTTCCTGTCCTGCATAGCCATCTGAACGGAACGTTACGCATGACATCTCTTAACGATTGTTGCCAATATGGTGTGGGTTTGGACGAACCTTCTGTGAGATACAATGTTTTGTGTTTTGTGGCTGGTCGATCCGTTGGTAAATCTGCGATGTCCAGCCTTCCCGCCACCGGGGTCGACAGCGCATCCTCCGATCCCTGTTCTCTGCACGACCACGATCTTGCATTCAGTGATCGTCGTCGCAGCACTTGCGCCGTGAAATTATTCTGGCTTTTCTCCTAGCCGACCTCTGTTCCTCGCTGCCTCTGCGGTGTCACCGAGCTGTTTCTCGCTTAATTCGAAGGATAACAAACGCCAGCCTCTAGCATGTGCAATGCTGGATTGCATTTTGACTCTTAACTCCGCGACGTTCGACAAGGAGCCACAGAGCACAAGGGAGATTCTGGCGCCCTGTTTCGAACTTTATCTTTGGTACAGTGACATCGTGTCTAATTGGGTATTGTTTGATTCGGGGGTGTCGGTGAGTCCTTCGGGAAGAACTTCCCCCTTCCTGTGCTGTGTATGTCACTGTTGCATACGAACCCCGGAAAAAGATGGCAAATCCGAAAATTCTGGCAGGCCAACAATAGGATGAAGGCGCTGTTGATCGTCTCCAGGAAAAGCCACCACGGCTCTCTTGCTGGCCGGCCGGGGTCAATCAACTAGGTCGGTACGTTCACAAGGCACAGTGTGCTATACTTCAATATCCGGACCGGACTTTCCTCCTGTCAATCATGTCTACTTTGGCGGTCTAGTCGCCCCCGTTTTGTGGCAATGATGTCCCCTGTCCATGGCTGTTCGGCTGGATCGTCGTCTCATTCTTTGTCACTGAAACAGTCTCCCTTGATCGACCTTTTGATTCATCTCCAAAGCAGTTCTCGAGTATGGATCAGCACTACAGCAGATGTGTCTCGGTCATCCAGAAATGCATGGACCTATTCCTAAGCGAGAACGATGTCGACCAGTCATGAAAGGTAAAGCATGCTGTGGCTCTTCGAAGAGATAACACTTCATTGCGTGATGGATGGTTCGCCTACCCTCGCCTCGATGAAACACAGGCTGCAGTGGGAAGACTGTTGTTCTATCTCTACTCGAGGATTGCTTCCAGTTTTGGACGTTTTCAAAGCAACGTACATTTGGAATGCTCTCGCCTATTCTCGCGGCCCGGGTATCTACTGATATGGCGCTCGCCAATTGTTATGAGTGCATCCATTCAAGGCTGCCCAGCAGCCGAGATATAGTTCGTTACGCTGTTCCAGAAGACTGTTATCTTGTGCATGGACCGCTAGTCCTGGGCCACGGACGCACTCCTTTACAATGAATAACTTAAGGGGATACGCAAGAACAGTGGCGCGACGGGAACAAGAGCCTGCAATTTTAAAAACATCGATTAGTTGTTCAGTATTAAACCGAATTGACTGACATCCAAACTCATTCTCAAAACTCCCATCTCAAGGCTTGCTTGCAGTCGGCAATTTTCCAAGTTGGTAACCCCACATTGCAATGTCATGTTCTTATTGAGGAGAACCTCTCTAGGTGGCTGGATAAGGTTGGTACATGTAGTAGTCAAGCAATTGAATTCGAATTCCACAAACGCCGAAATGCTGATTGTACTGTAGTTGAGTTGGATTTAATTGTTCTAGAACTGCCATGATCTCCGTCTTTATCCTCATGTTTTCTCATGTTCGTAGTAACACCGGCATCAAGACTCGCCGTTTCTTCAGTCATTCTTCAAGCTTAGGTACCTAGGTAGTTTTATATCGGGCAAAACAACCACCAAACATCCATTTGAAGGGGTGACCAGATAGTAAGCCGTTGCGGCTGGACAGCACATGCCTTTGGAAACGTCTGATCTGGCGAAAAGGAGGAGAGAGTAAGCTTGGGTCGATGCGTCGCTCTAAGCAGCTCTTGTTCTTCCATATCAAGTTCTTGATGGTGGTCTGGCATTCTCGTGTTCGTGTTCGTCTTCATCTGCGTCTTCATCTGCGTCTTCATCTGCGTCTTCATCTGCGTCTTCATATTCGTCTTCGTTTTCTTCGTCTCTATTCTCCATACTGTAACACCTCTCACCAGACACTTCTGCTCTGTTGGACAAGACCACTTCGCTCATCAAAATCTGCGTCTGCTTATCAATATTCTCTCATCATCTTGATTCTCAACATACATACATACAAGCGACACGCCAATGCCACAAGAAAAGCAGCCGCAGCCTCCCCACTCCGTGACACCAACCGATAAGTCTCAACGTTCAATGTTCAATATCATCCCAACTCCTTCCCTGCACAGCATTCAACTCCTCCATGGTCATGACCTTGCCAGTAGTGAAGTAACCGGCGTGGATTTTAGCATCGATCTCGACCCTCGAGTCGGCGGGGATCATCTCGTCGGGAATAGGGACACGCTCAAGGATAGGAATGCCCTGGTCGACGATGGCGTCATGCTTCATGTTGGACATGCTGAGCATGCGGTCGATCTTTGTGATGCCGAGCCAATGCAGGATATCGGGCATCAGGGCCTGGAAGCGCATATCCTTGACGCCGGCAATGTTCTCAGTGCGCTTGAAGTATTCGCTGGCGCGGTCGACGCCCCGCTTGCGAGCATTGTAGACCAAATACTTAGTGACTTCGCCGAGAGCCCGACCTTCCTTGCGGAAATAGATGACGACGCCGGAGCCGCCCTTTTGAGCTTCTTTGACGGCCTCTTCAATACCAAAAATCAAGTACGGGCGACACGTGCAGATATCGGACCCGAACACGTCGCTGCCATTACATTCGTCGTGGACACGTAGCGCCAGCGATGCGTTTGGGTCGGACATCTTGGCCGGGTCGCCGAAGCAGTAGACCGTCAAGCCGCCGATAGGAGGCAGAAACACTTTGATGTCCGGCCTGGTCACGAGCTCCGGGTACGAACCGCCCGTGTGTTCGAAGAGAGCGCGTCGTAGAGCACTTTCGTCGATGCCAAACCGCTCGGCCACACCGGGAAGGTACCATACCGGCTCGACGGCGAATTTGGTCACGTTCAGCTCGCCCGTTTCGTTGAGGCAGATCTTGCCGTCTGGCACCAGCCGGCCGGATTTGACGCTCTGCTCCAGCTCCGGTATCTTCATGTGTGCTTTGGTCACGGCGATGGTGGGCCGGATGTCAATGTCCTGCGTCTGGATGTAGTCTTTGTACAGCCATGGTGCGAGATGGCCGAACGGGTCCATAGCCACGATCTTCTTCCGGTCGCCCCAGGCTGGGAACGGGCCGATCAGAGCCGCTGGCTCTGTGTTGGTGAAGTCAGGTTTGTGTTCCAGATTGAGATGCTGGCTTGCCACCGCCAGCGCGTGGTAGATTGAATATGAGCCTCCATGGGCACCGATCGCGTTGCGTCGTCGGATCGTGTGGTGATGTCTGCTCACAACGACGGGCCCGCGCTTCAATGGGTCCGCTTCGCCCCATTCCATGGGGATGGGGTCGATTCCTGACTGGCCTGGATAGGTGGTGAGAATGATGCGTGACGTGATGGATGGTCTCCGTGCAGTTGGGGAAGGTGGTGCTTTGGGCGCTGGGATCGCTGCATCTGGAAGAGGTGAGGTAGTGCCGTTCACAGACTTTGTTAGCTGGTCTGGGTCTATGCTAGGCGAGTCTTTGACGCCGTCCCGTGGTTGAGAGTGAGATGGGCGGTGGGGATGGTGGCCGCCACGCAACGAATTGACCGTGTTGGTCACGTCCATTCTGCTTTGTAGAGATTCCACATTGGCTGCCAACTGAGCTTGGTCGGCTTGCAGCTTCTTCACCGTTGCCAGGATCTCGGACAGGATGAGGTCAGAGTTGGCCCCGCCGGAAGGCTGAGGGGCAGACATGATGGGAGAAGGTAGACAGTAAGACAACAATGGCTTGCAGGACGCCCTTGGGAGGCTGTACAGGAGTTCGGATGAGATGCCTGGAGCGATGAAGACAGCAAGGGCAGCTCAACAGCACTCGTAACAGGAAATGATAACGGAATTGGGCAGAGAAGCTGAGCAATGGCCCGAGGTAAACAAAGACCCCGACTGCCTGGGGTCGTACAAAGGACAAGAGCCAAGATGGACGAAGGAAGGGTACTCGGAACTGCGAGCAGGGTAGCACCCGAGCGAGCTCGATCGACAGAATATATATTCAAGGCTGAGATTAGGATGGAGACAGCTCCGGGCTGTAGTGAAGTACTTACGAGATAGGCATCAGGAGGTGGTATACTCCTACTGCTAGCAGCGTAGTATAGCAAGGGGGGTGGGTGGTAGGTGGGTGGTAGGTGTACTGTACGTCTTATCAGCGGGGATCTGCGATAAGAGATTGGGCACGTGATAGCTATGTATCTTTATCTCCACGTGACTGCGCTTTGTGGAGGCTCCGGCGTGGAGTGCAAATCGCGACCACGACGTTCCAGTTCACTTTAAATAAGTTTAGATGACCAGGTCCAGCTGTGGTATATCGCCATCACAGCTCCTGACTCAAAGAACTTACGAACCCTACTTTGAGCAGTACTGACAAGCACTGACGAACAATTTCGCTGATTTTCGAACGTCTCACACTTCCCAGAACCTGAAAATCACTCATCGTTACAAACCAGTCTTCAACAACCCGACAGTCAAACAAAATGGTATGTAATGCGCTGTTGTCTCCCTGTCTCGTTATCCCCTCACCTCTTTGTTTCCAGACACTCTTCATTTCTGAATCTGTGGCTGACGAGAGATCGCGTCCAGGGTAAACGCAAGAAGTCGTCCAACAAGCCCCAGGGCCCCAAGAAACGCGAACCCCTCGCCACCACATTTACCTGTCTCTTCTGCAATCACGAGAAATCCATCACGGTCAAGATGGACAAGAAAGCCGGTGTCGGCAACTTGCACTGCAGAGTCTGTGGACAACGCTTTCAAACCGGCATCAACTACCTCTCCGCCCACGTCGACGTATACTCAGACTGGATTGATGCGTGTGAAAACGTCGCTCAGGAAGCCGCTGCCCGGGAAGCTGAGGACCAGCAGTTCAGCAGTTATGCTACGGAGAGACATGGAGGGGTTGCCACTGCGGGAGGCGGGGATGACGAAGAAGAAGCAGACGCCGATTATGATGGTTATTGAATGAACTTTTTTTCCTTCTTCTCTCAGGAGTTTACGGGTGGATTGAGCCCATTACGGTATGAATGGTATGGAAATGACATGGCAAGCCTTGTCACGAGCCTCGAGATGAAATGAAAACACATGATCTGTGGAACACGCTTCCTCAACAGCTCCACATACGGGCGTCTGGTGAGGGCACGCTTTCAGAAGCCTGGTGCAAGCGAACAACCATCTGGTTCGAGCTCGAGATGGCTAAAAAATGTACAACATGGAATGGGCTGGCTATGTACAATACTCACGATGGGATGGGCCAAGGATGTCGTCAGACAGGCGGCTCAGGCGAAAGCGAAAATTGATCTGCAAACGATGTCCATGCAGAGCAGCAATGAAGGAAGACTTCACCCTCTACTTGCATGTCTGCGCGTGACCTTACAATCACTTGATTGTGTTCCCTCTATTACGGCTTGCTTGACACACCTCACGCGCCAGCTCAACCAGGCCAGAACGAAACCAAAAAGCAACATTCATTCTTATCAGCGTGCTTGCTACGTCCATGTCCACGTGAACGGCCGTCAAATGGCAACCAAGGGCACCAGAGGTGCCGAAAAGCCATGGGTTTCCGGAGACAGTGGTCCGTCCAAGGGAATGGACTTCAGGAGACGCAAACACATGATGGCCACATGGACAAGGGGAAGAACGGCCAGCGGAGTGAGGTAGGGACTCACTCATTTGATCGGCTGATGCCTCACGAGGGACACTCATTACCAGGATCCTGGCGGTCTGTGAAGTGCCATCCTTATTGTATAGCTGCGAGAACAGGAAGGCGTGCCAGGCCGTTGATGGCTGAGCTTCAGACAGGAGTTGAGAAACCAAAATGGCGACAAGTCGCAAAGATTATTTTCTTCGTGGACTGGCCGATAAACCATACAGTCAGTACTCTGGGTATTCAGCTGGTTTCAAGTTGTACCGATTCAAGTTGTACCGATTCAAGTTGTACCGATTCAAGT